TTATGCTGCAAAAACGATGGCTCTCTTCATTGTCAAATTGCTTGAACATAAAAGTGCATTAGTAGCTGGGCGCATTCCTGCCCGGGCAAGTCAGAACAGAATCAACCAATAAGGAAGCAGGAGAAGGGAGGGAGAGAGGGCTGATGGGAATATCAAGGTGGAGACACAACCTCTAGGCGGCCTGGGGCTACAGAGCCTGCAGACAGAGAGGGCCGACACCCAGGATCCTCACATAAAAACATTCACACTGCAATAAATGTCAAAAGCCTCTAGAGTCGATAACATCATTTAAACATGAAAAACATCTTTGTTTCATTATTCAAAGACAGGGATATTATGAGCATTTGTTCTGAGACGGATCGTGTATCAAAGCGTGGGAGCTGAAGATGACATATACAATAATGTGTGCTCGTAACGTGGCGTGTTTTATGCTATGTACATGAATAAACAATAAGCAGCTATAGCAGCTGTGAAATGTCTGTGTAACATTAAGTGTCTCATTAGCGAACACATTTCTGAATTAGTGTTATAGCCCAACATACTGTAATTTGCATTTTAATGCAGATTAATGCAAATCTCTGCATTTATCATACACTCCTACATATTACAGCTAGTGTGCCATTTGTCTTAAAGGCTGATTTTCATGTAAACTATCAGTTTCATTCTGGAAATTTACTTTTTTAAAATTTACTCGGCTGAGTGGGAAGCAAAAAAGTGAGTCTGAACACCAAACATTGTAATCCTAATCCCTGATTAGTCTGCGCTCTTTGATTTAGAAATCTCAGATGAGGTCTTGTTTCCCACAAAGACATTTTAAGTGTTTACTCAGGATCTTTTAACTCATGTGTAAGCAAGAGGGAGGAAATGAAATCAAAATATACAATCAGCCTCAAACAGAGTCTTCCTCTTAAATAAAAACAGTTGGTAAGTGTCAGCCTGTTTTTGTGAGCCTTGAAGGGGGAAAGATTAAACTGTGTTCCTGTGTGTATTCAGCAATGGGCCATTTTTATGCAGCTGTGTAGCTCTCTCTACATTTCTGTTGGACCAGAATATTAAACTGCAGCTCACTTTTACAATGATGAAAAAGTGTTTCTAAAAGAGTGTCTTACATGTGAATCCAGTTTGTACATGTACTGAGACTTTAGGCTACTTGAGTGAAGCCTTGTGTTAGCACATACGTCTGTATGGAAGTAAATCTGTGCCATCTGATTTTCAATTTGAATTTCTATAGTTGAAATTTTTTGCATCAAAATCAGACTTTGAATTTCGAAACTAGTGAATTTAAAGCACACAATTTTATTTCTGACACTATTTTTTTTCACAATGATGAAATAAATTCAGCGTTAAAAAAAAATCAGTCTCTCAAAAGATTTGTTTGGTTAAAAATTAAATAAAAAAAACTTAAAAATTCACAAAAAATGACACTGAATATTTGACACTTAAAATTTTTTTTCATAGAATTTTTTTACAGTTTTTTTTAAGTCGACTTTCTACTTCATGAATATTTTGAGACCGATTTTTTTTTAACTGAATTTTTTTCATCATTGTTAACAAAAATAAGTGTAAGAAATAAAAATGCGTGCATGAAATTCGATGGTTTTGAAATTTCAAGTCTGATTTTGATGCAAAAAAAAATTCAAATTCAAATTCAGATGGCACAGATTTACTTCCATACGTCTAGCTGCGTCATGAGTGTGATTGTAAATACAATTGACTATATACTCCACATTTCACTTACTGCCACATCCTCTAATATTCCTATACAGACTGCACTCCACATTCACATCATGAGTTTTTGAGGACATGTAAAACAACACTGAGTGTGTGTGGCAGCCACATGTCGTTTTAAAGTGTCCGGTCCAGGTTTAACCTGTGACCCTTCTCTGGCATGTCACTCCTCTCTCTGTCTCTCAGTTTCTCTTATCCTTTCTGAATTAAGCGATAAAAATACAACCAAAAATAAACCATTTATGCCTCTTCAGCTAGAGGACCTGACAGAGGATAGAGTCTGAAACAACATGCAGAACAATCTTGAGGGTTAAATGGCTAAGCTCTGATATCTCTCTATTGTGTTAGAATTAACTAATCACAGGGGAAGAGGAGTTTAAACTAGTTTCTTTATGACAGAACTATCAAAATCATCTGTGATTTGAATAATATAACATATGCATGTTCTGCACAAAGGCATGTGCTGCACGGAGGCTCTCTACTCATACGAACGGTGTGTTGTGCCTCACATTCTCACTGTGACGTGTTTGAACGCAGCCCTCTCCCTGCCTTCTGCCTTCAGGGAGTGTCCTGTTGAAATACTGCACCTCTTCATTCAACACGTCTGTGCGTAAGGGTCAGAGCTCATCCCAAAACATGTCCCAATGAGGGTTCTTTGAACAGAAACCTATTATTTCTTAAAGATTTGTCTTCTTTCAACAAAATAATGTTTGAACTACAAAAAAAAGCAGTTTTTATGGTTTTATTATGACTTACAATCCTCCAGGCACACTTGGTTTTGAAACATTAAGCAAGAAGAAAAACATTAGTCTATTTTGCCGAAACCCTTGTGGATATGAAGAGCATAAAACATATAAAACTAAAATCATGTAAGAACAAATCTGATCTGAAGCAGAGTCATAAAACAGCAGCATCAAAACTACCAGCCTGTAAAACAGCTGAACACATTTTGCGAACTGCTTGTTGTTTTTCAGCGTTTGATGTTCCGGTTTCCGCAATATCACTTTAGCAATGTCCATAAAAATGCTGTTAAACTGTGTTTTTTCTTTTTTTTTTTGGTGAATAAAAGCCGCTGTTTGAAAAACGGCCTTTTGATTGAATCACCGGATGATTTCAAAGCGAGCGCACACACTCTGTCAGAGACTTAAAGGAGATGAGGTTAAAGCATTAGACGCTCACTGATACCTGCAGCAAGAGTTACAAAGTCGGAGTGAGAAAGGAGGAGACAGGTTTTATTCTCGCTGCCTCTGCTCGCAGAGATATTTGAAACCAAACACAAATATCAGATCTGCTGCTTTTCTATCACACTTAACCGGAGTAAATAAAGATCGAGGCTCTTCAAGGACAGAGAGCAGCACCAGCAAAAATGTGAAAGCACCTGCTGAAAATTACTACAAGTGTTGCTGGAGTTTTAACTCTTAGACATTACTAATAAACTATTGATGAGTGTGTTCGCTAATGTTTAAAAGAAAAGAAATTGCAAAACAACAGTTATTTGCACTAGCATAAATACATGAGGCAGCACAGATCAAATTTTTGGACTATGTGAGTTTCAGTTTTGGTTCAACTTTTGTTTGGGTTTATGTGTACAGTAACAGACACTCTTTTCCTGAACTAGAAACTTTGACTGAACTCAGATTTTCTTTTTTAAATCTCTTAATTCTTCCTCAGGAGTAAAACCAACTCCATAAAGCTGCTGTGAGTAACTTTCAGTTTGCATTGACTTCGTATTCTAGCAGATTCCCCCCTCACAGAGATTTCAGGCATTGAGACATTTTTTTATCTTGTTTCTAGGGATGTCCTGATCAGATTTTGATATTGGATATCGGTCCGATATCTGCACAAAAAAAAACAAATATTGGATTATATCGGCCTGCATCTAAAATCTCTGATATTAACACACCGATACAAGCAGTATATTCAAGAGTCCACTCCAGTGTAGGTACCAGATCGGCTCAGGGCCCAGCACCTGTTGAAGACGTCACACTACGGCAAGTCCACTCGTACAAACTACATTGCGCTCCATTAAATAAGTCAAATGTGCTAAGTTAAAAGCCCCTCGCGGTTTTCTTTATTTTTTTAAATAGCCCAGTTTTTCACATTTTTCACATTTTGCAAAATTCAAATGTTACTCTTGGCTGTCACAAAAGTCACCAAGATGATTTGGTTCTTTCAGAAATTTTTAGGACAGAGTAAGAAACAACTGTTTAGGACGCCATATTTGACACAAACTGAAAGTTCCTTATGGGACCTTTAATTTTGTCTTTTTGTATATCTTGACAGAAAAGGCTATTATGGGCCTAAACTACAACTACTAATAAATTGCAACTATTAAAATGATGCTAAATTAATTTTGATATTTTTTCATTGGTTTCAAAGGCAGACGTGTAAATCTTGGCCCCACACAGAAACACAGAGGTAAAGCTCCGTCTGTCTCTGGAGAGCAACAGCTCACAACTCGACAGAAAAGGCTGTTATGGGCTGAAACTACAACTATTATTATTATTGCGACTATTAAAGTGATGTTAAATTAATTGATATTTTTTCATTGGTTTTGACAGCAGATGTGTAAAAAAAGTCAGTGTGCTTTAACGTAGAGATTTTTCTTTGCTGTTTTGACAGAAATCAGTTAATTATTTCGCTTCAAAAAGACAGCACTTGTCCACTTTTTTTTTGAGTATTTTTCAGCATTTTTAAAGACAACAGATAAATAGATTTGGATTAGAATTGGTTGTGGAATATCAAATTAGTTATATGGAGGTCAAACGTAGGTTCAGGCAGTTCACAGTGAGAGGAAACATGGCCGGTGGAGCTAAAATAACAGCTCCTGTAAAGTCTGTCGACGTGGTTAGTAAAGGAGGCACGCGGCTGCCTTCGAGCGAGGTGTTTTTAGAGGCTCGTTTTTCAGCTGTCACCTTCTAGAGGTCCAAAAGATTACTTCCAACAAGTGCCACTGTCCACAGCTATCTTGGCCCCACACAGAAACACAGAGGTAAAGCTCTGTCTGTCTCTGGAGAGCAACAGCTCATAACTCACAGATATTGGTGTCCTTGTCAATAAAATCACATATAAAGAAGATTGGGCGTAAATGAATGTGCTCTCCTGAGAAATACCTTGTCAGGTGAGGGCAGGAGCAACTTCTTTACCTCAGGAATGTGTCGCCGCTGTTTCTCCTCACCCACCCCCACACATCCCACCCACTCCCCCCCAGAATCCTGCCATTGTGAGGGGAAGGAATGCTTTTCAAAGTGTCGGCCCTTTCACAGAGAGGGATGTCGGGTGTCGCCCCGTTTTTCACCCGAGCTGAAAAGCATAAACCTGCAGCGAGGGAACAGAGCAGCAAAGTTTCCTGTTAATAAAACATTCTGGGTTTAATTCTTCCCCGAGAAAGTACAGTAATTAATGTGCAGATGGTTGCTCTGTTAATTGCATTGTTAGAATACATCACAATGTGGATTTTAAAGCTGAATGCTGCTCAGGAAGAAGAATGTTTGCTCAAGTATTTTTCTCTTCTTCTTGACACAGCTGCAAATTATCATTCAGATGTTTTCATGTAAATGACTCTGAAGGGTTTCTGAAATGCTTCAGAGATGCTCAGGCCTAATGAAGAATGTGGTACACTCAGGAGAGCCAACAAAAATGAGCAAATTGCAGGCGAGACTCATCAAATAATGAACACCAGGCCCTTATTAGAGGAATATTACATTCAATTTCACTTGTAGGATCAGGCTTTCCTCTGAGTTTTCCCTCACAGCCTTTGAAGTAGATGGATGTTACGCCCGTTATAAACACATTTAAAAAATCATGTTTGTTTTTCTGAAGCGTGCGAGTTTGTTTACAGCAGATTTGGGAGTACCGTGACTCTGATTTCTGTGATTTTATAATCCCCTTTTCTTCATTCCTGGTTGTAAAACCTCAACACATGTCAGGGTGTGGTATTTTTTTAAGACTTTGAGGTAGGCGGTCCTCCTCAGGTGCTCGCGTCTTATTGGTGGATGCCGTTCTCTAAAAAAGACAATACCTGAAACAGGTAGAGGAGAGACGACAGACAGCACACCGAGAGAGATCACTCCTTGGTGAAGACGTCTTTGAATCTACCTGCAGACGGTTTTGTTTTGCATTTGCAGATTCACCTGGAGACCACAGGAGCAAATGAGGTGAGTAATGCATTTTAAGGAAGGTAAGGTATTTATCAATGCATAGAGGAGGAAAAAAAAGACTATTTGGATGCAAAAGTTTAACCACAAACTCCTGAAAAAAGAAGCTACGGTGAATGTATTATGACGATAAGATCAGGAGCAGCTTCCTTTGTTAAGATAAGTACGACCAAGAGAGATCTCAGGGCGAATGAGGGCAGCAGTTGAATGAAAAAGTGTGGAAGTAAGTGCAAAAATAGAGAGAAAAGTCTGACTATCTGAGAGCTTCAGGTGTGTTTGGTTGGTGTTGTGTCTCCCTTGCAGCAGGACTCAAAGGCAGACAGATAGCGAGGCAGGACGTGTGTGTGTGGTGTGGCAGCAGCGGTGGGATTGAGGAGGGGATTTTTTTTTTTTAGGGTAGGGGGGGTTGCATCACCGCTGACTAAACAGTCATTCAGCTCAGGCCTGTGATAACGTGCCAGAGCTGAGGATTTCAACAACAGGAGCAGCCTGAAAGCCTGCAGCCACAGAGCGCCGGGCAGGCCTGGTCTCGCTCAGTCTCAGGCTCAAACCTCAGCCCAGAGAAAAAGGGAGAGGCCAAGATCCTATCCCTGCTGCTGCTGCACACACCACCTCCCCCTCAACCTGGAAGGCGTCATCGTAAATCAAAAAAAAAGGGGGGGCTCAAAACTTCTGTAATAAACACTTTGATAAAACTTTGGTGAATCAGAGCAAGAAACGGCTGTTTTATGCATGTTTTTGTGTTACGTTTCAGATACTGTCTGCGAGATTATCCCATGTGTTCTATCCTTCATTCCACCGGAGTCTGTGTCTGTATTTAACCAGATTTCAGTGGTGTGAAGTGTAAGAGACATGGGGATAAGGCTTCACAGGCTAACACTCCCGACACCGCGAGGCATCTCCAAAAAGTTAAAGTCCTAACTCAATTTGAACGCTGGAAACTGCATAAAGTTGTTTTTCTCCGTGATCATGTTGTGTATGTGATATTTTGTATATATGTCTTTGGTGTGTTATGCATGTTTTGTTTTTTTCATGACGATACCACACTGAACATCCCAGAATCATGAATAAATTTCTCAACCTTGTGCCCAGTGTTTCTTTTTTCCTACAAGTGCAACATCTCAAATCATCACAGAGCCATTATACCACCCACGCCCAACTTTCTCTGCTTCTCAGCCCCAGAGCAGGAGAGGGTTGTTTTTTTCTTTTTCTTTTTTTTTTTTTTCATTAGCCAACATGGAGAGTTGGAGACTCAGCCCACGCAAACAACCTTTACTGTTTGGCAAATGAAGCTTATTAACAATTTAAAACATGCCCTCGCTGTAGCCCACACAATCATGTCATTAAACATGTTTCTCCTTGCTCGAGATGCATTTCAACTACTTTCGGAGTGTTTCTCTAAAGAAGTGCACATCAAAGTAACAGACACCAACATAATCGTCTTTTTTTTTCTGTTTCCATACCTCAAAGATTATTATTTACTCCTCTAAACCACAGTGCACATCTCTGTTTGTGATTCAAAATGCATGCTAGGCCTTGTAGTGTGAAAATGTGGAAATAAAAGAAACATTACTGCAGAGCAAAGCTACATTCATACATAAATACCCCATGGTTATGCATGTAAGTACACGCCTATAAATAAAAATGCATCCTCAAAGTCTCAGTTATGTAAGACAGAATCTTTTCCCATCTGTGTCTTTGTGTTTTCCAGCTATTTGCTATATGTTGGCCTGCACAGTGCAGAGCTAGTCTCCTAGACAACGTAACAAAAACAGAACATCAAATCTAACCACACGTATGTGAGTCATGAGACGACTATATCGAAATATGATCATGAAAAACTGCAGGAAATGTCACTTTGTGGAATATATTTGCAACTTTTGTGTCTATTTTACAACAGTAGTGCTACTTCATGATAAAATTTAGCTTTTAAAATCTGTTCATAACATTATGGGAAAATGGACCATATCACACCTGTCCTTGAGTCCCTACACTGGTTCTCTGTGAGTCAAAAGATCCTGTTACTGGTCTACAAATGACTGAATGGTCTTGGGCCATTCAGTGATCTGTTCGGGGACCGGTCTACTCATTGTCCTCAGGGTCAGAACCAAGCAGGGTGAAGCTACATTCAGGTTCTATGGCCCTCACACACAAACTGTCAGCTCATTCAAATTAGAGCTGACAACATTACTGTTTACTGCAGCTTTTTTACAGCGTCATTTCCTTTCACTTCTACTCTGCTGTTCTGTCGATTTCAGCTGTTTTAGTGATTTTAAATTACATTTTATTTTGATTTTAAATCGTTTTAATCTCTCTTCCCTTAACCTAACCCTAAAGGTCCTTACACACTGGGAATATTCAGAGGTGAATTTTGACATGCCTGACTATTCACATCAAGCACGATGCAATTTTGCGACTTTCCAGGGGGGAAAAACGATGCGTCCCGGGTGGAACCGAGAAGACTGACACAACAGCAGGCTGAGTGTTTTTGAGTTCTGATTAGACAAATAGTGTAACTGAGTCGGGGCCAGTACCAGATAAGCACATTAAACTATAATCCATAAACGTAAGGTAACAACTGAGATTTAATGGTGCTGTGACAGCAACGCGATTGAGTTTGAGACAGTGAAAATACATATGGTATGTTGTATCTGAGCAAGTTAGCTTACGAGCTAAAGTTACTTAGCACAGATGAAAGTTAAAACAAAGACGTTTAGCAAACTGTTAAAACACAAAAACCATCGTCATATGAGAAATCCGACGCTGTGACTCTCCACAAGTTCTCCTTCAGGTTGTTATCTTTGTAATATTTGTGTCTTTTATCAAAAAGCACTCTGTTCTCCGATATGTAAACAATCAGCCAGTCGGCCATGTTGGAGGCGAAGGAGGGTGGGACCCCTCAAAAAAAATTTTCGCTTACTGGAACGCCGTTAACTCGGGTGTAGAATGATTCCCAGTTCTGACACTCCCGGTTTCCAAGGTAACTAGAATGCAGCATAATGTTATGTGTCCTTATAAATATTTGTTTTTGCATCTTTTGATGTGTGATTGTTCCAAAAGAAAATACAAATAATGCTACAGTTTAAAAGTAAACTTCGATCTCTGATAGCAGCATCACTGAATGGAGTCCATACTGATTCAACAGACATGAAAATCCAGATAATACGTTCGTTCGTCTTTCTGCTTTTGAGTTCAGCATTCGGGGAGGACACAGGTGAGAGCCAATGTTTTTTGCAGCAGGTGCAGCCACTCACTAAAAAAATTTAACTGGAAAAAAAAAAAAAAAAGGAAAAACTCTGAGTGAGAGTGAATTTGCTGATTGCTCTGTTCTCTGTTGTGAAATGTTGATTATTCAGTTTCTATTCGGTGCAGCTGAGGAGGGAAATATGACAGCTTCACGCCGCACAGCCTGCTCTTGCTAATTGAGAGCACAAGCCTGGTGCAGAAATGTTGTGTTCAGTGTCAGCATCACGCTCCATTAACTGGAATAAACAGTGTGCTGTAGTCATGCCTCAACATGACGGTTCAATGCAAGCTGCAGGTCTATTACATAATTCCTAAAATAAAAATACTCTTCTCCAGGGTTACTTAGACGTGTGTTCTTGTTTTTAAAGTGTCAGAAGACATCGGTGTTCATCAGCTGGAACGCTTAGTGGAGTTACTGACGTCTAGTGAGTGTGAGGATCTCCTGTTCACGCTCTCTCACCCTGAGGAGAACATTTTCAGGCACCTTGAACGCCTCTCACCTGAAAGAAATCGACTAGATCTCAAACCCCGAGCCAAGAGAGACGCCTCATCTGAGAAGGGTTAGTGCTCATCATCACCTCGAACACCTCCAGCTGAGACCTTCCCTCCTTAGACCATAGAAATCACAATGTTTAATGTATGCATGAAAATCTTTTCACTTACAGTAGATGCGTTAAAATCATTTAAGGGTAATTAGTCACTGTAATGATTCATTGTGTCAATACTGGCCCTGAAGAGATTCTCTGTTAAAGTAGTGTGAGTGGAAGTGATGGAGGAGAAAATTTATAGCAGTTTAAAGCTCCTGTGAGGAACTTTTGGACTGTGTCAACTTTGGCGCCCCCTGTGGCCAAAGCAGGAATGTTTTATCTTCTACATGCTTGATTAAAAAATCGCATCTTACTGACTTTTGGCAGTCACATTAGGACAGAAAACAGTGGTTGAATATCTCCTCTTAGAGATGGGAGAAAAAAATCGATTCACGCAAGTATCGCAATTTTTTGTTTTACAATTTTAAATCAATTTTTATGCATAAAAACTGACTTACATGTGATATGTATTTTGGGGTAAATATGGTTCCTGGAATAGTTAGTAGACAATCATAATCATTCAACTGTTCCACTGGTGTTAAAAATGCAGACTAAGGGTCCTTACACACTGGGGCCGGCACGAATATGGAACGCGAAATCACGAAATATTCGGAGGCAAATTTTGACGCGCCTGACTATACACATCAAGCCCGATGCGATTTTGCGACTTTCCGGGGGGAAAAAGACGTATCCCGGGGAAGACTTTTCTGGGGGAAGTCCCGCCACCTGTCCTTCAGGTTGTTATCTTTGTAATGTTTGTGTCTTTTATCAAAAAGCACTCTGTTTTCCGACACGTAAACAATCAGCCAGTCGGATATGTTGAATATACCAGTGAATCTGACGTTGCAACAACACGAAATCTGATTGGTCAGAAGTGGACACGCAGTCTGCGAAACTTTAGAAAAATCGACCATGATCCGAAAAAATAAATGCCTCAATATCGCAGAACGGGAAAATGTCGCTGATGTGAACGCTTGTATTCACAGGATACGGGTTAGAAAAAAAATCATGACGTCCGAAATAATCGCAAGACAAAAACGGTCCTGGTGTGTAAGGACCTTAAAATCGACAATATCGTAGAATCACAATTTAAATCAAATTGGCATCCAAAAACACCGTAGAAGAATCGAATCGGGAGAAAAGAATATCATCCCAGCCCTATCTCCTGTTTTTTTTTTTCCTTGTCTGATCTAGAGCTGTTGAATGTTTTGTTTTTGTAACTTCAGAGTTGTATAAGACAAAATCTGTGGATTTCTTCCCATCCTTCACATATAAATGTGGCCAGGAAAGGATTTTAGCCACGGAGCCTCTGGGATTTGTGGGTTTTGTCACCAGAAAGACTTGAAAAAAATGTGACTTCTTCTTAAAATGCTATAAGCTGTCATAAGATAAAGCTTAAGTCCACCCTGAGAGCTGTCTGTTTCCCTCACGTCCAGCTCAGCTCGAGGAGTTTCTGGCAGCACGCTGACAGTCGGAGACCTGTCTGTCTGACGGCCATATGTTTTCTGTTTACTAGATAGCGAGGTCCAGTGCCGGACGGCCCTGACAGACTGGCTGCTGAAGTATGGAGAGCAGACCTACTACGACAGGCTTTCCCGCGCCTTGCAGCACATCGGCAGGACAGACATCGCCATGGGTGAGATGCAAATGGACTCAGAGAGAACACATGTGCTTCTTGTAGCACAGAAAAACTTTGTGTTAATCTAACAGGCCTAAAAGCTGAAGTGGTTAACTTCTTTTGTACAGCACGGTGTTGTGGAGACATCTCAGCATGTCCCTTGACAAAAGAAAATTGGAACAAAGCCTCATTTGGGTGCATGGTGGTGTACTTTCTAAAACGGGTTTATTTCTGGTCAAGAAGGCCTCCTCAGACTTGAACAACAGCACGTAATTGCTTCATTACTTTCAGATTCTTTTTAATTGGAACTTCACAAGCGGCATATTTTCGCACGCTGCCAGTCTCTGGCATGTGTTGCTGTCCAGCGTGCGCACGACTCCACAGCCGAGCGGCGTTGGATAGAAGGAGGTGTAAATGATCTGACAGAGGACTCAGTGGAGCTGACACAAGCCACAGAACAAACCATCTGTTCCTTTCATCAGCAGCTTTGGAGGAAAAAAAGACAAGGAGAGGATGGAAGAGATGAGTTATAAGACATGGAGGAGGGGGGGTTGATGGGAAAGACTGCGTGGATGCAGAATGCTGCAATTATCATGCACTTGACTGTAGTTCTGACAAGATGCACTCATATGTAGAAACTTGTGTCTTTTATTCCGAAGGACAGACGCTGCTCTTCTGCCAGAACTAATTATGGTCACAGCAAGAAAACAACAATTAAATTCTAATTTACAATCTCTGATAGGATGAAACACGGAGCTCCTAAACTCTAGAAATGACGGGGAACTTCTTACTGATTGTCTCTGTGCTCTTGTTTTCACAGAAGTGGGGAAGAACATCAACCAGGACAAACTCTTGAACCTGAAACGCTACGTGGAAGAGTACCACAAGTATGCCAGCTCTTTGAATGTCCCTCCTATACAATCAGACTCGAAGAACAAGAAGCAGAAGGTCAAGAAGAGAAAGGGTAAGGGTAGAAAAACCCTAAATTTACTTAAAACCCTGCGTGCCTTTGGCGAGGCTAAGCTACTGGGGGCATTGTTCCCATTAAAGGCAATGCATGTTCAATGGAAACAAAGATACAGATACAGAATAATAGATATGCCAGTGTGCTGCAGCAGCCTGCTAACGTGACAGCCATCTTGGTAGGGGCAACATTCCCATTGAAGGCATTGCATGTACATTGAAAATAAATCGTAACGTTTGCTTATTTCTCAACCGATTTTTATGTGGTTGACTTTATTTCCAACACCAAAACATGTGGTATTATTTAGAAAGATTTGAGAAAGAAAGAAAGAAATGGGAATGTTGCCCCTACCAAGATGGCTGCCATGTAGCCACTTTGCTTAGCAGGCTGGCCCTTCAAAGTTAGTAAAATGTGAGTTTATCTACTATACCAGTGGCCTGAAAGCCTGCACTTCAAAACCGCTCTTTGTAGATTTTGCTAAACTCAACAAAAAGACAGCATACGCCTATTCCCCTCAGACTATTAGCATACCTTATTAGCTGTCCAGATAATAAGGTATGCTAACAATCCAGACAAGAGTATTTGGTTTGGTTTGGTGGAAACAAAATTGAATAAGTTTTAGCATGTGTGGCCATATCTAAGCCTCAAATATCTCTGGCTGCTGATGTCAAGTGGAGATTTTTTTGGGTTTCCCCCTCGAGACCGTCTGAATGACAAATGATATGTTTCGCTGAGCCCTGAATCTATTAAGTGTTTAGATGAGATGCCGGATTAGATCTGGTGGTCGTGGGCATGCTTCCAACTCATTACGTCTCAACACCAGCCTTCTCATCCTATGAGGAGTATTTCCCAGGATGCCTCAAAATTCAAAAATGTAATTATCACCTGTCTATTTTTTTTTAGATGTTCCCAGGTGTTTCTTTCAAGCCAAAACCTTAACAGAAACACTCCCATAGTCCTTGGAGATGATTAGAGTGTCTTCCCTGTTTGTGCTTTGTGTTAATGTGTGCGCATGTGTGTGATTTAGTGAGGGATCTGACATGGCGTGACCTGGATCTGATAGTAGAGCGGGCTCCTGTGCCAGTGTACCAGAAAGGACCTTTGGATGTAGCTCTGCCACTCTTGAATGGCTTCCTGCTGGGTTTTGGAGGTACCTTGCTGGCTGGTCTTGTTGTACTCTTCGTTATGGTTCGACTCTCCAGTAAAGATGGAAACAGCCGTCAACCGAGGGCCAACAGCCGCTCCGGCAGTGAGCTTGTTATTAAGGTTGTTTAAAGATGGGAGCTTTGTGAGGGACAGGGGCCGAACCGGAGAGACTCTGGAGGTATTTATAAACTCTCTGGACAGCCTCTAAAGTAAATCTACAACTGCATGTAATCTTAAATAAAAAAACAACTACAGATTGAACTCATTCCCTCCATATTTATGTCTTTGAAAAAAACATCAGAGTGGGGTACAGATGCTATGTTATGTATTTTGATATTTTAAATACACAAAACAGGGGTTTACCCAAAGACAGCAACTTTGTAGCATGGCAACAATGGAGGAGACACAGACAGAAATGGCGATTTACAGTATGGTCAACAATTATCGAACCCTGGCCTATATAGTCTGAGCTAGGGCTGGACCATAAACCGAAATGTTACCGATACAGAAATTTACGTCAATAACCGACGTCATTTTGCCCATATCAGTATATTCGGTGTCAATAAAATAAATAAATAAAAGTTGGTTTTGGATGTGTGTAAGAAGGCTATGGTCTCATGTCCCTTTAAGACACTGTCCTACATCAGAGACGTGACTCCACCCCGTCCAGTCCATAAAAAAAGAGGGAAAGACAGGTGAGGAGATGGAGGACGGTTCAAAAGTTGGAGTTAATGTGGGAGGGTGTGAGCAGCTTGTGGAGTAGTTATCATCCATTTATCGTTATCGAGGTGAATTGCTCAATATATCGTGATTTTGATTTGAGGCCATTTCGCCCAGCCCTAGTCTGAGCTGCTCTTAAAGATTTAGCTGATAATATTAACTCAAAATCAAATGTGCGACTTCGGCAAATTCATTAGCTGCTAGCTTTCTAAGAAAAGTCAAGATTTTTTTTGAGTTGTAAGTCATGTAAAGCTACAAATAATGCTAAATAAAAAACATGAAAGAACTCTTACACAACTATCTTGAAACTTTCAAGATATTCATGTAAAATAAAAGACCACAAGCTGAGTTTAGAGGGTTGACGACATTAAAATAAGTGATAAAAAATAAAAAATCTTCCAGTCTTATCCACTCAGAAACAGAAACTCATTATCGATTCCACTACACTACAACTAATTATGGCAAACATGACAAGATAATAATCTGGTTTCAGTTAAAGCAATTACCCACGCTGTATTTCTCTGGACAGGTTTGCGTTTTTGCCACACCAGTTGGTAGATCATGAGCGGTGTGACAGATGCATTGGATCCCGGCCCTCACACCGAAGGTTGTTCCGGTGTTACTGTGATAGTGATGCCACTTTCCATTTCCCCTCCGAGTGACGGCAAAGTGCCCGTCTGGCATTGAAGAACGACTAATTATCCAGCCTGGCGCTCGCTTCCTTGGAGCCTGCCGATACCTCCACAGGCAATCCAAAAAGACTAATAACAATGACAATGCTAGCCGACAATGAGGCACTTTTGGTGGGTGACAGATCGGGAACAAAGAGATATATCATCTTGAAGAAGGATGTCTCACAAGCCAAACTAACTTGATTTTTCCCCACTTTATTTGAGATGTTGCAGCTACACAAACCAAGAAAATGTCACCAGAGACCAAAGCGAAGAGTCAAATTAACTCTGACATCTGCGGGCTTTAATAAAGGGAATTATTTGCTCACAACAAGGCTGTTTTCACATATTCTGCTGAGTGTGCTTCATAATAGCGAGACAGTAAAGACTCAGTGGCACGGGACAACTATCAAGCTTCTTGTTCTCGGTTTTATGCGCTACCTCCACTTTCTTCTTTATAATTGAACTAATTAGTTCATTATACAAATCTGCCCTAATGTGCTTCAGAAGGCAGACAGCCTGGATTAACAATGGCACTACGCAGCAATTACAGACAATTAGTTCATAATTCAGCATTTCAACAAATTAAAGTGCCAAGCAAAACTGTATAAGCAACACTGCAAGAGGGCAAAAGGGCACTGGGGTTTCCAACTCTTAGATCTATGATGGGTTATTTTGCTTCAACCTCAGCATCAACACTTCTAATGATGGGAATTAGACTTTTTAGATGAAAAAATAGGGATTAAAAGTCCACCGGATTGTTAATCGGATTATGAAACACTTCAAATGTAGTCCAGAAATAGGGGTGGGAGAAAAAAATCGATACAGCATAGTATCGGGATATTTTGTCTTGTGATGTATTGTATCATCTAATTTACCAAGTATTGATTTTTCAAATTAATTGCTAATATGAAGTCAAATCTATTAAAAAAATAAAATCAACTGTTTGTCCAGTGAGATAGGTAGAAGCGACATCATAGAGCGGGAGAAAGTTATTATAACAAATATATATAAGGTTCGCAAGATGTGCTACATGAAAATAAAACAGCGTAAATAAGACAAATATAAAGGAAAGAGAAATGCTAAATTAGCTCAACAGTTGAAAAAATTTTTTAAATCGCAATACCGTATTTTTCGCACTAAGGCGCACCAGATTATAAAGCACATTAAGACAAACAATGTGCTTCGACAAGCCATCAGGCTGTGCGGCTTTGTAGCTTACCGAAGTCGTAATAAAACATTTTGACATATTTTTGAGCACTGTGTACCACATAAAATCGGTTCGAGGTCAGTAAGCACAACCAGAATTCTTACATGAGGCGCACCTGATTATAAGACGCACTGAGGATTTTTGAGAAAATTTAAGGATTTTAAGTGCCCCTTGTAGTCCGAAATATACGGTATATTGTATCCCAATACTCACTGTATTGCAAAAAAATCACAATAAAATCATATCGTGGCCTAAGTATCGTGATAAAATTGTATCGTGGGACCACTGTTGATTCCCATCCCAATTGGATCCAAAAAGTTAAAGCCAATGAACTCGACAATGAAACATCTGTACCAACCACGACTTTCCTAATTGGTACATCTCTACAAAATTTGAGGATTAGCTCTCCTTCATGTGTTAAATTTTAGTAAGACTTTTAAAACCAAATTATTTCCCCTTGGTCTTCTCCCCCTCAGACACAGAGCAAGTAATTACAACCAGCCAAATCACTGAATAAAGAAGTCTCGCATTAAAAACCAATTTTTTCCCTGATTCTCTTTTGTGACTTGGAAACCAAGAGATGAGCGGTAATTTACTTAAGCGTAATAGCTACTCCAAAACCTTCATTTTGGTGAAATGACACTGACTCAAAATGTCAGTGACGTGACTTGAAATGCTGAAAAGTTTTTGCCTCGAGAAGTTTCGATGTCCACTTGGCGACCAGCGGGGAGCTCTTATAAACGCTCTCCACGGGTAACAGACGACACTCATGAAGGCTGATGAGGAGGTTCAATCCACCCGCCTGAACTCTCAGTCCAGCTCAGTCACTGTCCTGATGTTTTGCTCAGAGTGAGTCAGTCCCTCTGTGAGTCTTTAGGACTACACTGTTTCACCTTCATCACTTCCCAGGTGGCTCCGGCACAACTCTTCCCCAACAAAACTTCCTCTGTCCTTCAGTTTTCCCCTGCTGGCTGTCGGGATCCTGCAGGTGCTGACTGTGACAGGTTCACCTGCTGTGGGCTCACCTGTGTTTCTGTAACCAGTGGAGGGGAAAGCTGGAGTACTCTATGCCTGAATGACTCACAGAAACAGCTTGCCACACGGGGCCTGCATCATGGTTGTGACACTGCTTAGCATAGCCAAGGTCCCACCTGGAAGTAAACTATAAACACTTTGAATGTGAAGATCAGAGCGTTAAAAGTACACTACTTCATTTTCGCCGAAGCAGGACTTGATCGTGGGATCGTCTCCATCCGTGGCCTTTAGGATGCGTTCACTGTCCTCTGTAAATGAGCACCAGAATAAAGCCAACGTTCATTCCGAGCTATTCTCATGCAAAAGGATGAAGCAATCACAGGCGTCATGCTTGAATAGAGAATAGATCTGACATGAAATTGACATTTACAGCCAAGGCGAAGCCAACATGTGAGGATACGGTTTCCAGGCATATCCATTGTCATGTAAAATAGGTCCTTTTCAGGGTTTTTATTCTGCCCGTTTCTTCGGGTTATTTAATAGTTTGTGGAGCAGCGGCTTATCAAAGTGGATCCTCCAAGGAGGGCGCATCTGTCCCTCGTCATTGACTCCTTGCAGCATACGAAGTGGAGTGTTTGTCTGGATGAAAATGTAGATGGACGGGATGTGATGCGTGCCAGGGGGACACTCAGACAGAGGGGGCACAGTCCTTGATGTGCTGAGGCTGAGTGTTCGGGTTCTCGGGTCTCTGGGGTGTGCTTAGTGTCACTAAAGGCTTTAACTTCCCCTCCCTCCATTTGCATCTTCATTCATCTGCAGGTCCACTGAGGTGCAGCAAGTCCCGGCTCAGCCATCAGTCTGCCTTTGCTCAATATATATGGATCACAGGGAAACGAGATCACAACTCCAGCTCCTTTTTACAGTCAGACTTTCTGTTTAATCGCCTCGGCTCCAGCTCTCACAACTTTGTCTTTCATGGTTTCCTTCAGGGAATCTGAGACTTCTTCAAAGTTTTTTTTTTTTTCTCTTTTTTTTCTGCTGATCAGACAGGAGCAGCTCAGCGGGGTTCATGGATAAAGCCACAGTGCCATCCTGTGGTCAGGAATGGTTATTACAGCGCATTATCAGCCTGATGCAATTGAGCTTTTGAGGGGTTTTAAGTGTCTGACGCCTTAATAAATGAGAATACTATAAAATTAAAGTGTTATTTATAACAGTAATACATACAGACTTTGGCTGTGGGGAATTAGTAACAGCACGAAGACCTGCTGTTGTGCAATACAAGAAATAAATGTCTTGTAATGTGCATTTTAGCAGCTGTTTTGTCCGTTTCCATGGTAATAACGATAACAAAATGCTTGAAAATGATTAAATCTGCAAATGAAATATCTGGAGTAAGTTTCCTCTTTCTTTAACCTCAGACATATAATCTACGGTGGAAACTTCCACCTTCCGCAGAGGTGTCACCAAGTGGTAGGTGTTACTAGGGCTGGGCAATATGGACCAAAAGTCATATCCTGATAATTTCATAGGCTGGATGAAATTATGCAAAGAACAATAAAATGTAAACATAAATACTTTAAAACCATAGGAGTACCTTTTCTTCTTTTTTAAATTGGAGCTCCATAAGGTGCACATTTAAATGAAAAATATATCTTAAATAAAAATAGCCCATAAAGTAAAATAGGTCAATCCTTTTCTGAAATAAATTGAGAAAAGCATCAACATTTTGACAACTATAAATGGCCAATTAAAATCAAATTGCAGATTTTCTTCTCCTTTTCTTCTCTTACGTGAAAAAGATTATATGTCGGAGATTAAAAAAAAAAAAGAGGAAAACTATTCCTGAGAAACTGAAGACATAATGTAAAATATCTGGAGTGTTTGCCTACAACAGAGATAAACCAATGAATTGATCCGGCAGCCTCATCAGTGTGGCCGTTATGGAGCAAGGTTACGAAGGGTTAAAAAGGACTATTTTGAACCCTGTGCCTTTTACAATAACTCCCATACACCCTGCTGTAAAAGTTTGCTGAAATTTCCTCCTTCACCATATTTTTTTCTAAAGGATAACCTGTTTTTTACATCCTAAATGAAAGCATGTGAAATTTAAAACAGCTTCTTGTTTGAGTAATGCAGTTTAACTTTATCCCTGACATCTATATCAGTCACGTTGTTCTGAAATCAATCATATAACCCTCTTGAGGTTTGTATGTCATGAACTAATCAAATATGTACATGTTACTGGCTGAAATAACCATATTTATGAGCTTACAGAATATTAGCTGTAATTGTTACAGAATTATCAAATGCATGAAACAACAACCTAATATTGATATTGTACATGATCCATCTGCAGATCTGCTCTCTATATCAGTCAACTATTATTCTTGATGTACCACAGAAGTGACTCAACACTGCATCATACCCAAATGTAATAATTAAGACCAATCAACTGATCAATATTATTTTTCTTCTTATTGCAGTCCTCATGTATTGGACGATCCTGGCTTGTGTGACAGGTATTTCGTTAATTATCATTCTTCTGTTGGTTGGATCTAAAAGCCTTCATAAATCATCATCACAGTTGAATCCTCTCGCTGACAGATGAGTCTTAATGAAGAGATAAACAAAGAGGCAGTAGATAATGGATGCATGGTCTGTCTGTTTGTTGAGGGGGAAAAACATTGGAGATATCTACCTTCTAAGCCTCAGATAGACGTGTTTCCTCTGCTCCCCTGGGACACAAGAAAAACAAGAGCGAGAAAGCCCGACTTCGAAGAGAATACCTCTGAAAATCAAACCCTTTTCTGCTTTTTCTTTTGTTTACCATTTGTTATCTGTGTTTTTTGGGGTTAATGAGTATAATATGGAAGAACTGCAAGGAGTGTTTTCATGCGGAGCCCACCAGAAAGCTAATTTGCAAATGTTTGTGTTAATGATTCTGATGCATTACGCAGCTGAAGCGGGGGGGCAATCTCTCTAATGCGTGTGGGGTTAATGGCCTCAGTGTGCGCTGACAGACAGACGTTTGTAGACTCTCAGACACGGCCACAACACGTCTCTAAAGTCTGATTCGAGTGTCAGCTGAACTCCGCTCCTGACAGGTCAGTTCTTCAAGTCTGACATTAATAAAGTGTGTCAACCTGTTAAGACGCAGCTGAAGTGGAAGTGACGGGTCTTTTGGCGGTCCTCCATAACTCTAACACCACTTCAAATAACCGTGTCTGCAGTAAAAACAAGTTTACAGGGTTACTATAGTCGTGACTGCATACTCTTGTTTATTTTGGCAGCAGGTTTGTGTGCATAGAGCTTGAAAAATAATAAGTATAGCGGCCATGAGGGTCATCTCTCCCTGTCATTTCACAAAAAAACAGGAGAACAATTTACCTGGAGCCAAATTTCACAAAACACGACCACGTCCACAAAACAAAATTACTTTGAATGGAGAACGGCTTTTGAGAAAATGTCAGATAAACATCCGTGATACTACAGAACCAACAAGATAATACCAGAGCGGAGAATATATACCTGCTAATCACAAAAACAGTGACTGGAGTGGAGGCACGCTCCCATTACAGGGTTCCTACACAGCTGGGATTTCCATACTTTTCCATACCCTACTTTTCAGAATTATTTTTGGAAATACCGACTTTTCTATTGGAGAAATCAGTACTTTAGAACTGTGGTAATAGTCTGAAAACGTGTATATTTTTCCATACTTTTTAAAGACCTGGAAATTGATCAAATCTATTTCCATACTTTTTAAGACTTGCGTAGGAACCCTGTCATTAAGTTTTGAGGAAAGGGTAGACTTCAGTGAGCGGGTGGCGTTTGTTTCGCTGCAATACAAACCACCATCATGGCGGACAAGAAGTACAAGTGGAAAACTGTACGTGGAAAATGCAGCAGAATTGAAAGCTGACAAAGAAAACTGACAAAGAATGTTTAATTTGCCAGGACTCGATTACTCAAACATGGGGGTTACTGAAGAGGAAGAAGACCAAGAACAAGAACAAGGCCAATCCCAAACCGCCCCCCAACACACTCGCCCTCCATTTGCGCGTCTCCATTGAGGCTCCGCCATATTGAAAGCCATCCCAAACCACAGAGTGGGGAGAGCGAGTGGACCGTTCAGCCCTTCAATAGTGAGTCTGCACACTCACGACAGGATTGCAGGTAGTATGCCGTCAAAAATGGAAAACAACATAAAACAACATACAACAACACACAAATTTAAGTTCCAAACGTGTCCACCTTTGTCTTCCTGACATAAAAATCACAAAAGACGTGGTTTGAAAAGATCAAACGAAAGTCAGAAATCGTACTCTATGCTGAGGTTTGATTTGATTGGTCAGGCACATGTCAAATAGTAAAGAGGTTCAAAGATGTGTGGAATCACCAACAATCAGAAGTTTAATTCAGCTCCTGTCACTGTGATGGTTACTGGATTTATTATTTTACTGGGAGGATGATGAAACAAGGCAGCCGCTACGGCTCAGAACTGTACATGATGTCTGTTTACTGAGAAAATAAACACTGCCATGCACAGGACGCGTCTTTGTGTTGCCATGGCGATGAATCTTTGGAGTGAGGAGGGCGTCCAATACCCGCCCAGCTGCGAGTGTACCACAGCTACATGGCACATTTGTTAACATGTGTTTAAAAAGAAGAGGAAAAAAGAAGTAAAATAGTAAAAAAAAAAGTAACTGAAGTAAAGTGCAGTTTAAAAATGTTATCTATAAATATGACATATAAATAGTATAGCAAGCTATGCAGTAGTCCATGCCTTCCCGACCTCTCATCCCTAACCCTCCACGTAATGATGGGTTCTGCTCACCTTGTCGTGATTTTATTTCACAAATTAACTGTATTGTTGGTTACAGAAAGGGTCAGACCACACTTCTAGTTCGTTAACACAGGGAGGTGTTTTTAATGCTGCTATTCCATAAGATTTTTCCCCACAACAGTGCCTCCTAGTGGTTCATTAATGCACAAAAAACAAGGTCATCCAGTTCTAGTCCATTTCCTTTTTTCTAAATGGTTATTCAAACCAAATATCGATCGTTTTGAGACTGTATTATGCAGGCAGATGCATTGAAGAAACTCCGAGCAACATAAAATGATGATTCAGTACAAAAACACACAACCGACCTAAAATCAAGAGCTTCTTCTCACCAAACAAAACTAGATATTTTCCTCATTTATGCCCTTTTTCAGCCCCTGGCTTGATCACGCAAGCTTCTCAAAATTAATAAGGTAATTGTGCACGAGCTATCAAATTATGATTGTGTAATAACACTCACAACACCCCTGATAACATGTTGCAAAGCGTCATGCGGCTTCCTCCCATGCTGTACTCTTCTAATGAGTTCCCCGAGCGTTGCACCACACTGCGTTGTTTTGCATTGTCTGGTCTAATTTCCCCGCTGATACTGAACGGCTCAGTGAGGAGCTGCTATCTGCAGTCATCACGCTGCCGTTTTCATCTAATAAGAGGACAGCAGAGCAAACAGTACCTGCCGCTCTGTTTAATGAGTTGATGGGATGATTAAAAAAAAACACCTCACTGATGGCGCTTATTTGCATTTCTGTCAAAAACAAAAGCTGCAGATCAATCTGTCTCTGAGGTGGCATGGATGTGTGTTCAGAAGAGAGGTCAAACGTGTTCATCTTTGTGAGGTGTTATCTCCTTGTTCCTGCTTTTATACAACAATGTTTGTGAAATGTACATGAACTCCTTCCTTCCTTCAACAGCAGGACAACCCCAAACATTACTGGATTAACCAAATTGCAGATATTCACCTCAGCTCAGTTAAAGACTGTTTCCCAAAGAAGGATGCTGCAACTATGAGACAAAAGGTTAACACATAGGGGGTGAAGAGGTAATCATGGTTCTGATCCATTTCCCTGGCACTAAATGTCAAAGTTTCACCTTAACAACAAAATATCTCCAAAAACAGACTTCCCAATTTTACTCTGGGCATCATTATTTACAGACTCAGAACAAAGATAATATGATTTTCAGGGGTGGGAGAAAAAAACGATTCACATAAGTATCGCAATTTTTTTGTTTTACAATTTTTAAATCTATCGTGGAATAGTCAGTAGACAATCATAATCATTCAACTGTTTCACTGGTGTTGAAAATTCTGACAAAAAATCGAGAAAATTGACAATATCGTAGAATCACAATGTAAATCAAATCAGCATCTTAAAGATCGTAGAAGAATCGAATCGGCAGAAAAGCATGACTTTAGCAGAATCACTGTATTATGTTTCATCTTCATCATGGGCAAAGTATAACAAATCAGGATATCAGGTTTTCCACTTTAAATCCTATTCCTAATAAATATACAATACTAACAAACCAAAGAAGGAATAAACTCCAGATAGGTTATAATGAAGGGGTTGCTATGGTGACACAAGACCACGACGTGAAACAGACATGAAAAGTACCCTCTATATCACTTTCAGAAACTGATGTTTTTACTAAACGGTCAACAAGTAAAATCATCAGCTTTGTAAGTCTCAAGTAAGTCTGTTCTACACAGGCAGATAACTGGTAAAAACAAAAATGTAGGTACTGAATGTGGAAAGTAGCCTCACAATAAGGTAGAATGTCAAACATAGGGTCTATCTCTTGTTTACAGCAGAGAAGATTGTCTCAGAGCGGATCCTTGGCTCCACTTGCATGCAAATGTTCAAGACTAAATAAAGCTAAGCTTTTGTGATGACCACCAGTGGGTTCCTGGTCTGCATGACGGTGGATCTGCTCATCAAAATGAGACAGCAGTAACGGCCAAGTGCCTGAGTGTCTTAGACCAGTGTCTTACAAAAACATATAGTGTCAAGGCTTCATATACGGTTTTGTCCACAAAAGCAAAAAATGTTGCGACAGAACAGGGTATAAACAAGAAAGTTATCGAGAAGTTCGATGACCTTTGACCACAAAATCTTATCTGCTGCTACAAATTTCAAACAAAGCCTCATGATACAGTCTTGATCCAAAGCAGACACAACAGCGAATGGACAAACTGGCCATGCAAAAAAATACAATAACCTTGAAAAGTTATTACTGCCTCCATTGAAAATTGTGTTCCCAGCTTGTATTATTCCATAAAGGTCAAAATCTTTTCATATAATTAACATACTGATTAATTTGAATAAAACAACAATTCTGTGAAATGAAACAACTTATCTCATCTGTAAGTTACAAAAGAGGAAACAAAAACGGCGAGCAGAGCGAGCGGTATTTCTCATCAGACACAGGGTTGAGACTTAATTTAACAATACATAATTAACCACCCCCCTGTCAGATACATTAACTCAATAATTTTATACCATAATTAATTACCAGACTGTTCCATAGCTGGTGCGTTTAATTGCAGTTGGGTGTCTACAATAAGACAAAATGCGTCATTAATTAATAGAAGCTAACGGCAACCTGTAAACAAATTCTGTCCAAAGACAACTTGCTGACGTTGTGAAATCAAGATTTATGAGAAGCGGTTTGTTAATGAAGCACAATAGACCTCTGCACATAGGGCTATAAAATACATATGCAAAGCACCAACTGCTATCGCTTGATCACTGTCAAACAGCCATTATTTAGATTTCCGGAGGTGGTTTGGGCGGCTCAGTCAACCTCAGATTGCCTCTGCAACCGAAACAAAAGTCTATTTTGATCAAATTTAGCTCCCTGACTCTTTGTTAAAACTCCAAATCTAAATCTTTGTTCTGAAAGGTCAGAGCTGAATATTTTACAGGGGGCGAGTGCTAAATGACAAGATCCCATGGCTCAATGTGCGGAGACCCTCTGACACCATGCAATTAGTCTCAATCGTGGTGAACCCACCAGGCGTGTAAACAGATTTAATATATAAATCTTCCCTATCTCATATTTCTAAAAGGAACCGTGTTAATTAAACCATCATGCTCTGTGAATGTGCAAGGGCTGTAAAATTAATTTTTATGTGAACTTGCAATTACAGGGATTGAAAAGGTTGTCCATTCAAACAATATCCTGATAGAAAATGAATTAAATTGAAGTATTTCATAGTTCAATACAATCAGAATATGACCTTTAGAAATAATGGTGTTTTTCTACCTTTAGCTTTTCAGATAAGGGTTAATTATTTGTCACAATATAATGAAGGTCAAATTAGAAAATGTAATATCACAAAGATTACACTTCATTTAGATAAAAGAGAAAAAACTACGATTGACCAATATTAATCTTTATCTTTAAAAGAGATGGAGACAAAATTATTGACCTAAATCTATCTGTATGGCCTGTGTGGAATAATTAATTCAGAAATACAGTATCACTTACTATCAATTTGAGTAAATTAAAGTTAAGGGATTTTTGTTTAATACACCAAAAGTGGAGCACAAAAAGGCAAACATGAAAGCCCAAATGACAGGCCTGGAACTGGTACAGCAAATACAGTGGAGTTGTAATTCACAAAACAACTTTATATCATAATACAGATCAGGAAAACAAAACCAGCAAGATCAGTCCTTCTAATTTCCAAACTATTTCAATCCCAGTTTGTAAATGGAGCAAGTAAAAAGGTAGAACCTAAAACACTGTTACCGCCAATCTCAGTTTGACCAACAGAAGAAACAGTTCACACTGTGGCAGGTAAAAAGTGAATACTAGGCCTCGAAAATTAGACAGCAAGGGAACTAAAACTCCTCAATGACCACAACAGCAGCAGCGAACAAACGCACAAGTAGTTCTGTGTCTTACCTGGTCGCAGGAATCTTGTAGAAAATCCGCACAGGACAGTTGATATCGTTTAGCAGGCTGGTTGAACACAACGTACAGGTCAGACTTCATCTGGAGTGCGTTTGAATTAGGTCACTTTAAAATTTCGGCGGGTGGTGCATTAAATGCGGGATAAGGGAAGTAACTTTTCGACAGATCTCTTAGAGAAATTAAAACGGTAGTTCTTTATCTTTTTTGTGTGTCTATGTCTTTGAGTGTCTTTATGTAGCCGAGAGCTTGAAAAACGGTTTAATTAACGTTTGTTTTGACAAACTCGTTTAGTTAACGCGACCAACGTCCGGTTTTACTCTGACGTCACGGTGAGACGTTCAGAAGAACGTAATTTGCGCTTTTTCATTGGCGGAAATTTGAGAATTTTTTTTTTCTTTTTTTAACTATACCGGAAAAAAACGATGGTGGCCAAGAACCGCCACTGCTGCAAATAAAAAAGAGAATGCAAAAAAAAAAAAAAGCTACAAAAGAAGTTACCAATGCAAAAAAAATAAATAAATAAATAAAAAAAGGAAGCCCGCTTCAAATACAAAAAGAAATGGTAAAACAGATCAATTTAAAAAAAAAAGTTACAACTGAAGTTAACAATGCAAAATAAATAAATAAATAAATAAAATAAAACGGAAGCCCGCTGCAAATAAAAAAAGAATCGGTAAAACAGATAATTTCTTTTTTTTTTTTTTAAAGTCAAAACGGAAGTTTTGTTTTATATATTTTAAACAGAGAAAAGGCAGTTAATTCATCGTTCTTGGATACAGTCGTTTATATCAGGAAGGGTGCAGTATGTTTATTGTTTAAAAAAATATATATATAAATGATAGTGATACATAGACGTCACAAAAACAGCAAAAAGGTAAACAATGATGATAACAAACACTAACATTAAACACAAATGAACAACTCTTACTTTCACCCATCCCAATTATATAATAAACAGAAATCGTCTCCCCTGCTGAAAAATGTTTTGAAGCACATTTTTATTCAAACTTTTAAAGACAAGAAAGGCCTGACAAGAGTGATGGCTCATTAACATGCCACCAAGGATGGTCGTATATTTCCTGTCAACCTTCAGGTTTCAAATTAATTTGATCACGCTCCAGCTTAAGGCTTTTTCCAGACACTCTGAAAACAATGAAAAGGAAAAAAGACAGACGGTCTGAGCTGCAGGTGATGAAATTAAAGACACATGCACACATTAAGTGATGAGAGACTTTCCCTGAGCATCAAATTAAAGCTGATGGCCACAGAAACCTTGTAATCACTTGTGGTGCCAATTTGCTGCAGAGAGGAAGGAGCAAGAGCAGAGGAGCAGATGTGTGCCACAATACCTTAGGATGATTTCTTAATAGCTTAATGAATCCATTCATGCATCACATGCATATCAACACGCTGCAGGTCTTTGGGCACCTGCCACACAAACACAAGCTGTTTGGTCCTACATATTTCTCTTTGTTAAAGTCAGTCTACTGGTGAAGCTGGCAACACTGTTTTGGTTTGTTTTAGCTTTAAAACCGACTGGAGACTATGAGATAACACAGTCAAGAAACTGCTGACAGCTCCTGCTCCTTCTTTTCATTTGTGTTTGCTTTCATGCGGTGTAGTGGGACTGGAGCAGACAGCTCAGTGAACTCAACTTCACAGCTGTGGCTGTGTGGATTCTCAGTTAATTACAAAACCATTTCTTTTGTATGAATGCGCAGTCAGCAGGTCCACTCCACGGTGGTTGAGAGGGGCGGGTTAGCTGAGCCCCAAAAGTCAAGTACTCAATATTGTTCTCAACTAGAAATAGAAGTATATACAGTGAAGAAATATTTAACAAAAAGACAGAAAATGAAGCACAGAAAGTTTATCAGCAACCATAAATTACACTGACATGAATGATCCTTGTTTGTATTTTGGCATGTTTCCTTTCTTTGCGTCTCAAAACATTTCCTGTAAAGGTAAAAAATGCTGTTAGATTTCATTCCGGCTCAAAGGTGAGTAAAAGAAAGTAGGTGAAATTTTCATTCATGCACAAATACCTGCTCCAGATCCTTCTCTCCTTCAATATCAAGGGCGAGTTCCTCTTTTTCTTCCTCTACCTGCATTCAGCAAAGTAAATGTGAATTTTAAAGTCACATCTAAAGCACAGGATTCCAGATTTTTCAACTCTGACTTAGACCTATTTTCAGTTTCTCAAGTTTATTTTGCAAAAAAAGTGTATATTTATCCTGTTGTGGATGGACAAAAAAGCATAGGACAGATGCCAGCAACCTTAACTAGAAGTGTCAGTGCCATCTTATTAACACCTTTTACTTTTCTGCCTTTAGAGCCTCGGATTTGCAGGGTGACTTTGGAATCGTCACTTTGTATGTATTTGGTCATTTTATGAGTCAAGTCCTTGTGATCCTTCTGGTATTCTCGTTGAACCAGAAAAGATGACTGACGCTTTTTGTTAAGAGAGGAATGTGTCATTATACAACCATCTTGTTTTTCTTGTCTTCTTAATCCATTCATAAATCCCTCTAAACCCAATCTGTGTTTATATGTGATTTCAGAAATATCTAGTATGACGGGGTTGTTTTATAATGTGAGATCTACCTTTAAAGAGTCTGGATTTCGTTGAGCGAACAGAACAGCATCATGGACAGAAAGGAAAAGACGACTGCTGGCAATGTTCCCGTCATCAAGCGCTCCTCCAGCCTTCAGCTCCTCGTACACTTGGGCTGCAGGCGGCATGAAAACAATAACCACACGAGGAGTGGATCAGAGTGAAACAAGTGATTAGTATTACAGGAGGATAAAACGGCTCCAGAGGAGAAAATCTGCTTAAGAATATTCACAAAAAGTAGCTTCAATCATCACAATAACTGCGGATAATCTCATCTCTTTAAAAAGAAGCACTCAGTAAGTTTACACGAGGATTTGTTTAAGCACTAAGTGTCTGTCTCGTCACACTCTCTGATGCCGGCCTTAACAAATCTTTGCGACTTAAATTTGTAGGGAATAATTTGCTCTCTGTTGCTATGGTAACTGTATTTTACCTTGAATATTTGCCAGGTATAGTTTGATGCCCAGCAATGAGTAGCTTGAGTTCATCTGTGTGGGAGGAGAAGAAAAAGGACTGTTCATAGACATGACCGAGCACATGTAAAAGTTCTCACCTGGAGGATTCAGAGAGTTTAATGATTTGTGAGTTAATTTATGTTGATTTGAAACTCTCTGTTCTTCCTTATTTCAGAACCGCTTTGGTCATTTAGATGTTGAAATATGTTCTCAGGTTCTTTCACAAGGTTTGGTTCGCTTTGGTTCACTTTGACGCTTTCCCACCGCGCTTCAACAAACCAGTCCATCTTGGCATCATCACAGCGTGCCACCCTGGTTAGACAGACGCTGAGTGATTCGTTGGCAGCCAGGTGTTAAACCACATTTTTCGACGCTTTCTGCCACTCCCAGATTTGGCTTTAGAGGTTGGTTCACTGTCACTTTCATACACAACCCCAATAATAAAGGGTTAAAACTTTGTCCACTGGGGGCGCCAAAGTCAACATAGACAGAAAGTTCCTTATAGGAGCTTTAACCCCAACACTTTTTAAAGAACAATGCAACATGGTAAACATGACAAGGTTACCACAAACTTTACGCATAAATGTACAAAAATAAAACTTTTATTATCAGATTTATCAAGTAATACTGCGAAGACGCTTCTTACCTTGATCAAGACTTTGATGCCTGTCAGGTCGATAAAGCAGACCCCTGCCAAGTCCAGGATGAGGGTGTGGAAAGGTAACTCCTGGTCAGGCATCTTCTTGTCTGGCTCAGTTTCACTGAAGCCAAGGTTATCATAGCAGACGGGGATTCCTGATTGGTTGGTATCACTGTCTTTAAAGTTGAAGTCCTTTTGCAGGTCAAGCTGAGATGTTGTCTAGATTCAAAGGAAATAAAACGAAACTGAAAATGTCACAGGTTGTAGTTTAATGAAGTAAAACATCTACGTAGTGTTTCACATTTGTTTGATCCCACCTGAACTATAATGTTAGCCACAGAGCTCAACTTCTTCTTCTTCATCTGTTTGTCCTTCTTCTCTTCTTTTGCTTTTTCCTTCAGTTCTTTCTCCAACTGCTTCCGTTTGGCCAGGAGGAGTTTGCCAGGATCCAGCCTGGTCTAAACATGAACATGCTTTTATTAAGACTGATTCCCCTCATAAGTTTATTCAACCAACCGGCCAACCTCACAGCAGCTGGGAGAAACTGCTGTTTTGGCGAACAACGTTGGCAAAGCGATACATGTTGTGTCCTTGGTGATATTTTCCTGTGTATGATTTTGTAGTAATCTTCAACATGAACTTTGCCAAGCTGCTTTCAATCACTTCATCTGAATCTGACCTGACAGCTAATGTGGAAAAAACAGCTGTAGAGAAAAGGTCACGATCGCGCTGAAAGGCTCGTTTCACCGCACCTTTTTGATGACCTTCTGGCGAAATATTTCAGCATTTGCGAAATACAGCGGCGAGCAGTAGTTCAGTATTTTCACGCCTTTTATCGACTTGACCTGTGAAGGTGAAAAAGAAAAGGACTAAATAACCTTGAGTGTTGTGTGACAAAAATTCAAAAGCGAATTAGTTAAATACCTTGCCGTAAACCTTCGGGTTTTTGTAGATACCTGTGGCCTCAATTTCGACCAAAGTTGACCCATTTCGACTACAAGGAAAACACGATTAAAACAAGAGCTACACGGATATACTTTACATTCTACTGTATTGTTTTTTATAGGGTTGACTTACAACTGTGTCCTAAATATGACAATCAAGATGGAGAAGCCAACTCCAACAGCAACACCGTATGGTAAGCCAAGTAGGAATGTAGCCAAGAATGTCACAACCCACACACACTGGAAACAAAAGAACAATAGGTTCTTAATAAGGTCTGTGAAAATGAAAACACTGCATAGTAACACTGCTGAATGTTAAAAGTTTACACAGTCTGCTTTGCTCTTCTTCCATAAGTAATAAGGATCCGAGAGCTGCAGGAGTGGGGTCTTCAGGTTGACCACGATCAAGGCTCCAAGAACTGACTGCAGAAACATGATTATAATCACCTCGATCAATACTTCTATTAATCTTTTATCTCTTATTCTGAAGATGTTTTTTAGTATCATTCGTGCACCTACTTTTGGAAGTGGTCTTAAGTAGACTCCCAATGCAAGCAGTGTAACCATAACAACCACCATCACACTCAGACTGGCCAACTACGAGAAGACAGAAACAGAGCGGAGGTTTGAGATATAGTCGGTGACGTAACACAGTTACAGGTACTTGATCTCTCACCTGTGATTTTCCACCTGCGCTGTCCACCGCCATGGTTACGCACAGGGCGCAGCAGATCACGTGGATTTTAAAGAAGGACCCGAAGAAGTTGCCGCAGCCAAGAGCCAACATTTCCTGAAACGAGAACATTCACGTTCAAGAAAAAGTGAAATACAAGTTTTGAACAAGTGAGGAAAAGCAGTTTTACTACCTGGTTAGCATCCACATCGTAGCCGTGCTTGGCCGCTAACGTCCTCGCGACAGCCAAGTTGATGACATAACCAACAATTGCCAAAGAAAACGCCGTGCTCAACATGTCTCCCCAGTGACTCACAGTTGGTAGGATTGGCGTTGGGAATCTGCAACAAAGGCGACAAGTACACCTCAGTTGAAAAGAACCTAAACCTCCACGGCACTGTTCCACCGTACTTGCAATTACAGCATTTCATCTTCCTAGAGTACATGACTGGAGAGGTTTGATATCTGTGTGAAAATGTCTTACCCTAAAGGAATTTCCCCAACTATGTCCATGTGGTAGGTTTCAGGGAAACGCAAAGGGCCTGAGATGGCTGTGGCGACCACCACCTGCAGAAAAGAGATCAATCACTTCAACAGACTGCTTTAAAGAAATCTGAGCCACAGCTTCAAGAAATCAGACATTATCAAAGAAATATTAAAAGTACAGTAAAAGTTACTCACAACAATGATCTCCACAGGTATAGGAAAGGGCAGCTTGTGGCGGAAACGCCCGTTTAACTCCTTCACAACAATCATGACGACAATGCTGACCAGAGCGAACACGAAAGAGGTGATGTTTGTGTCAGGAAGACCGCGACCAATGTCAATGAGCCTCTGTGACAAAATTTCAAATCATGGATGTTATAGGCAAACATACTCATGTCTTTTAGTGTACTCTGGCTGCAGTATGAATGGCTGACTTACATATATGATAGCCAGAGGACCACTATGAGGTGAAACACTGATATCGAAGATGTACTTGAGCACCGAGATGAGAACTTGCAGCGCTGCAGCCGTCATGAAGCCCCTGATGAAAGATTCGGACAGATAGATGGCGATAAACCCGAACTGCATGAAGGCCAGGCCGATCTGCAAAGACAGAAAAAGGCCTCAAAGTGTAAGTTTTCTTTCACATTCTCACTCTCTCTCTCCAATTTCACTCAGATTTTAGAGCTACAAGTACCTGTATGATCGCTGTGAGACAGGCCAAAGTTCCAGATATCCCCAGTCGAACCTCATCCATCCTGTCAGTGTCCACCACTGTAGCATTAAGTGTGGCGTTAAAATGACTGAAGTCTGACTCTGGGGCCAGCCTCAGGCACACAGCTCCAACCATAATGCTGAGGACAGCAAACGTACCTACACAGAGAAAGAAATGTGTCACATCTTTTTTTTTCTTTACTGCAAAGTCAGGCAGCTGATCTGAGCTGCCGCCGCCGTTGCCGCCGCCGTGCAGCTCTGGCAACTTATCACTGTCATCATATGAAACGGCTGTAGATAAATCACTCTGATTTACCTGGGACCATCTGGGGAGCAGTGCCCATGAAGAAAAATGGGATGAGGGGGAAGAAAGAGGAATAGAGCCCGTTGACAGGAGGGAGATTTGCCAGCAGAGCAAATGCCATGCCTGGAAAAACAGGATCCTCTTTATAACCCTCATATAAACAATGGAAGAGTATTAAAAGATACCAGGGAAGAGCTAAAAACTGTAGCAGCTAGCAAATAGAGATCGCACTGACCTTGGGGGACCTGAATGGTGCCGGCGCTGACCCCGCCAACGACGTCGTATAGGAGGTTTTCTTTCACTTTGTACTTAGGGAGCCATCTCAGAACAGGCAGATGTCTGAATAACAAGCTCGTCAGCCTCTTCACAGAGCATCTACACAAACAAACAAGCGAAGAGAGAACAAGAGAGGCCTCTTTGAAGAGCTCAGGTTGGTCCAGAACACGTCTGAACGTCATATGGAGTCACATCTACGGGGGCTCCTCTCTGTTTGATCACCTCAGAGGTAGAGAATCTGTGATATGAAGACGTGTAGTTCGTGCTGACAGTGCGGAGAGATTGTGATTCTGTACCTGAAGTGTTTCTTCACTCTCTCGCCGACTGGGAATTGTCGAGTCTTCTTGTCAAACTCTCTGTCAAAGTCAGGGAGGTTATAAGCCGGTCTGTCAATCTCATATCGTGGGCGGTTCTCAGGCATGGCTGTGACATATTGGAGCGTATCAAGACAAGAGAAAACTCACTTTACCAGGGGTCCCCGAGATGCAGTGAAGGAAATATGATCTGACAAGTCTGCAAACATATCCATCAATGCAACAGGGTGTTTTATAAGATGTTGTAAAGATGTGTCTTTTTTTCAGGTATCAAGAGGATAATTTTACCTTTAGAGCTTGTGAGGAGTTTTATAGCTGGTTATAAAACAGAGTGATGTAAAGGAGTACAAATGCAAAACAAAAATGTCATGAAACACAAACTACAAATGTGCAGGAGATGATCTGAAAGACTAAGGACGCCATCGTTACAAACTCAAACTGAAAGTTCACAAAGGAGTTAAAGGTGAAGAGTGTAGAAACTGGGATATTGAGCAATATTCAGTGGTGCAACTCTAGATGGACGTGCTCCCTTGCTCGTCCTTGATCGGGAAATTTGATACGTTTTTGCAATCAAAATGTCTGAAGACTTACAGTGTTCTCTACTGCGCAATGCAACTTCGAAATGACATCAATATAATGTATTTTTACGACGATGAGGTACAAATGTGGGCGTCATTTCAACGTCTAAAAGAGGTCCAATAATGACGTCTAAATCTTGGATCCATTTTGCATGTTATGCCGACATCTAGATTTGGTCTTTGATGGACCGACCCAATACTGACTTGATCTGTACGTCTCCTCAACGTGTTTGGTGGGTTTGTGCCTAATGACAACTTCCATCCTCTTCCTCATCTTCTAACTGGTGTTTTTTTAACTTCCATTTGCTAAATACAAAAATCCTTGAGTTACTAGTTTGTCCATTTTGTGCTCCTGCAGAAACATGGCAGCTTGATATAAAGGGACCAGATATAAAAGGCTCATTTGATTTTGATTATTTGTCTTAAAAACATTAAAATTGGGCAAAAAAAGTTTAAAATGGTCTTAAGAGATAATATATGCAACCATTCATGTAAAAATTAGACATGCATATGTTCAAGGAGGGACAAAAAGAGAAAAACAGCTTACCTATGATCTATCAAGTCTGTCCTGTTCAGTGCTGCCAAATCCTACACACTGAACCTTTAAAGCACAGAAACTTAAAAGAAGTTTTCACCCTTAAATCCGACTAATAATTAAATATTTAAGATAAAAAATTTGCTGCTTTTTTTGCTGATGGTTTCGTTTACTGTTGAAGGTCACAGAGACGCATCAGGACCAGTTTGGGCCTGTTTCTAAACCAGTATAAAAACTCCTTACAGTGCCTTTAAGTTATTATTCAGTTAAGGATAAGGGACTTAAAGGTTTAATTTTAAGTCATTTTAAAATGGTATAATCATACTGTGGGGCCTCGACACATCATAAAGGAGTGAGTGATTGAAATATTTGGGTTCGACAAAGTAATTCAATAAAAAATTGATTCGTTTCCAGGTGAAAATGTGCGAACTTTACTTTTAACCCGTCAAACTAGATTCTGTGTGTGATATCTGAAAATTTTAAAGTGATTAAAATAAAAAAAGTTGAGGTTACTTTCTGTTCATTAAAAGTATAATTTGCAGACTTTACTTTTACAAAGAACAGCTCCTATTAATGTCAATCATTCACAGTCAACAATCTGGTATTTAGGAGATATTTTAGCCCACACTTAGCTCTAAAATTGTGTTGCTATTAAAATTAAAAGACCACCAAATGAAAATAATATTTTATCGAACAGCTTCTCTTGTATCTGAGCTGATCTAGACATCTAAAAAGAAAACACCAACCTTGTCAATGAAGTGCGTCTTCCGGCATCCAGCTCCGATTTCTGAATTACTCTATTGTTTGATTCCTTTCTAGGGCTAAACTTATCGCCCTCTACACCTTTTTGGGTGGAGCCTCCACGCTGAAAACTTTCAGAGAGCTTAAACCCATCCTGCCTGCTAAGGAGGTCAGAATCACTTTGAGTGTCGATTCATAAAACTGCTCAAAAGTAAAGAGAGGACATGACGAAAACGAACAATCAGTTGAACTTTAATGGGATCAGTTTCTATACACAGTCACACGTTCATTCTCTCATCATTGACACAAATTAATTTGACATATTTGAAGGTAGACATGAGACTACATCATTAAGACTACTCTGTTTGACCTACATAAATCAGACTAACTGTAAAATCAACGACACATATAAATAGTGTGTTTTTATCATTAAAAAGGGTGATAGTAACAGGATGACAATGTGTAAAAAGGACACAACCCTCCCTCACCTTTGTAACAGGATTTGTGTGCAAAACAAGGGCGTCGTTATCAAAGACTAAAGTGCAAGTATCAATCAAATCCATTTTCTTGTGGGAGGAATGTAAGAACTTTTGAGGTGACAGAACAAAGTGTGTCTCCCTCTGGTGGAGAAACAGACAAACAGCACGATTTCTACACAACAGAATTTTCTCAAGGGGAGAAATAAAAGCAGTGACTTTAAAAAAAAATGATCTTGAAAGTGCTTGGAGACATTTAAAAGAGCTTATAGCAGACTGTAAGACACAGAGGAGTGACGAGTCTGAGGTCGAGAACTGCAGTTATAAAAGGGAAACATTCAAGCTTCTTAATAAACAAGTTTAAATCTAGCATAGTCAGAGTTTGAGGAGCAAAGTTTTAGTTTTGAGAGTATTTTTACTTTCACTTTCACGATTCGATTAAAAGCCTTTTGTGTCTTAGAAGTGTGAGTAGACAAACAAAGAACAGAGAAAAACCCTGATAAGACCTGTCTGACAACCATCCTCGTCGTCACTTTTAGCACTTCCTTCTAAAGCAGCAGAGGTTTAGACTCACACAAATATGGGCTGGGTCATATAAAGTAGTGGAACAGGAAACAATACAAATACAGAGCTTCTTAAACAAGTGCAACTCCATGGGGTAAAAGTCAGCCGACTTTGAAATCTTGTTGTATCTGCTTTTCCTTTTCTTTGTTACCAACCCTCAGAGTCCTTTGTGGCCTAAAAAAGAAACCAGCACTGACTAGAAATCGCTGAGGATGCTGATGTCGGCGAACTCCTGGCGGTATCTGTGCGAATAAAGGGCCAAGAGGAAGGACCATTTGAGGGTCAGGAAGCTCCACACACAGGCCAGGTAGAGGCTTCTGGGGTCTGCAGGAGCTGGAGGACAGACAGAGCAGAGTGATGAATAAACCACCACACACATCCTCTTCACTATTTATTGATACTGATTAATTTGCACTCGGTGATATTACATTGTTCATGTGTGATGGCGAGAGCTAGAAAAGTGACGAAGGCGGCGACTGCCACGGCCGAGAAGAGCACACCGACAGCGATGAAGAACTTGAGGCCTTTGAGCCAGGTACGCCAGAAGTCCTGAAGGTACATGATGTGAGTGACGAGAGCCCAGAGCGCCAAAACTCCTGAGGAAGGACAAACACGCAAACACTTTAACGTAAAGCATTTTAAAACAAGGCAAACACAGAAAAAATGAAAGTTTCACTACTGCATGAAAATGAGACACAACCTCATTTTACTCCAATTACATTTCAAAGAAGGGCTGGTAGGCTCATTTAGGTTTTATTACTCTCTCTCTTTGATACCTTTGTGGTGCTAAATGTGATTTAAAACCCCGGAAACTCTAACTTTATCTCACCCTCCATCCAAAATGCTCTATTGAAGCTCCCCCTCCCAGCTTTCTAGAAGCCTCTTCCGCTGCTCGTTTACTTAAAATAACAAACAATAAAAATCTGGACAATGTTTCGGACCCCAAATCTGACCCTAAAAGTTTGAATGGAAAAATAAAATTTACAAAAAAAGAACAGAGTGGGTGTTATTGTCTTCTAGAGAGTACTACTACGCGGGGCAGAGTCGTGCGCAAAATTTTGAGGGTTTTTTTAGTCGGGTCGAGTGTTTTTTATGCGCTTTTAACTCAGTTAGTCCACGGTGCACAAACTCAAAACTTCTACACAAAACCCGTTGTTGTTTTTCTCAGTAAAATGAAGCCACACTTTTCGTTTATGCATACTTCTCATACCGTTCCCCATGTTTTTGTCCCCAAAGTCTCTGTTTTCGTTCCTGTAGACTGGCTCTCACAAGACCGTTTTTCAAGGCACCCAGAAGAAAGGAATCATTAAGATAAAGTGTAGACGATGTCGATGGATTGAACCATTTGGAACCGGTTCTAGACAAGAACTGGTTCTCGATTCCCATCCTTATATGTAACTGTTTAAACAAGCAAGTTTACCTCACAACTTGAAACTTTGCCCACAGTTAGTACTGGCATCCAATACATTCACTTAATATTTGATTGTAGAATATGAAGAAAGGATAACACCACCTCTTTAAAATGTTGTTTTTAGTTTACAAACAAGTATTCACCGCTGTCTCCAAATGTTGAAATATTTGCCGATCATATTGAAGAGGAATACTCTCTAGACCGAAGTTATTGAGCATCTCCTCTAAAAAGTTAACCAACAGGAGAGCACAGCCAAGCTTTAGTGTTTATTCCCCCTCTCTCACTGTTTGTATGTCCATCAAAATAAATACCAACTATTGCCTAAGCTGGGAAATTTGAGATGACCACAGCCGCCCATTAAACGCCCACTCATCTCAGTCAGTAATGCTCTTTAAAGTCAGCCTGCTGCCTCACACTGCACTAAGCACTTTATATTGTTGCTTTAATGGCCTGGTATCCTCCGTTAAGATAGGTGCACACTGCCTGTTTATGTTAAGAATATCAAAGCTGGTACTGTTGTAATTTAGCGTGTTGCTGTTACTGCTTAATATCCCTACAGTGGGCACAGTTTCTTTTATTAAAATAAATGAGTTTGTCCAGGAGGTGTAACAGCTTTCAAACTCTAAAGAATGATTAAGATAAGATGCTAAAGGATATAGAAAAACATTAGCTTCTGACGTTAGAGTTTGACACATTCTTTGCAGATATCAACAGGGTTGATATTTGCTGATACAAATGTGCAACCCATACAACAGTGCATCCCTAAATATGCTGTGTCTATACTTGGATTGTAATGTGTTACCTTGTACTTTATGGCATTTAATTGTACCTGCTAAGATATAACAATATCAGATATGCCGATATTTTCAAACTCATTTTGGCCAACACTGATATCAATATCGATAAATACATTTTTGTGTGTGTGTGTGTTATATAGGCTGAAATATGTGCCACAAGAAACTGAATCTTTTTTAATTCATTTTTTTAAGTTTAACAATTCAATTCAAATATAAATGATTCAAATTCAGTTTCTGGTGGCACATATTTCAGCCCATAGTGTTACTTTAACTGCGACTGTTTATTTGTTTCAGAAACTGACTTCATACAAGATAAACGACTTCTCCAGAGGACAAATCGGCTAAGTGCTGATACCAATAAATAACTTTTTAAGCTTTTGACTGCTGTTATCGCGCATGCCTTTCAGTTTTTCCAAAGGATATCTGAAAACAAAGGATGCACAATACTGATAGATGCTGATATTTTTAAACACATTTAACCTGATACCAAGATAAATTAAGTCAGACCTTTTTCTCCTGTTAAAGAGAACAGCAAGTCGCTCCTATGCTGGAATTTACCTGTTGCTCTAGTTGTGACAGTCTATAAGAAGACATGTGATTCTACCATAACTGACACGTGAAGATTTATCACATATCTCACCTTTATCACAAGACTCACCTTTTCACTAACTGCCTTTTTATACTTCTCTTATTGCAAATTTCCCCGCGTAACGTCTCGGTGTCAGGCCATGTCTCTTCAACAATATATCTTAAATTCTCATACTGTGTGTGTGTTTATGTGTGCATGTGGGTCCTTGGATGGGAGGTTCGGGTTTTATTCTTGTTAATTTTTTGTTTTTAGCTTCTGTGAGGCACTTTGAACTGCATTTCCTGTCTGAAAAGTGCCATAAAAATAAAGTTGAATTTGAAATATCATTTATTAATATAAGGTTGCCCACTTAGGTTCTGGATGGGAAAAATACTCTAAGCACATAATATCGGTCAGCTCCTAACACATGAGGAGGTCCACATGATAAAACATAATCACATTCATTGAAACTATAATACTTAATGACAGACTGAAAGGTATTTATTCATGCTGAGGGCAGGGATAAGCTCCAAATCTGGTCATATGCAGAAATGTGACTGACATTAGAGTATTAGTGCAGCTAACATTGAACAATAAACAATTGGGATAATAAAAACAACTGATGCTCATAGTTTGTAAGGATTATTCTTGTTTATTGTTTTTGCTCCAGTAGATATCACACTTCCTTAATACGATGATGCAATGAGTGTTGAACGTCCTGAATTAGAAAACTTAGGATTACATTAACATTTAAGACGATATTTGATTGTAAATGTGTGTAAACTTACCTGACAGGCCTCCCATCGCTGCTGTCCACGGTTGTTTATATGCAATATTCCATACCAGGAAAGCAGACAGTCCAACAATGGTGCCGAAGGTAGCATAACCTATGCTAATGTAAATCCTGCTGAGTGCCATTATTATTTATCACCGCTTTTACCCCAATTTTAAGAGTGTAACAGGAGCACAGAAACAGAAAACAAGAGTTATTCGGCGAACAGCTTACCGACGCCGACACATTATGTAACTAATATCCAAGAAGACGGCAAAAACCACTGGATTAAAGTCGCCCAGACTGAACAACACCAGCTCCTGTGGGCAAAACTAGCAGTAGGAATAAGTCAGGAAGAGTCTTGTGGTGTGAACAATGAGAAACACACACCCAAAAGAAACAAAAAGCAGATTTCATGTGAGCTATTAGCAAGAATTATAAGTGTTTATCTTCCACACGCCGCAAAGATGTTCAAGTGTCACGGAGATAGCAACACAACAGCCGGTTCCTGTCTTCAGACGACGCCGTTTCATGTACTCCAGAACCGCGTTTCTTATTATTTTTCCGTCTACTTAATAACATTAACTTCACGAAATATTCTTGATTCAAAATGCTTCGTAAATCTGAGTCTATAAGGATAAGTCTTTCGTTTGTTTCTCAGCGTACATTTGTGAAGTTATCTATCACTTCTGCTCTGGATATCTTTGTAAAGATGAGCCCTCGCTTTAAAACACACCGGCATCTAGTGGAGGAGTTAGGAACTACAAGTGCAAAAAGTAAACGGTTAATTTAACTGTCTCAGAAATAAAGGGGAGGAAAATAGTAACCATTTCTGATAACTAAAAGTTATTGAAGTTTGTTTTGTGCTTATTTTAGTTTAGTTTATTCATTTGCACATGACAAATAAAGAACAATTTCATGATAGATTTTAAGCAGCATTGTGCAGGGGAGGTTAGAAGCCAAAAAGGCTTGTCAAAGTACCTTCCCCTGATATAGCTGCAATTAATCTAAGCAGCAGTGTAAGTTTTCAAAAAACAAACAAACAAACAAAATAAACATGCAGAAACAACAATAAAATCTAACAGTAGCAAGTAAATATAAACTACATGGCAGTCAACAAATCCAATCAAATCAAATGGATCCAAGATCAGCTACTCAAAACTATCACAGCAATGACCTCTTTAAGTGCCGTTTAAATGATGATAATGAAGATGCTGACTGTAGAGTGTAAGGTAGTTGGTTCCACAAAGATGGGCCTCTGTATTTCAGTGTGGATTGGTTCAGAGATGTCCGACAAAAAGGAAGGTGAAAGTCCTTAGAATGACTCATATAATATTTAAATTCAAGAACATTTAAATTCTATGAGCATAGATGTTCCACAGATCCTCAAAGTGTTAAAGTTATGCAGCAGAAAGAAAGCTGCAAGGTAGAAAACAACTGGCCTGACCTTAATGGGTCATCATAAAATTTGATGCAACATTTTCAGAGGGAAAAAAGAGGAAAAATAAAGTTGCATCTACAAGATTTCGCCTTGATTCAATGAGGCGATGTTCAGGGTCTGATTGTAATGCAAGTTGAAGTCTGTGCCTTGCAGCTGAGCCTCAAAGCTTTCCTGTGGTTACTCTGCAAAGCATGTCATGTAAGGTGGAAAACCACAGTTCAGATTTTCTTAGAAGTGAATGCAAACTAAAGCAAAAGCAAAGTTGATCACAGTCTGATCCTGTCCTCACAAACTCCCGTACAAACACACACTACGGTGTCTCAGTGCTGTACATAGCTCAAGCCTCAGGGCACTCTCTTCATGACCAATCAGGAAGATACAGGAAGCCGTGTCCAGATACACTCCCAACAACTCCCATAAACTGGAATGACTGAGAAATCATCCTCAGGGTCGTGAGAGGAGAGAGAGCGAAGAGGGGGACGCAGAGGAGCAAAAATTCAGTGGACGATAACAGATTGAAGAATCTAGATGAGCAGAGGTGAGTCTCTTATTATTTAACAAGGTGATTTAAAAGACTGTTTGACTTATTTTGAATTAAGTGATTTATGATATAGTCATGAACTGGTTTTATCGATCAGATGGGACATTGACAGTGAAGATGCACGATCATCCGACCTGTTCAGAGATGTGCACAAAGATTTTATGGGCAGTTTTTGCTCATTTTCGTGAAAGAAATGACTCAAAACCTCAGAATAGAGCAAGTTATTTATTCCTGTATGGATAATATTTATTAGTGAGAGAGTTTATTCATAAAGCATGATCATGTGACAGCACAACACGTGGTGGATGTGCGGAACATGAGGCATTGTGAACTCAAGAAGGTTTCTCTACGTCTGCTTTAATGCGTTTTTCTCAACATGTCTACCTCACCTGACCGCCGGGTCAAACAAATAAAACATGTCTGTCACCGCTTACTGACCAGGGGACAGGAAGGAAAAGGTGTGTGTGTCCATGTGAGTTTGTGTGTGTGTGTGTGTTTGTTTGAGAGAGCTCCTCTAGACAGGCACAACAAAGTAGTTGGCAAAGGACACGTTTCCCTGGGCGTAGATGTGTTGCAGGAAATCCCACTCCCATTCCCGGAGGACTTAAATAGCAACACACACACAAAAATAAATACTGGAGGACAAATAGAGAGAGAGAGATAAAGAGGTAGAGAGGAGGAGGAGGGGGTAGACAACAAGAAAAACAAGGAAAAAACAAAATTATAACCCAAATTCCTAAAATGTTTGGTTTCATGATGTGTCACAGTGGGTAACAAGACAGGCTGGCTCAGTATCAGGACTCGGGGTCAAGGGTCAGGGGTTCAAGCGCAGGTCCAAGACATGTGACATGTGATGTGAAAGCATTCTGAGTGATCAGAGGACCAGAGATAGCGATGCATAAACATTTACACAACAACGGTACTATTAACTACAGACTGTAGATGAGGAAATCCCCACATTTTTTTTCCAAGTTTATCCTGAGGAACATAAATCTGAAACTGTTGAACTCGAACCTCTTCACCTTTTTACCTCACTTACCCAGGCGTAAAATTAAGTTAGGATCAAATACACCACAACACCAAGTTAGACACCCCATCGAGAGTTGAATGTTGCTGACTGCTTGCTTCTCTAGTTATACCAACTTTACTAACGGCCGCACAATAGCAATGCAGAGAGCCATTTCTTCATGGAAATGCAATCAGACCAAGACGTTAAGGCAGAAGAACTAACGCCTCTGCAGTACAAAATGATTAATATGATGATTGTTACTTCAAGGAAATTATGAAGTGATGATCATAAATGTTCTTCCTTGAGCTGTGTCACCCCGCTGTAGTCGATAGACTAACCCGCAGGTCTCGCTACAAACAAGCGGCTGCTGGAAGAGAGTGATTAAGTTGTGTTTAGTCTCTTTGCTCCTTGCTAACTGGAGAAGCAACCGGTCGGCAACATTCATCTCTCGATGGGGGGTGTCTAGCTCGGTGTTACGGTTGTGTTTGACCCTAACTTATTTTAAGCCGGAATATCCCTTTAACCTCTCTAAAATGTGCTTTTTTACCCAATCGTGTTACTAAAATGTTGAAATTACCTTAACTAGTTGTAAGACAATCCTCCTGGAGGTTTTTTAGATGTCCCTGTCCCAGCTTTCTATGAACATGTTGCAGACATCAAATATAAAATGAGTGAGATGACAAATTATTTCTGTTGTGATATTTGAAATGGGCTTTAAATGATTTACTTTTCTGTTTTAATCTTTTTTTTACTTTTTTTTTCAAATTGGGCCTGTAGAGTTTGCACGAATGCACATTAATTTACCCAAAGTCTAAAAAATTCAAAACCTCCTAATCTGAAAATTCCCTACTTTTTAGGACTTTGGGTGGCACACTCCCTTGTTTCAGATTGCAGGGCGTCTCTAATCTCAGTAGAGGGCAGCATTTATTTTCTAACCACCAGACGGGCATATGAAGTAAGCATCACACTCTGCATAAAAAAAGTGACCTGAAAGTCGAGTCACAGCAGAGTTCAAGGTGCACACAGCCTGGATTTGTTCTCTCCTGTGATTTATCATCCTTTGCCGAAAAGGGTCATCCAACACTTCAGCTGTGTTAATGAGCTTTCATTTTAATCCCAGGGCCACAAGGCAATTAGCATCCAGGAATTGAGATAATCCACCTCTTCAGTAGATTAGTCGTTGTTTATGCTCTTTCACAGTGGCTGAAGCCTTTCAAATGTAATTCAAAGCAATCATAAACCAGTCTCCTCAACGATGAGCTGCTGTGCACACCAGACAAACAAGACAGTCACCCTGTCAGATGCTATCGTCAATGTGCTCTCTCTTATCTGCCAAAACCGTTGAGTTTACATTCCCCCAGGAGGTCATGAGAAGGAATGGATTCCTTCATTGAGAACATTCTTAATTTTTTCACTTCTGAGTCCCTGTGAGGCATGTTGAAGAGACAGAGAGGCACAAAGAGCACAGAGAGCTCACCGTCGAAACAGGATTCACTGTGCGGTCTGCTTTGATGCTGCTTTTATATGGACAGCCGTAAGTGGCGCATCCTCATGACTCCACGGAGGGCTAAATTTGGTAAGGAGATGTTCATTCTTCTGAAAGATTCTTTTGGATTCTGGTTACAGTCGCTCTAAATGTACAAAAAGAGTAATGAATCAGCTGTTGTTACGTGAAACAAAAAGAGGGTTGTGATACAAAGAAGGTCTTTGAGATTTGGGATCCATCCTTCACTCACCACAGGCACTAATGGAGGAGAGCTCTCAGAAAGAGGTACTTATATTTGTAACAGAGAAAACGCACAGGAGCAACAGGTGCTGGAGTTATAATAGTACCCAACAGAAAAAGCAGTTTCTATACGTCGCCCGTCTGTGACTCTCTATCTGAAGGAACGAGCAAACCCGAGTATAGCAACCTGGACAGAATGTATGTTCCTGTGTGTGGAAAGCAATCTGACTCAGGCACCGAGTCCAGAACAGGAAGGGCAGCCCCGCTCAGAAACAATAGCCAGGCTTTAAACAAGTCTTACATAACGTGTCAGGCCTGTAGGACACAGTTGACCATGATCCAGTTAAAACTGGAGGTCCAGGAAGTCAAAGAAACCAAAGGGTCCCTCGTCCTTGTTTGACAGTCTGCACATTTCAGTGTTTTTGTCATGAGTGTTAAATAGGCATGAAGTGAATTCCCATGCTGATTTTCTTGACTCTTACATGTTTCTCAATGTTTCACACAGGTACCGTCCGAGTCCGCACAATGGAGAACATAGTGAAATCCTTTATTTCTCCACCAAGACGCTGCACGCCAGAGACGTGGGAAGTAAGTTCTCTGACTCTGTCATACAACACAAGGTTTGAACACACAAGGTTACGATACTAGGAAGGGTGTCATAAATGCAGAGAGTGCTGTGAAAGTATTGGTATCGATACTGGTATCAGTATCTGTGACGGTATCTATATCAGTACCAGTACCTATATTAGTAATGGTGTCAGAATGAGGTACTCATGTCTGTATCAGTTTAGTTATCAAAGTCAGTGTCAGTATCAGTACCAGTACTTGCATGGGTATTGGTGTCTTTATCTGTATCTGTATCAGTACCAGTGAACATATCTGTATACCAGTACCAATATCACTAAAGGTACCTATATAGGTTTTAATATCAGTATCGATATTGGTACTCATGTCTATTAGTATGGATATTAGAGTCAGTACCAATATCCATATAGGTACCGGTATGCATTGGTATTGGTATCTGTATCCTTGGTAATAATGCGACTGGAATCTGTATGGGTGTATCAGTGTCAGTATTGGTACTCATGTCTATTAGTTTGGATACCAGAGTGTGTCAGTATCAGTACCAGTACTTGCATTGGTATTGGTATTGGTGTCTGTATCTGTATCAGTTATTGTATTAGTATATGTGTACCTATATCTTTAATGGTATCTGTATAGGTTTTATTATCAGCATCAATATTGGTACTCATGTCTGTTAGTATGGATATTAGAGTCAGTATAAATATCCGTATAGGTACCAGTACCTGCATTGGTAGTGGTATCTGTATCCTTGGTAATATCACCACTGGTATCTGTATATCAACATAAGTACGTGCAATAGTTCATACATTGATTTGGTGTCAGTATTGGGTATTTTTTTATCTGTATGTATATCAATATCCACATGTATAGGCAATGGTTCTGGTATTGGTATCTATAATAATACTGATACCCATATTGGTATCATAGGTGTATCGGTAAAGGTGTATCTGTCCTGGTAGTATTGGTGCGAGTATCAGTATCAATACCAGTATCTGCATCATAACTGGTATCTATACTGTGGCAGTATCGGTCTTGGTCTCTTAACTGGCATATATATGACAGAATGTGTCTTTATAAAATCAACTTGCTTACATGAAATATAGTAGCATGGTGCTGCCACTGTCGATTTATCATGTCTCCAAATAGCAAATACTGTTTGTAACATCACTACCACACACCAAAAATTAAAGGAAACAACAAGATGACACAGCAAAATACATTCACATCTGAATGACGCACCTGCCACTTTAATATACAGCACTCTGACTTTTATATATCTACCAGTAATGGGTCTGCAACAGTTTAACACCTGGACAAAGGACAAACCCCTGCAACCAAAGTGAGAGGCAACAAACTACCGCTGAGAGACTCCAAGTGCTGCTCTAAAACCCTTACTGCTTTCTAACCTGGAGGCAGTTTATCTTTGAACCCACAGAGCGGGCAGAGTCAGACAGCTGGGCAGCCCGATAAGTGTATGTGTGACTACTGACTGGTGTGGGCTGGCCTGAAAAATGAAGACAACATATACAGTGCCAGCATGGAACACTGTGTCTGCCATAATAACTTTGACCCAGTATGTGAACATAGACAGAGTCAGGTGAACAGCTCTACAGGTAGTTTGCAGTCCTCCTTATTTTCTAGGTTGTTTTTGTTTGGTTTTATTGGGATCTGTAAAATGGGGATGTTCAGGTGATAAAAAACTAACATTACATGGGGCATCAAAGAGAGATGGTGGAAAACATTGGTAAGACCGACAAGTGCATGGATTTTATCATGGGTTTTCACGCCTACATGCAAACTGCAAGTATCTATATATACAGTTCCCCCACCTGTCAACAGGAAATGGCATGATTTAATCTGTACAACCCCACCTGTGGTGAATATATTCTCTTCAACTGTGGTCAGAAAGAGCCCCCACACCTTATGGAGCACAACTGTTACCACTATGAGTGTTCGTTGAAGGGTGTATCTCTGATGGTGCATCAGATATCAACAGGAAGTCATCTTAACACCTTCAGACAGTGTTCAATCAGTTCAAAATTTTGTATACATCATAAATATCCATTTAAATTCAGATTTCTCAACTAACTTCATAGTGCCACCATGTGGGAATATGGTCAATCTGGTCCGAATTTCAAAGGTTTGATGATTGTCCAATTCTCATATCACCTACGTTTACATTTTGGTCATAAAAATAGCGCCAAATACCGGAAACAAGTGGCAACAACTCTCAAAAATAAAGTCCAGATGAATGAATGACAACTTTGTGGAGGTCATGTGAAAAGTAAAAGCCAATCGTACACTATCCAGAAAGATATTCATCAACCTGGTTCAGGATGGGAGCGACAGGTGCCAGGTGCCAAATGATCAATAGTTTCCCTGCACCTGGCAGATGTGACAGCCTCATCACCTCTTGGGGCTTTACTCCATCTTCTTTCTGTTATTTTTTAATCATTATTCATTATTAGATGAGTTTTCACAGCTGATCAATGCAGACAGTCATGGTAGGTAGCCTTTTGATGCCTGACACCACAAATTATGGAACGAATATATTTATTTATCTTGTTTGATACATTAGATGTTTTTGGAAACTAATAAACTAAAAGAGGACATTTTTATCATTTATCAGACTGTATTCAGGTGTTTTTTCAGTAATTTGTTGATCATATTGATTTGATAGAAGTATATTAAAGTATGTATCAAATGATACAAAAGGCAATAAAGGGTTAAAGAAAGAAAAATAACCGTGTATAACACTTGTGTTTTTGGCAAATGGCTGTCCACCTGTATGTCTGGTTCTGCTTGAGGTTTCTACCTATTTAAATGATATTTTTTCTTGGTTCAGTGCCTGTGTCTATGAAGGAATTGTGTTTACAAATATATTTTTAAACGGCCTGGTGAAATGATCACGTTTTGATCTCATACAAACAAGGAACAAATAGCTCACAGCGCACCTGTCCCGTCACAGGTATGTCAGTGATGTCAATCTAACCAAACCAAACACCGATGATTAGGCGGTTTGAGTTCCCAGGGAGGTTGTCGGTCTGGTGACTCCGGGTAGTTCCTGCCAAGAGTCAGAGCAAAGCGCACACACGCAAACCAGGCAGTGCGCCTGTGCTGCAGGATGGCTGAGGAGTATTACGCGCCCCGTCCGCTCTGAGAGGACACGTCTAGAAAGGGAAAGGGTCTGAGGTTGGATACAGGAACAAGAACCTGACTGGATCTGGCCAAAATGCGGAGTCCTGAGCTGTTGACACTGTTGTGCAGTGAGAGGAGGTTAATGTGGGTCGATCTTCTCTTGCGGTGAATCATGCCTGCAGGCTGATCTTCTGACAGGGAAAGTTGTTCGTGGGTTGTTTTGATCTGAGACAACATGCATCTGTTTCGGAGTCACAATTACCGAGTGTTCCCGGACCGATTCTCAGTGGAAACGCCGAGCATCCGAGGAATCAGCTGGGTATGCTGCTTTAACCAATCCTTTAGACGAGTCACTAATATAACGTAGAACAAGAAATGGTGTATACTATGTTGATGATCTGAATATTTGATGATATTCGATCTGCAATGCAGGAATATCAAGACGCATGCTTGTTTGGCATTAAAGCCTGGCGTGCGTAAAGGTGCATTGGCATCAAAATACGCCACAAATGTCAAAATGTTAATAACTAAATCTTAATTTGTTGATTTGCTTATTTTACAAGTCAATATGTGATATTTTGGGATTATACTAAAGGGGGTATTAATGCGTAATCTCTGTTTAATGACGATAATCTGCAAAGTGATTTACTGGTGGAGTAAATAAAGTGCACTGAGTGATAAACAGCCTCCAATTTCACCAAAAGTGAAAGTTGAAATGAGCAAAGCATGACCATTCTCAGGTTAAGATGTGACACTTCAATACAGTATCACTGAGTAAATGTACTCCTTTACATTCCTCCTATAATAAGGATCACCGTCTTTGTGTACCCCACTCATTTGTATTGTGTTGTATCTTTATAACTCTGTGTTTTTATGTGGATGAATCTGACACTTCATCACAAAACAACAACTCAGAGATGGCATTTGCTCTTTGTAAATTTCATCAATTATTCTGAACCCCAGCTGGAGGCTGCTGATGAATCTTCTGAAAACCCATAATCATAATTTATTGTACAAATTGGCTGACGCTGAATGTCAGACACATGGAGCTTTAATAGCCCTGAAAGCTTTTTATTAAAGTGCAAACGTCCACTTTGCACGAGCGCATTAAATGCATTTCGTGCTGAAAGTAAAACGTGTTAATGTGACAGATGCAGCGTTGTTACCCTTTCGTCTTCTCACCCACACTCTCACACAGTTAAGGTCCCCCCCCAAAAAAAGACAGCAGATTGTAGTTATTTCAAGAATGCTTAGAGTGGACTGTGGCAGATTCCTCTATTGTTTCAGCAGCTTGGGTGTGGGAACACAGGACGGTCATAAGGCACAAAGGTTTTTTAAATCAAACTCAGGGTTATTAATAGTGTATTGTGTACCTTGAGCGCTACACCCCCGCTCAGTTTACAGAGGAGTTTTTTGAAGACAAATACACAAAGGGGAGGTAATTGTTTCCAAGTCACAGGAAGACACGGAGCAGAGCTGAGGCTCTTAGGTTCTAAATTTACTCGACTTTTAAGCATCAATGGGTCAAAGAAGACTGTAAATCTACACAGGCCGCCTTCTGAACTTCCTGCTGCTGAAAGCCAAATATCAACGCCGTATTTCACACAAAACTGCTACAAAGGCTAGATGACAATAAACTGTAAATTTAACTGACTGTATTCTGGCTTTGGCGTTCCAGTTCAACCCCCTGATAGCTTCAGTCTTAATTATCCTCCAGTGTAGCGTGCTGCACATACTCTCAAATGTCACACACAAGTGGTTAAACTTGTTGTCACTGCACGAGGCGAGTGTATGTTTATACAGGTTATCTCAGTCATTATAAATTACACAAGAGCTCTTCCCAAGAGCTCTTCATTACAGGTCAATCACAAGATTTACACGGAGGCGTGATGGCCGAGTTTACAACACACGACGACTTCATGGTGATGCATTAACCTGACACTGTTCACATCTTTCCTTTGGAACTAACTGACGTAAAAGCAGACCCCTCAATTCTTCATGTTTTCACTGCGACCATATTTTTCTGAGTGGCGCCATACGGCTGTTTCCCAGGCTAACAAATCATGGACAACAAACTGAGGCCATTTTACTGCTTCTAAGTTATTCAGCAGCCGAAAAAAGCCAGGAGATAGCTGAGCAAGTGACTTTAACACCGAAATATGCTGTTTACGTTAGACCAGCTAGAGGAAATACTTGCTTACTTGCTAACGTTTAGCTCGAGCTAACAGTAATTTAGTTGGGTGATTGAGTATTTTGGTTCCCATATTTCATTGTAAATCTTTTTATAGTGTGTTTATAAAGGGTAAAGGTTTACGCATGAATCGGCAGGATTAGGAGGGAGACCAACAGCCCATCTCTGAGAGGGCTAAAATGCTGCGATGGCGCCATAGGGTTATTTCTTAGGCTAACAAATCATGGACAACAAACTGAGGCCATTTTACTGCTTCTAATTCAGCAGTAGATAGCTGTCAACTAGTCACTAGTAGATAGTAACTTTAATACCAAAAGATGCTGTCAACATTAGACTAGCTAAAAGAAATACTTGCTAACTTGCTAACGTTTAGCTCTAGCTAACAGTAATTCAGTTGGGTAACTGAGTATTTTGGTTCCTGTATTTCATCGTAAATCTTTTTAGAATGTGTTTTAAAAGGGTAAGGTTTATGCATGAATCTGCAGGATTAGGAGGGAGACCAACAGCCCTCCTCAGCTTCATGTTTTTGCCCGTTTCTAGGTTGATTGAAAGTTAGTTGGAGTTAGCATCCCTGATATGGCGCCCCCTATTGTTTGTTTTGTCACCACAGAGATCCTGTGTCGTACAATCCAGCTGTTGCATCTGAACTTGTTGTTTTTACTCTAGAGAGAGGCTACTCTTTGGATTTTTCTTTATCATTTTGTTTTTCATTTACTTTAAGATGATTGGTTAAAGTCTCTGAATTTATGAGACGCAGCAGGACAACTTTCCAACCACATTTGAGGTTTCTGTCTCAGTTTGGCGTCAGAGGAAAATGGCTACCATGTGAATATTGTGAGGAGGTTCATTTCATAAGTGTGGGATGTAGAATCTGCTATAGGCATGATTTAACCGCCAGGGTCAACTCTGAGCATCATTATGAGAGCAGAAAGCTTTGTTTTCTTGTCTTTGCTGCTCCTGTGACACAGATGAAGAAAAACAACAAAATAATCCTCTTTTTTGTCCTTATGCAGATTCCTAAGTGTGTGTGCCAGTCCACAGGGAAGACAGGATTCTTGTTTTTTGACTTTTTTCGTTTACACATGGACCACATTTGTCATTTTGGTTAGGTCACAACAGTAATCAACTATCATAAATGGTTTTATGGGGTCATGTTCATACAAAAATACTTTAATTAGAACCCAAATTACCATGAGTCAAGCTGCATCATGTTTATCCATCTCTTAGCCTGCTATAATAAACTTACAGCGGGAGCCAATAATTTTTTTATGAGCCGGTTAAAACAGTTGGCAACACGCCATCCAGGCTGTGGTCATGTGACGTCGGTGGCTGAGGAGCAGAGCAGACAAAACACGCCACAAAGTCTGTCTGCTTAAAGCCTGGAGACGCTTTAACAGATGCTTATCTGAAATGTGAGGAGATGATCGCAACTTCCTGATCAATGCGGACAGCGAGCATATGTGTGAGTGTCAGCCATGGCATGTGACCACTTTAAATACTTTGAATGTTTTTGCAAGCTGTTCATACAATACACAAAGTCATACCTATAAATACAGGTACCTGTATGCTATTTTAAGTTAATGTTTGTAAGATGAACGCGTCCAATTTGTGCCACCTGTTAGTTTTCCAGACATGGCGACAAAAGCGAATTCCCCCACAAGCTACCAGATTTAGAGTGAATATTTGATCTTATTAAATGTCTTTAAAAGGATTTGTAAAGTCTTTGAATTAAATCCATTTGCCTTGGGAATGCAAATTGAGTAGAGCAGCTGAGAGTGAGGGATCATAAAATCATAAAAACAAAAAGAGGAAATGCAGCCTTGGCCGAAGTACAGACTTGGGAATGTTGGATATTTGTGTGTGTGAACAGGTTCGAGTTAAACAAAGGTGATCTCACTCTTAAAAGAGCAAAAAGGAGAGACTTATCCAGAAGTAGTTTTATTTTAAACCTACTGCTGCAGAGGACCGGTGTTTAAATAAAGATTGTCTGAAGTATCCTGGCAGTTTGAAGCACTTTTTAATTTCAAGACTGTGTGGAAACAGACGGTGTCCTTTTTTCCTCCCACTTCATTACACACACTTCACACCCACCCACATCCCACTGGAGACAATGGTAACACCGCACAGGTTGAGATAATATATTTGTGTTGACCTCAATACCAAAGAAAGGAAAATAATAGTCTTTTTTTCCACCTCTGGACGGTTCAGCTTGGTTTTAAGTGTTCATTATCGTGGAGATTATCATCACATCCTGTCCGGCTTGTTCCAGAAGAATGCTGTTCTAAAGAAAGTTATCGGCTTTATATCAGAGGCTTTAGACATGCAGAAATGGTTCAGTAACGACTCTTTCTTTTGTGTTTCTCTCAGACGCCGCTGCCGGAGTCCGTTGGTCCTAAGGACACAATGAAGCAGGTGTGTATGCTGAGGATGTGAGATATGCTTCGGTAAATTAGCTTCAAACAGCCACAGGAAAATGCTTACTGTACGTTCTCGCTGCAGGGGTGTGTCTAAAAGGTGGCAATGACCCCCTGGCCACCCTTGAACCCAACTCTGAAATATGAGTCGCCACCCCTAATCCTCAATTATGACTGGATGAAATAGAATTTGAAGGTTTGCAGTGATTTTAACACAATATTAAATTAAAATAAAGCAAACACAACATTACACTTTTATGAAAAATATTACATGCTATGCTAATTTTCAGTTTGATGCTAGCAACATGTCTCAAAAAAGTTGAAACAAAGACAACAAAACATTGAAAAAGCTGTGTAATGCCAAAGAAAAACCTACAGAGGACGTCTACAAGCCATTTAGGTTCATTTGCAACATGTTAGTAGGTAAAGATACAAGGACATTCACTATTTGTGAGAGACTTCGAGAGCAAATAGGTTAGCATTTTCCCCCAACAATGTCCCTCAGAGCAAAACTAGCCAAACACTAAAGAGTAAAGTGTCAGGATTTCTTTGAAGATCTCCAAAACAGGCGACTCATCATTAGGTAACAGTATTTGACACAGTTTGGCACAGGCCTTGAATGTCAGTCATCAACCTCGTGGTTTTCAGCTGTTCTGACCTCTGCTATCATCCCGAGTTGCAGTGTTTGCATCCTCTCAAACTGCTGAACTTGGTCTTTTGTTGTTATTATATCCTGCATTACTACTCAAGCGAGTCTTTAGAAAAAAAAACACATTCCTAGCAGGGCAGGCAGTCAGAAGGAGTCTAAAGGGCACTTAAGGGCTCTCGGTTAATTGACCCTCTCCACCATCCTTACCTCACCATGACCCGGCCCCTTCGCACTGTTTTATCTCAGCTCCTCCAAGAGTGTGTCAAGGGGAGAATATTTAAATCACTGATAACAGAGTTTAACATGGACAGCATCTTTCAACACCAGAAAAAGAGTCCATGCCTGTACGTTCAGTTTTGTGCTGGGGAGGGAGGCGATACAGAGAGTAATGGTGTCTGCAGGAGGCAGGTGTTGCTAACCTCTCTGGGCTTTGTTTGGTTGCTTAGCAAGCGTTGGCTCCAGGTTCCTATAGCTGCTAATGACCATCATACATTTTCTTATCTCTATACAAGACAGATTGTTTTTAATAACCAGTAGTCTTTGAAGCATGCTTTTGTACACATAAGTAGAATTTACCTTATTTGATATATAGCTGGAGAATTAATATCCGCTGGTCACATTAACAGGACTGCAGTGAAAGTTTGACATACTAATAATCTAATGGCCGTCTCCAAGGCCTGGAAAAACATATTAGCCTTATCAGTCAGGGGTTTCAGGATGGAAATGTTGCCCTCAGAGCTGGCTCTTGTATTTTTCTCACACTGAGACAGGGGGGGAAAAAGTCAGGTATCTGTATTCTACAGAGCTGCACTGAGCTCTGCGTCAAACTCTCACAGTGTTGAGCCGAAACTACTTCTCACACAGCTCAGCCCACTGAGGTCAGCCAGAGAGCAAGAAACAGAGAGATGTGTCGCCTACAAAGGAGACAAGGAGTGGATTACTGTACTCATCGCTATTCAACCCCACAATGCCTCAAAACAAACCACATACCACACACTTTACTGTCACTGCGAATCCACAATAGCTCCTGACTGTGTACTTGAGGCACTTATAGGCTAACAGTAAGTATTAAGAGTTAGTTAATTAGTCTAAGAAAATAGCAGATAGTCCACTGTCCATTAGCATCCTTCAGTGTATAGTGGTTAATTTTGATGCTCAGTTGATCAGGTCCAAGCTCTTGAACTCTCGGCTTCTCCTGCAAAGATCTCCTCTCAAACTACAGCCTTTTCAGCAACTCAACTCAGTTTTCTTTCTGTGATTTGTCAGTAGCATTCTCAAAATCCTCAAAATTTCTCACAGGTTCATGAAGTTACATTAGCCTGATGGACTAGGACTTCTGCGATGCTACATGCCTAGCTATTTTTGTGTCACAACAAGGACATAGACCTTTTCATGTAGGCCGGTAATGTGTATTGTGACCACTGTCTCCTGTTTTGAAGAAGAGTGACTGCACGTGTGTAACCTGAAACTAAAGTCAAAGGAGGCCTGAGGGTACAGATAATAGTGGTGGTGAGGTGGTACCCAAGCACCTTTCTATTGACCAGCAACTTGTAGACAATACCCTGCTAAAGAGCAAACTGTACATGCAACAGCTGTTTTGCAGCTAACCCTGCAAACTTTTGCTTGCAGTGATATATGACCATGTAAAGATCATATGAGTCTGACCGTAAAAGCTAAACCAATATAAGTTGATTGTTATACTTTATACCAGTGGTCTTAAAGGCCAGATTCTACCCTGTAAAATGTCCCAGAAACGCATTAGATACCCGTCATAAAAAGGGGTTATGACTGCCTGTCCAAATCTCACAGATGGCCCATACATCAGTGTCGAGCTCTGCACTCTAGCTGTGTGTGCATTGTACTTGGAAAAGGTGTTTGCTTTGTAATTTGACTCATTGGGAACAAATGCCATCGTAGATAATATGATTAGGTGGCCTACATGCAGACAATAAACACACGGTACACCGAAGAGAGACAGAAATATCCTTTGGAGTCCTTAGTTTACATTCAGGTTTAGCAGTGAGGTCCGAGCTGAGGTTGCTTCTGAAGTTGTTTTTGTAAGGACTGGGTAAGGTAATGGAAAAATTGCTTCATCAAGAAAATGAGTTCTGACGCTGACATGCCTGAGAATGTGACTGTGGCAGTCCCGAGGGAAAATGGGGCCCCTGGGAATATGGTGGCCTATTGAAAAGATAACTCTAGTTGGGCACAGTGGACGCCCTAGGTCACATTAACTCTGCTGGTGTCAGGTCTGGGAACAGACATGCATGGCTATAATGATAGGTTAATGTTTATTCTGTACATTCACCCTCACAAAAGTCAGTTATCAGTCATTGTATATCATAATTTACGTCTCTTCGTGAACTTGGACCTAACAAGCATGTGTCATGGCCTTAAGTCCAGGTGAAAGGGGAGAGGTCACGTTTGCGTCAGGAGGTCTGTGAAAAGTCAGGTGGTGTTTTTATCCACTGAATGAGCTTCAGAAAACTGGATGAAAGCAGAGATTGTGGATGTTTGACATTTTATTCCTTTTACAGCCACAAAGTGTAAAAAAAGGTCTTTGTCAACTGAGTTTTTCTTGCTCTACGTTGACTAATATAGCCATAACTTCGAAGAATTGACTCTATTTTTGAGTGCAGACTCTGGGGGCAAGTAACATGATTTCTGGTTTTAAGCATTCCTGTCTCTGTTTTCATTTTGGCTGGGAGCAGGAAGACAGGAGTTTCGGGTGAGCGAAAGAAACCAAATGAACCAGCCAAAATGTTATCCATCAGATCATCTTCATCATATCTGCCTGTAAGATCAGATGACATCCAAGTCATTTCAACAAGAAAAGAAACGAGAACAGGAAGTAAAGAAACATGGCTGATGACAAGATGGTTGTCAAGCTAAACATTGCTCGCTGCTAAGCTGTCTGGTACATCCAATGTGGTCGCAATTTCTGTTCCCCTCCTCTCCTCATTAGTTTGATGGTTGTAGTCCACCGATGCTGCTGATCAATACATCAATCCTCAATTTTCTGGCATCATTCACCCTCTGCGTTTACTTTTGTTGGTATGGGTGCACTTGTTGTGCTTCCTACTTTAGCTAACTTGTTTCATCATTGGCTAGGATGTCTGTTTCTGCCATTTAATAATAAGAAACAAGAAAGAGTGTTAAATTCTAAATAGTGAGTTAATTAAATAAGGTAACAAAGTCAAAATTACAAGATTATAAGGAATAAAAATTAGATAGAATTTTAATGTTATGAGAGGGTAAGTCAAATGTATGATCTTAATGATTGTTATGAGATAAAATGCTGAATTTGTTAAATAATAAGTCAAAATTATGATTAAAAGTAATATTTTGAATGTTCGCAATTTCTACTTTTGTTTTTATAATTTGACCATTTAAAAACTATGAATCTTTCACTTTTTATTATATGATTAAATTTTTAGTAAACAGTTTTGACTTTTTATCAAGACAAAATTAATTTTCTTTCTCATGAATTTCAGATAGTCTAATAATTGTGACTTAATTTTGAGATTTTTTTTTTGCTTCTCATAAATATGTTTGTTTCTCTTAAAGTTTTGACTTTTAATACAAAATAAGACTTTTATCTAATACTTTTTCCATTTATTTTGACCTCTAATCTCAAAAATGTCTTTATTTTAACTCTTACTTTTTTACTTCATAATTTTGACTTTAGTAGTATCTCATAGTTGTGATTTTTATATCATATTTTTGACTCTCACTCTCCTAATTTTTACTTTCTTTCTCATTATTTTGACTTTTTAATCTCATAATTTCAATTTATAGCTCATAGTTTTGACTCACTATCTCATAATTTTGACTTTGTGTCTCAACACTTTGACTTTTTACCATAGATATAGTTTATTTCATGTGGCCATCCACAGATTGCACACTTGGCTGAAGAATCTGGCATAATAATCTCAACATCAAGCTGTAATTTTTTCTCCGTCTTGAGTCTAAAATAATCTAACAAACATTTAAAAATCTGGTTTTTGCTTGTAAATCAGGTCAGAATCAGCCTGATTACATTGAAGCGTGTGTCCTGCTCTAGTTTTTCTATGTTGTTGTTTTAACGTTTTGGCAGCAGCAGGGTGACACTATGTTGAATCACACTCCAGTCTTTGGAATCACACAGCCACTCTGCTTCTCTTAACAGTATCCTGCGAGATTAAACGAAACATTTCATCAAATTCATTGAGTCTGCACCCGTCTTGGTGTGATTTTTTCAATGCACTTGTTCTCATTGTGGTTATGATTGTTGTTGCTGAGGTTCACGGCGCTGACCCACTTCCTTTATTTTATCACTCCACTTGAAGAACAAGTAAAAACACAGTAAACCGTCTTTTGTTGAGTTCTCTGCTCATCTCAAGACCACCACCTTGGGCAAACAGCAGAGCCTCGAGGAAAACACAAAGAACAAACATACAACCGTCTGAGTCACTCGTGCAATCACAAGACTGCGAGCAGGAGATATGAGGGAGGGTTCCTATCAGGGAGGTGCAGAAAAACAACTTTTGTCAATCATTGAGAGGACAAATATAGTTGTTGTGGTGGTTTGATTTGTTTTCGAAGCAGAAGTAGTGCATGCTGCAAATGGCCTGAAATCGTTCAGCCACATTACAGCCACAAACAAAGCGCATTAGTGTTGCATAAGCTAATTGTTTCTGCATCTGTGGCTCGCAGGTTTTGCACCCTCGTCTGCAGTCTTTTGGGGTTTTAGAGAGTTGTGTGAATGCGTCTCTGAGAGTGAGAGTAGAGGGGGTGAAGGGGAAACAAGAGAGGTTCAAAGGAAACACAGTGAGGGTGGTCGGAAAGTTAACGTGAGTTGCTGCTGGGTGCTGGCAGGAAAGTAAGTGGTCGAGGCTGAGAACCAGTCGAGGTGCAGGAGAGTTTAACACAGAGGTTTTTACACATTCTCATCTCCCTGCAACCCACACACACACACACACTGCACTCCTACACCCACAGAAACATCCACTCACGCTGTTGACGAACACGACAGCCCACATAATCTCCACACTGTGGGGGGAACAGACTCATCCCCCTCAATTCTCTCACACTTTTCTTGCTTACTCTGCATGCATTATTAACCTACCTGTCTGATATCTTTAAAGGATACTCAAATAATTTTTTTTTCCCTGTGTCTAAAGTTTCTTTCAGATCGTGTCGTAAAGGCGGCGAGATCAGTGTACAGCGTCATGATCGAGAAGAACCCTGGCCTGATCCGAGACAGAAAGTATCACCTGAAAACATACAGGTACACACTCCAGAAGCATGATTTCTTACACACCTTATTGCAAATATGCATCTTAATTAATGAGCTAATCTTCCCCTCACAGACAATGCTGCTCAGGGAAGGAGCTCGTTGACTGGCTGATGAAACAAAACGAAGGCCTTCAGATGAGAAGTCAGGCTGTGGGAATGTGGCAGGTCTTAGTGGATGAAGGAATTCTTATTCATGGTAAGAACTAACGAGCAGAATAAATAATAGCTTTACAAATGAATCAATAAGGGAAAAAAGGAGACAGCATTTACATGATACCATACTACACCATAGCATGCAAACAACAATAAAAGATACAATACAAATGGTACTGTGCACTTACGATACGACACAGTTCCATACGATACGATACGATTCAATACAATATAATACGTTATGATACTATACAATTCGCTATGATACAATACGATAGGATAGGATTTGATATGTTACAATACAACACAATTCGTTACGATAAGATATGAAACAATATGGTATGATACGATACAATACGATTCGATATGATATGATATATTACAATACAATACAACACAATATAGTACGATACAATATGATTCGATGTTACAATACGATTCAATAGGATATGATACATTGTGATACGATATGATACAATACAATACAACACAATACAATACAACACAATATGACACAATACGATACAATACGATTCGATACGTTATGTTATGATACAATACGATACAATATAATACGATATGATACGACACAACACAATTCGATACAATAAGATATGATACGATATGGTATGTTACGATACAATACAACACGATACAATACGATTCGACACATTACAATATGATGCGATAGGATATGATATAATACGATACATTACGATACGATATGATACAATACGACACAGTACGACACAATACGACACAATAGGATACCATACGTTATGAAACAGTACGATACAATACAATACGATTCGATAAGCTATGATATGATGCAATGTAAGTGATGCAATACGCTACGTTGTGATGCAATGGGATACGAAAGAAATACACATTTAAACTCATACTGACAAAAAATCCCAAAAACAGAACAGTGATGAATGGGGCATAGAAAATAAAACTTGAAAAAGTTAAATTCATGTATACATAATAAATATAGATTACAGGTGAACTCATGCCTCGGTACGATCGTGTGGAACAACCTTACAACAAATCCGTCCATATTCTGGTATTTTTTAATATATTCTGATAATAGTGTCTCGAGAGGTTCCCAGGAGAGCTTAAGAAGCTTGAAATCTGGTGTCTGAGTCTGCCAGTGCAGATGTTTTACAATGTGCCCTCACTCAGTCAAGTGGTCACTAACTCATTGCTTATGTTATTTAGACAAGGCACCGTCTTCCCGGAAGAGTCCACTCCAATCAGGATATAAAAGCTTCAGCATCAAATGAAGGGGATCACTCTGAATAGATTAGCTCATATTTTTATGTGCGTGTGTTTTGTGAAGAAACTACCAGACAGCTAAACTCTCCAATGTGTTCACTTATTTCCCTTTTTTTTTTTTAGCAATCAGTGTGTTTTTGTCCCGTTTTACCGCAATCACTGTCGCCTCTCTAAAGGTCCGCACTCATGGTAACATTTGGGTTTAATTCGTGTGTTTTCTCCTCTTTGTTTTGCCTCAATCAAGTGAAACACGAGTTGAATTTCCATGACAAGGACACCCAGTTCTACCGCTTCCAGGACTCGGAGAGTGGCCTGAACCACATTAAAGACGAGAAGGACTCGGAGGAGGAGCTGCAGGAGAGTCTGTCGCTGCTGTCTCAGCTCGGTCCTGATGCTCTGCTCACCATGATCCTACGCAAAAAGTCAGTGTGATACACCTCTGTCTGTCATTGTTGAATATTAATATATGGCGTGTTAAATGAACTGCATTGTAATACAATAGACTGAATATTAGCTTCCTCCATCCATCTGCTGCTCTTCTTGTTTCATACCACCAAATCCCGTGGAACAACATGTTCCTCTTAAATTAAAATTAAATCCAGATCAATTCATCTGATGTTGGATAATGACTGTGCTTTTTTAAATAGTTATCTTCAGTTTTAGAGGCAAATGACATGAAAAAGTAAAAAGTTCGACATGCGTTTGTTTTTGTGTTCAGTCCCAGTCAGAGGAGTGCCGAGGACCTGGAGGTCATCTATGAAGAGCTCCTGCATGTCAAGGCTGTAGCTCATCTCTCCACCTCTGTAAGTTAGAGGCTAGTTTTCTTCTTGCACACAGGGGCACGATCTTAGGGGTGGCATGTGCAGTCCTCAAGAATCTGGCCAGCACCTTAATTCTGTGCTAGACTATGATTGGCTGTCTGCTTTGTCAGAGGCGGGACTTGTGTTTAAATCAGTCACTGCGTTAACGCGCACAGTTAAGTCGAATTACTGAAGACAGACAGGGTAAATAAATGCTAGTATCTGCATGTGCACGAACTTTTGTCATGTGACCCTTGCATAAATCGTGCCCACGTTTGGCCACCCCATTCTAAAAACTCTAGATCTGCCCCTGCTCATGCAAATGCAACAAGCTCAAATAGTCCTTACTTTGTGTTTGATATGGTAAAAATAATCTGACATGAAGTTACTACAACTTGGGGGTTAAGTCGTCTAAACAGTAGTTGTGTATGTCCAAAAATAAAACAAATAATACAACCCTTTTTCTCTTTCTTTCTTGGACTACTTACACTTTGCAGCTCACTCTCTCTTTTCTTGCCCTGCTATTCTGTAGGTGCGCAAGGAGCTGGCAGCAGTGCTGGTCTTTGAATCACATGCCAAGGCCGGAACAGTCTGTGAGTGTGACAGCTTTGCTGACGTTTTAACTCGAGTGGGACAGAACCTTGCTTACACACACAGATTTATTGTGTAGTTGCACCGCACTGTAGCATACTGATTCCCTGATCCGCACAAACCCCACTGTTAGAGAGAGAGAGCCTCGCAGATACATGAAAGCTACCAAAATATGCACGACATCGAGAATATTCAAACTTGTTCAAGTCATGATTGACTCATGACGTCAGTGGAGGCGATCATGTGTTCTTATTCGATTGCAACGTACATGATAAAGCCTGTTGTCGCCAGGTGTGCTGTAAACGTGATCGCCATGCTGTGACGGTTATTTACACAGAGACACGTGTGAGTGACTTGCGTCGGTGTTAACTGTCCTCGTTTTTACCCTGCAGTGTTCAGTCAGGGGGACAAAGGCACGTCTTGGTACATCATCTGGAAGGGGTCTGTGAATGTGATCACACATGGGAAGGTAAGTCCTCATCACTGGTGGCAAAATCAGCAATAATCAGTCAGAGTGATCAGGATTGATCTTGCATATTGATGAAAGAGCTGTGTGCACGTAGGGTCTGGTCACCACGCTACACGAGGGGGAGGACTTTGGGCAGCTCGCTCTGTTGAACGACGCACCCCGATCCGCAACAATCATCCTGAGAGAGGACAACTGTCATTTCCTGCGCGTTGATAAACAGGACTTCATACGTATCCTCAAGGTGTGTTTATGTAACTAAGTGCAGCATTGCCGTGCATTTAAGGCCACGTGCGCAGAGACACTTGAGGTCTGTTTGTCTTTGGGAACTGCAAACTCACATCCACAAATATGTACTCGACTCAGGCCGTCACACCTGTGCGTTTCTGTGTGTGTCTTTCTATAGGATGTCGAGGCGAACACGGTGCGGCTGGAAGAGCACGGCAAAACAGTTCTGGTGCTGGAGAAGAGCACGGTTCGAGCCGAACAAGGAGGAGCTGGAAACAACTGCAAGTGAGGGCCAACATGATGCACTCGCCTCTATGACAACACACCTGTTACCTCACAAGCAGAGTCACGACCATTAAGACACTAATCCTGGGTGCGGCTGATAACATTTTATGCAAAATACACAACACTGCTGGTTTCTTTATCGCCGCGAGCTAAATGCTCCAAAGTTGCGTACAGCAAATAAGACCTATCAAAGGCATGGTTGACGATCTGAGAAGCAGTTGAAAGAAACTGAGCTGTTGAGGAAGATCTGAAAAAAGTGTCCCACTCACCACACACAACCCTTTCCTCCCCCCGAACCTGTATCGCCTTCCCCACGACACACCCCCTCTGGCAGAGAGCAAGAAGCCAACTGGCAGATCCTACGCTAGCTTCAAATAGGATTCACCATGTCGGATTGTTCGTGACTAGCGGAAGTAAACGCCAGCTCTGCTAGCGAGCACTGACATTGCAGAGACTAATAACAGTTAGCGTCTGTTTTCGGATGTTTCGTCAAGTTAGATTCCTCGCTTGGTCACATTTCCTCTTCGACTTTTTTTGCGTTTTCTTTCCACTTTTGGCGGTGTTTTTTTTGTGTGTGTGTCCTTCTCCATCACAGCTCCTGTAGCTAAGCTGCTACGCTACTTTTAGCCGCTCAGAGCTCCGAGGAGGGCCGGTAGAGTGGGAGGGGATGAGTCGGAACTATGTGATAGGGGTGTGTCAAATACAGCAAGGTGATTGGATGGAGAGGCGGAGCAGGAGATTGACCAATAGGAGCTGTCTGGGACGGATGGCTCCCATTGGTCAATGTTTTTGCAGCCCAGAACAGATTTTTTCCGTTCTTTTTTCTCTTCACTTTGTGGAGATCGCACTGTGGGACCGTAATCGCCATATAAACGAGGTTCATAATAATTAACAATCTCTCCAATCGACAACCATGCCTTTAAATCGACAAGTATTGCATGCTAAGATGTGCTAGCAGTTAGCTTACAGCAGGATAACAGAGCTTTAGCCTGCACCAGCTGTGTCCCAGTTCATCCTTTGAGTGAAACAAGCTACGACGGCTGCAGCTTCACATCCTGTGTCTGAAGTTGTCGAGTCTGGTCAAGTATTCTGCAGCCGTCAGACAGTGTGGCATCTATTTGAACTGGCACTCAAGTGAATCTAGAGCCTGATACATCCCTCATAGCCGATCCTAATCTGGACTGGAAACTACCAAGCAATCAGACTTAAAACAGCGTCTGTCTTTCATTATTTGCAGGGAGTTTTCCACACTGTAACCCATAATAAAAGAGCCATTAAGATGATAAATAATCATGTAGAGATATTATGATCAAAGTAATATTACACCACATTAGCAGGTACTTGCCAAAACAAACAAATACCCACACGGATCTCCTTTTTGATGTCGCGTGCAGGTACACAGTCATGTCAGGAACGCCTGAGAAAATCCTGGAACACCTGCTGGAAACCGTGAAGCTGGACTCCAATGGAAACGACGCCATAGGTGGGAGCGTTTGTCTATTTTTACCGAGTGACTCACAGCGATCAGATTTACTCATGCAGGTTAGTTCTGACTGTTTTTGCGGTGTTTGTCCTCTTCTTTCAGATCCATGTGTGAGCGACTTTCTGCTCACCCACAAAATCTTCATGCCTTCTAGCCAGCTGTGTGCCGCTCTGCAGCATCAATATCCTCTGATGGGGCAGATTGGTTGTGAAACGGTGTTGATGATATCTCTGATTTTATGTTGTGGTCCTTGACTATCATTGCACATATCATGCAGAGCTCTCTGAGGGCTCCGATCAGGAGAAATCTTCATATATCCTCAACACTAAACAGAAGGTGGTGAAGCTGATCGGCCAGCTCGTGACTCTGTATGGCCTCCTGCTGAAAGAAGACCCCGTTATTTTGGAGTTTCTTGAGGTGAGATCTAATGCTTTGAGTTGATTGCTTTTAGTTTATTCGGAATAAAGATTTGGGATAACAGATTTTATATACCGTGGCCATATGTCCTCTTTTTTGGGGGCTGTCTGGTTTTGGTCCAGGGAAGTTTATAATATCCTTCAAATGTCCGCTGTTTTTTACGGGAGTTACAAATTTGTCACGTGGACTTACTGAGTTAGTTTTAAAAATGAACTTTGTGCGACTCTGTGTCCTCTTTTTAGGAAGTCAGAATATGGTCACCCTAATTTATAGAGATTAATTTATTTATGCCGTATCCAAACTTTTGTATTCTTGCTGAAACAGAGGTTAAAGAAGGAGGTCGCAGCTGATTTTCGTCTCTGCAACATGCTGAAAGAACAATTAAGAGACAGGAGGAGAACCAAAGTGTAAGTTTGCCTCATTATCATCAAAAATCTCACATTTCTCGACGATTTCATAACCCGTCAGGCGGTCTAAGTCATTTTTTTAATATCTTTACAGCCTGGAGAATGGATATCAGTCTCTAACCAAGGTGAGCAGCATATTAATATCAGATACATTTCAATGAGAGCCTCAGTTTGAATGTCACGCTGCCTTCATGTGTCCGTTTTTGACGTCTGAGTCACTCTGATGGCACCAACAGATCCAGAAATTTGATTGGTTCTTGAACTGTGAGGAGCCAGCAGGGAGGTTACAACCAATCAGAGCGCAAGACAAAGGTGAGTTACAAAAAATACCGGACTTATTGAGCGTGTTCTGATCCGTATCTTTACAACACGCCGCCACACAGATGAGTTGTGTGGCGTTCACTCGCGTCTCCGTGGGTGTAGTTTATGAGTAATGCTGCCAGCGAGCGTCATCTATCATCACATCAGCATATCTTGACATTTCAGCATCTGTCTCTCCTCTGTGCGCAGTTCTGTACGAGATCTTCAGACCAGACAACAAACCGCTCACTCTGATGCTCCCAGTCAACTCCTCTGTACAGGAAGTGATGTCAGCGGTAGTCAAACCTGGAGGCGATCATGTTCTGGTCAAAATGAACTCGACAGGAGGTGAGACTCTGATTTATATCTTCTCCAGGTCTGGTTAGTTGTTTTCTCTCATCTGGAGAAAAATACCTGTGGTTTTGGGGAAAACCAAAAACCCCTGTGGTTGTTCCTGTTTCACTTCCTCTACACGCCAAATTAGCGCCATAAAATCTGGAATAAGAGTCTCATTGGTGCATAAGATGCTGTCTGTTTTTAGGGGAAAAGTTCCCCTTAGTGGTCTGCAATGTGAAGTTCCCATGCAGATGTGTAGCTCTCTATAGTAGCATCTTTTTTTGCCATCTTGCTAGAGACAAGTGTGGTAGTTCAGCCCACGTTACCTCTGCTAGTCATGAGGATTGGGGACCAATTTACAAAACTTATCTTGAGGAGTCTAACTGAGACTACGTTTACACCTACCAGACTTTTCACCCTCTCCGTTTACAAAAAAACTGCGTGCACACCACTGTTTTCAGAAAAGTTTTCGTTTACATTAAACCGAGTATACATGTTGTAAAGAACATATCAAACCTGTAGGCGGCAGTGTAGCAAGAAGCTCAAGCCTACATTAGCCAATCAGAATCCAGCATAGCAGCAACAACAACAATGTGCCTTCCTTCTTTCCTGCACACAATCTACCCAAATGTCTGTTTAGGAGTTTTTAAAAAGGGTCGTTTTCAGGGGGTAATTCTCCGTTTGTGTCTAAATAAATGGTGCGAATGATGGTTAATGTCTCCGTTTTTTTTAATTACTGGGTACGTATAAGCGGGGCCTAATTAAACCAGCAACCAGTCCACCCGCCTTGCTGTGTATTCAACATGCTTCGTGCAGCAGAGTGGCTTCTTGCCTCTTGAAGCGCCATCTTCTGGGTAGAAACCATATCACATTCAAATTTCTACTTGTACATTTAATACAGGTGCAGTAGCTGCACTGGTTTTTAGGTTGGGGTCAACTATAAAGTCAGAAAAGTACTGAAAATGTGTCGCATACTGCAAGTTTTATGGTAAGGTGAATTATTTTTGCAGCCAGTTTTTTTACAGCTTGGTTTTTGCTGTTTTCTCTAACCCTGTTTATTCGAAGCTGCTCTAAAATTTCTGTTTCCAGCTCTTTCTGATTTGTGTTTATTGTTTTTTCACAGATTTAGTTTTGTTTATTAAACCTAAAACATGCTCTTGTTTTATTAAATGCACACAGAGAGAGCTCAGTTAAAGCTGGATGCGACCGCAGTCTACACCGCTCTGGGACTCAACGAGAGACTCTTCATCTGCACAAGCAGCCAAGTGGAACATCTGGTGAGGAATACAACGCCAGATGAAAACTTTTTACTGTAGCATCAGGAGTAATTCTCCCGTATTTGTCATATTCTCATTATTTTTTTATACTGCGTTAACAAAGATGGTGCCAAAAACAACTAGAAAGACAATCAACTACATATTTTAACCCCTGTACTCTTCCCAGGAGCCTCTGAAGGAGCAGCAGGGTCCAGAACAAGGATCTACAGACATCCTCGAACAAATGTGCTCCAAAGACATCGCCAATGAACTCACCAACTACGACTGGGAGCTCTTCACTGCTGTACATGAGGTAACTTACAAAACTAACCCCATTTATCCAAACATATCTTTAAAAAAGAGGCTAAATACAACGTCAAATGTCACACATATTTTACGAGTTTCTAAAGCATGTCATGTTCAGTAAGTCCCTAGTAAAAACCTTGTTCTCTTGTGTAAAATGTACTCAACGTTGTGATTTATTGTCCCTGTCGCTCCAGGTGGAGCTGATCTACTACGTATTTGGATGCCATAAATTCTCAGGTGCCATCACGGCGAACCTGGAGCGGTTTGTGCGTCACTTCAATGAGGTGCAGTACTGGGTCCTGACCGAACTCTGTCTCTGTGAGGACCTGGTGAAACGAGCCGTCCTGCTCAAGAAGTTCATAAAGATGGCAGCAGTGTAAGGAACTAATGCATAAGATTATACGAATATTGGTTCATGGGTGTCTGCAGTGACAAACTAAAACTGCAAAACTAAAAAGCACTGGGAATACACGTGGGTAAAGACTTGGACAAAACATAGACAGGTTTGGACAATGAACCAACAAGAATGAGGGGAAAACAGGGACTTTATACACACTGGGAAATGAGAAACAGGTGAGACGGACAAGACACAGGTGAAACTCATGAGTGATCAGCAAAGGAGGGAAAACTAAGTTTGATATGTAGGGGATTGGCTACGACGAAATACAACCGAAAACATGCAAAACTTTGAAACCAAACAGTGAAAAAGAAGAACAACAGAGAAAAATGACAAAGAATTATTAAAACAAAATAACAAAACTGGAACAAACTGAACCAACAAGAACCTATCGTGAGAGTTTCGTCTGTTTTTTTTTTTTAATGGTTCAAGGAAAGTATAAAAGTTTTTAATTAGCGAACTTTAGCAGCTATGAATCCTATAATGCCTGTCGCAAGAAATAAATGGACAGAAAATTATTATTTTTTCATTTGTCTCTTTTTAAAAGAAAATTTTAAATTTAATTTTTTTTAATCTAATAAAATTTAAATTAATAATAATAATTTACATGTATGTTTTTGTGTTTATATCATATTTGTGACATCAAGTATTTTATTTATTATTTTTCTTTTTATTATTATTATTCATTATTTTATTTTATTCATTGTAACTTTATTTATTCATTTTATTTATTTTTTATTTTATTTGAATTTCGCTTCGGGGTATTAATAAAGCTCTTCTTATTCTTTTCTTATTCTTATTCTTATTCTTATTTACACAGTTGTATCCACTAGGGGGCAGAAGACAAGTATTGATAGTATACAACAGGGTTTTAAGTTTTTACAATATGACAATGCAATAGGTCTAAAAAATGTATGTATCAACTAAGGTTAAGTTTACCCAGCCAATTTTTGGAGTTGACATAATCAGGAAAACGTGTTAAACAGAAAAACTTGTAAAGATTAGCTCAAAAATTTCAGAGTATTCGGATGTCTCACGGTTTCTTTGCTTACCAGCATGTTTTTTTCTCACTCTTCATTGTGCTTGTTGACAAAAAATTGATTAGTTATTTAGCTTATGTTTTCATATAGCTGACAGCAGAGCAGCACAGAAAAAAAACTTCAAACCTTAAATTAATCCCCATTTATCTTCCTGTCGCAGATTAAAAGAGCAGAAAAACCTCAACTCTTTCTTCGCTGTGATGTTTGCTCTGAGCAACAGTGCGGTGCAGAGGCTTTACAAAACCTGGGAGGTGAGGGACACCTGAGTGCAACAGTCATAATGACATTAAATGTTTTGTCACTTTTTGTTTCTCTGTAATTTCAGCGATGACTCACGCAGCAATTTTCTGTCCTCTGTCTGTTTTAGAGAATACCCAACAAGACTAAAAGGATCTACTGTGCCTACGAGAGGTTGATGGTGAGTTTGCTTTCATTCTGGTACATTTTGTTGTTTATATAAATTCAATATCAGGTTTTTTCACAATGCTATCTCTTTATTTTCTACAGGATCCAACACGAAACCACAGGGCCTACAGACTGGCTGTGGCTAAGCTGAGCCCACCTTACATCCCCTTCATGCCTCTGCTGCTCAAAGGTAACATGTACCAGCAGGATCACATTTACAGTACAAGATTAGACTGACATCTAAATTACAGTAATTTCCTGACATGTTTCCTGCTCCTGTCTATTCCCAGACATGACATTCATCAACGAGGGAAATCCAAACTACGTTGACAAATTGGTCAATTTTGAGAAAATGGTGAGAAAGAAAAATTGAGAATTATTCTCCAGAGTATCGGATTTATTAACATAGTTGTTTCTTTTTTAGCGTATGATTGCCAAGACAGTGAAGATTGTTCGTGGATGCAGAAGCCAACCATACGGTGAGTTATCTAGGTCACACCGACAGCCTCACAGGGGGGATATGGTGACCTTAGTCTTTGGGTTTTGGCGAAGATTATCATACATGCAGGCTAAAACTCTGTTTCTCTTCTGCAGTGGCATCGTCTCCACAGAGGGGTCTGGCTGATCGGATGTTTCTGGACGTACCTGCCACTCGAATTTCTACATGTAAGACGCATCTACAACTGTTAATCCCTGTTGTGACATACGTTTCATAGAGGAAAAGGAGCTTCAAGTTAAATATGTTTAAGTAATAAAGGTTTATTTTTCTCACCCAGACTCAGACATCACCCTCCCTCTGAGGACACCCAGCAACATCCGACACTACATCACCAACCTGAAAGTGATCGACAACCAGCGCAAGCTAACACAGCTGTCGAGAACATTAGAATGAGAGGACGTCCACCTGCTGATGTGCAGAGACTGTAAAAACTGTAGCTCGAACCTGAACCACAGGACGGGTCAGAGATGGAGAAATGACACGTCTACACTGGATGGACCTCTGGATGTGTTTACTGGAGCTCGGACGCTGATGGATGAACTTTTTACAGGGGTGTTAAAATGTGTGGTGTGCACAGTAATGACCCTCATGCTAAACTGGAGGGACATACAGAACAACTTTACCCTCATGAAGGCCATGTTACAACATGTAAAGTGTTAAAATTCATTATGTGACGTATTTATACAGCTATCTGAAAAAGAAGGACTCTTGTGGTCCCATTAAAGGGGCCATAGGGAAACACATATTCCACATATTAGCCAATACCAAACACTTAAAGGGATATTCCGTTGTAAATTTAAATTAGGGCCAAACACACAGTAACACCGAGTTCGACACCCCCTTTAGAGGTGAATGTTGCCAATTGCTTCCTTCTCTAGTCATACCAACTTCAGCAACGACCACATGATAGCTAAACAAAGCAGTCCACATCTCCATGCGCAAAAGCTCAACCAAAACGCCACTCTATAGCCACAAATAATGCTCAGAACAGCACCTAACTTCATCAACAGTACATATAGGGTCCTAGCCATAGTACTAGCTGTCAAATATCTTTTTAGATTTGACTAATTTCTTGAGCAAAGAGACTAAACACAACTCACCCACTCTCCTCCAGAAGCCGCATGTTTGTAGGGAAGCCCTGACGAGTCAATCACCGAGTGCAGCAGAAAATTTATGATTACTTAATTGAAATACAATCAGAGAAGTTAAGGCAGAAGAAGTACCGCGTCTGCAGTGCACATACAAGATACACAAGAACTCTGATTGCATTTCATTTAAGTAATCATCATAAATGTTTTTCCTTGAGCTGCGAAACTCCACTGCACTCCGTGATCGATTTGTCACTGCTCCCCCTACAAACAAGCGACTGCTGGTTGGTATCATAGACTGTATATAGAATTGACGCCGTCTGCCTCCTCGCTGGGTGAAGCCACTCCAAGAACAGCACCCTCTGGCGACCGGCTGCAGTATAGGTCATATATCCCGTACAACTTCATTTTTAAAAGTTGTCAGGGGGTTCATGTTTTCTATGATTGACACTTGATACAGCCTATGGGTGTACGAAGATTGCTCTCGGCGACTCTTCCGCTGAATGCGTAAATTGCTACTGCCCAATGTTGGTTTCAGGAAGTGGAGAAAAAACGCGGGATAACCGAGTGCTTTCAAGCTTTTAATCCATACACTGGTGAAAGGCGGAACCAAGTTGTCCATAGTTTATACAGTCTATGGTTGGTATAACTAGAGACCAAGCAGTCGGCAACATTCATCTATCGAGAGGGTGTCTGACTCAGTGTTACGATGTGTTTGACCATAACTTAAATTTACGCCGGAATATCCCTTTAAGATCATCTTTTGTGCACTCGTGCTTTCACATTAGAACTAATATATTGTATCAGCCTCGAACTGACTCGCTTTTATTTCATACAATGTTCTTTTTCTAAATAAATTATTTTCTCAGTTATGTTGATTTCATGAAAACAAAGGCGTTTGTAAAAAGAGAAATATTTTATTTAAAATACAAACAACGACAGGTAAAAAAAAAAAAAAAAAAACAACCTCCAAAATCCCCTTCCCCCACCCCCATGACAAAAATGTCCCCCCCAATATGGGGTGAGAAAAATTCACAACAAATCCTTTAAATTCAAACTTTCTCTCCTCGTCATGAATATGTACAACTTCTTTAATGGAAGTCCTGGAGAGTGAAATTGGGCTTAAACTTGTACAAAAAGGAAATAAAAACCAGTGCCTTCTCCTGATGTAACCCGGAGGAAGTAGTGAAATGATCCCCTGTCGTTATAAATGATGGACCGACACGTTCAGGTGAAAAAATACAGGACAAATGCGATGTTAAATGTTTTAAATGAAACACCAAATGGGGATTTTGTGGACCGTTTGACAAACAGTAAATCACTTTCTTAAAGGAAGGGGAAAGAGTGCGATGAGGCAAATGAATGTTAAACATGTGGTTAGTATCATGTTGGTGTTTGGACAGGTGCGGCAGCAGCAGAGCACATAAATTATCCGACTATTTCAACACACCGGAGTTCAACTCAGATATGTTCTGCTGTTTTTTGTCAGCCTGTGGTACGATTAGAAAAGTGGTCCTGCGATTAAGTGGTGAGAACAAAAAAAAACAAAAAGATCACACTTAGTGGAAAAGCGAGCGGGAGTGAAAGCCAGAAAATGTTCTGGTTTATCACAAATTCATCCAAACACAAAAGAAAGAAAGCACTGTAAAAATAGAGTGAATATAAATATTGCACTTCCAAACAAACGTCTATTTCCCAGAGCCTAGTTGTTATCCCTTTGTCGGAGGTGCGAGACATCCCGACAGCCTTTTCGCTTTTTTTCCACTGAGGTAAGAACTTAAATCTTTACCTGAATCCTGAATTTTAAGCATTTTGATGAAACAGAACGGCTTTAACCTCAATGATCTGGAGCTAAGAGGTGATCAAGAGAAACAGGACTAAGCAGTGGGAAAGCTCGATTCATACACAAAACAGACATCCATAAATATACCATTCACACTTTTTTATACACGCATCACACACAACCCCAGCCCACAGACTCAAAATATTTACATGTAAGGCACATTGAATCTATGTACATGAAAACACAAAGCATCCTAATGTTCAGTCCCTGTAGCCTCTGGGTAGTGGGATGATTTCAGCCGCTTCTTCTTCTTCTTCTTTTTTTAGGCGGTTTTTGCTTACAGTGTCTCACAGGATCCGTCACACTCAAAATCAGCTCTACAAAGTCGCTGATTGTCCCGTATTTGGTTCAGACTTTAAATCTTGTTTCTCATTTGCTTGCATGAACCGAGCAGGAGTGAAAACAGCCAAGTAATGTGAGGTTCCACGCATCGGTGGTCGGTGGTTCCAGTCCCGTCCCAGTCAGCTACGCTTGCATAGGCAACTCTGAACATGAGCCAAAAAAATAATAAGAGGACAGAAAAGTTCCAACAAATTCATCAGTAGGAGTCAAAGTAAGAAACTCAAAGGAAGGTCAGTCAGTCAGTCAGTCTCAGGTGTCTTTGGATTTACATCAGTAGATTTCCTTTGAGTGCAAAAACAACCCAGCGCCGTCCACCAACCTGAGGCAGAGAGATCATTTTTCATAAACAGTTCAGAAACATCCATCCGTGGGTTTTGTCCTGATCAGGGTTGCAGGATGCTGGGTTAGCCCATCCCAGCACGCATGGAAAACTTCTGGAGCTACAACTGGATTAAAGCTTTCAAATCTCAGTGGGTAATCTTGCCTCATTTTCATCGATTAAACCACGTGCCAGAGGAATACTTGGAGGCCTAAGCAGGCGGCTTAATCGCAGCTCCTGGCTGCTGCAAGCTACACGTGAACACACCGGATCATTAGCACCAAAATAAAGCAGTTAAAGGCGTAACAGAGGACTCTACGGGCGCCTCTTTCTCCTCGTGTTAACCTTCAGGCATTGAGAAAAAGTTTGATTTGGTAACAATCCCAACCTGCCAACAAACATAAATTAAAAAAGAACAAAAACAAAAACATTCATTTGGCGTGGAGATCTTTGGATTTTCCTCTAGTGCAGCACAGTGGAGTTCCAGTGGTCTCTCTTTGGCTTAACTGCTTCTTGATAACACTCTTCTTCATCATCATCATCATCATTATCGTCATCCAGCGAGTTTCTCCATTGCAATCATATGGCCAGGTACTGTGGTTCTGTGAGCCCGTCTAGGCCTCGGAGGCAGCCTGCGGTTTGAGTTGTGCTTTCTCCATGGCCGTGCCGTACGGTACAGATCGCTTGAAGAAGCCGAACTGCAAGAAAACATTTTAAAAAAAGGCAAAAATTAGAAATAAACACAGACTTCATGAGTTCATTTAAAGTTCATATGACAAAATCCTTCACTCCCCTCCTGTGTTGGGCTCTGCACCGAGCCCTTCTTGATTTTAAATGCTTAAAAGAACCACTTAAATCAGCTTTTTGCATCAGGAATCTCTATTTTAACAAAAATAAAAAAATAAATTGACTAAATTATAAAATGCTCTTATTATTTGACCCAGTTAGTTCAATATCTAATAATTAGAGCAAAAACTGAAATCATAAGTGCACTGTCAGGCACCACACTGACGATCAGATCTCCCTCCAACCATGTGAGATTTAGGAAATTCTCATTTTTCCATGTTATTCCCTGCACAAAAAACTACATCGGGCATGTCCAGACATGTGAGACCAATTCTGTATAGATGAAAGGCCCAGAGGCCCACTACAAAAACTATTATAAGCAATATTTTCATGGATAATGGAGCCTAACAAGGTAACCTAGAGATGAGAACCATATTAGATGATAGAGAATTGTTTTTAGTGTAATTTACAGCTGATTTAAGACACAGGTCAAAACCAACCCTTAACATGGTGGGTGTGTAGTAAAAGATAACACAGGAGGAAGGTTGAAAAAGCACTGACCTTGTAAAGGACGTATATTAGTAGAGCCAGGAGCAGCAAACCAGCTAAAATGGCCAGTATGATGATCCAGAGAGGAACCGAGTTCTCGATATCTGGCTTGTTCCACACCACAGGAGTCACCACCTGAGAATAAAAACACATTTTTAATATTAACTCAAGACGTGAAATCAAAACAGCTCCTTAAAATGATTAAAAAGACAGATCAAATTTACCTTTTTGTGTCCACTTGGGTTATATCTTGGTAGGATGGCGTACGGCATCTTCTTCACGTTGTATTTGGCCAGGCACTCCAGCACGTACTGTTTATAGGATCTCTGAACGAGGAAGCAGCACGAGTTTTGAGAATCAAAGAGGCGCACGCAATACACTTGCAAAGCTCTAGGTGGCGACGGAGACCGCATGCTTTTTTAATGGAAAATATCTCCTGCATTCCTTTCTCAAGAGAAGCAGTCACACCAGATCATGAATTTCTGCTGTGAAGCAGCATGCAGGGCGTGTAAAACAGCCTGTGTGGAGCTCAAACATGACACATATGACAGAATGAAATCTGCAGTCCGCTTTCTATTTACGCTTCAACTGTTGTCGCATGCGTTGTTAAAATATGTGAGACTGCTGCTCATGCTGGCAGATCCAGAACCAGTCCAAACAAATATGTGAGACATGTCTGTGCTGCAGATCCGCTCACAATATGTCATTTTTAAGTGTTTTGGTAAAAATGGAAAAGAGAAATCGAATGTCAACGAACCTCGATGAAGGTCTCGGCCCAGACCCTGGAGCGCACTTTGAGGATGGCTGTGGTCCCCTTCTCCAGGAGACCCACTTTGCACTGAAGGGTCCAGCACTCAGTGTTCGAACAGGACTACAGAAACAAAGATACAAGAGGAGAGACCATGTTAGGTTGATGTCAGACACAAACGAAGACATTTTAGCAGGGTTGAGTTTGAGTGAAACAGGTAGAACAGATGGAGTCGAAGCTGCACGCTGCATAAATAAAACAAAGAGGCCAATGTTATGATCTGTATTCTACGCCTGCTTCAAATTAGATTGAAGGAATGTCATGAGACTGTAAAAATGCAGCATGCGCCACTCTCCACGTTATTGCCCGACCGCTGAAACCGATCCACTTTTCTCAAGACTGTAGACTACTCTGTCTTAATTAGATCCCCATAATGCAGCTCTTAACATTATAAAACATGAACAGGCTGTGTCTCAGAGCCGGTGCTGCAGCTAGACCACCAACCAGACGGGGGAGGTTCCGGCGGGTTTCCTGCGGGATCGCATTAGTTTACTTAATGCACCATGTAGGGCAAACGCAGGAGGAGAGAACCCGCCTCGATCCTTCAGACTCGGGCTACAACAGGATTAATGAGGGTATTCAGACAGACAGAGAGCGAGTTAGTCCACTTCCTCCTGATGCCGGCAGGCACAAGGGCTGCTAAGGTCTCTGGAAAAGACTCGAATGTGGACCAGAGCCAAAGACGCCCCAGACCCACATATCTTCTCTGGTGGGATTTTGCGGTCAAGAGATGTAGATTTGGCTGTTCCCACAGCTTTATAGATAATATTTTCACCTTCATACACACTTTAAAAACTGCCTCTCAGTTAGGGGTCGTTGTCAATTAAAGTTCCACTCTGATCTTTTTTTTTTCCTAGTTGAAGTGTTATCAGTGGGCTTTAAATTGTGATTACGAAGTTTTTAGCCAAAATCACGTTATCTGTGTCATTTTCAAGGGCTTCTCTTCTACAGAGCTCCAGTAGCTTATTAGAAATCCGCCTCTGAGTCGTGGGCGAAGACAGCGCTGCTGTTTTTGTAGGAGGGTAGGGGACGGGACCATCGATTTACCGGTCGATCTACGTGCCGATCCTCACCTATGGTCATGAACTTTGGGTAATGACCGAAAGAACAAGATCGCGGATACAAGCGGCTGAAATGGGTTTCCTTCTCATGGTGGCCGGGCTCAGCCTTAGAGATAGGGTAAGGAGCTCGGACACTCGGGAGGCGCACAGAGTAGAACTGCTGCTCCTCCACACCAAGAGGAGTCAGCTGAGGTGGCTCAGGTGACTCCTCTCCTCTGGTTAGGATGCCTTCTGGACACCTCTCGTTAGAGGTGTTCGGGACACAAGGAGACCTTGTGGCCGGCCCAGGACCAGGTGGAGGGATTCTATCTCTCGCCTGGTCCTAGGAGCACCTGGGAATCTCCCCGGAGGAGCTGGTGGAAGTACCTTAACATAACCCTTACCGAAACCCTAACCCTTACCCTAAACCTAACCCGACAGACGATGACGTTTCACAGCCATAAGGAATAACCAATCGGAGCCCAGCAGAGGTGAAGGAGGGCGGGACCTTCCCCTACCATCCTTCCAAAAAAAATTGCGTCCTGTAGCGTCAGAAAAATGCCACATGAACATATAAAAAAACAAGAAAAACATGATTTTTTAACATCTAAATGTCCAAAATGATAGATTAAATCAAAAATACACATGGAGCAAAGATTGCAGTAAGTGCAAGACCTTTTGCTGCATGAGAAAGTGGTTCTAAATAAGAGCTTATTTCTCTTTCTACATCATTTAAACACTGAAATGTCCCTTTAATTATGAATGCAATTATAACAAGCCCTTTGTTCTTAATGCATAGCTCAGCAGGTCATCTGAAAGTCTCACACTGTGACCTCGTCTGACAGCTTCACCCAAGCATCACTGAACCTCGAACCCGCTTTGATCAGGAGACGCTCTGAACAGAGAAAACAGAAAGTGCAGACTCAGGGGGAAAAAAACAGAAGAATGGGGTCCTTCATGGTGACGTGTTGCTGGACGTGTTTGATAAACGAGCACGGTTAACGGCGACACAAAGGGCTCTTTAGCTGACGCAGGTATCCGCGATGGAGGCGGAGTTAGGCGCTACCTGCAGCTGAGGGGATCAATAGGGCCAGTGTGTGGGAGCCTGAGGGTCTCACAACACCCCGGAGCTGAAAATTACAGAGCGGTCTGTGAAGTAAGCAGAGCATCACGGAGAAAAAGCCTCCACTGTCCCCTGTCCTCTCCACCCACCACCACTACTAAAGGCTCTTTAAAGTTAATCACCACAAGGGGACAAGCCCGTGACCTCTGACCCCCTCTTTTTAACGACATCATGACCTGATTAGCCAATCCCAGGAGCCTCGTACAAGATCAGGTCCAGAGTCACCGAAATAGACCCAGGCCTGTACACTTCACTTAAAGGTGATGGAGGTACGAGTGTTTTCTAAAGAGTCTGTTTTTGTGCTCTGGAAGTGACACATAAAGAGTTTTAACTACATAACCACATTTAACCCTAACTGCTAACTCCATTCGCTCATTTAAAGTCAACTATCACAGCTAACTTCACCTCCTGACCCAGCGGCGTTCACTTACTCAGTACAAAGCTTCGACTGTTTGTTTAACTTCATTACGCAACCGTACAAAGGGTTTTAATCATGATGGAAATATAAGCTGTGTTTTCATTACAAGTAAACAAGACTTCTGATCTGGGAAACTACTTAGAAGAACTACTGCTGGAGGGATTAAAACTTTCCGTCAGGGTCTGAAGACCGGGGGGATGATTAGGCAAATTGGTCCGCTGATTCATGAGAAGTCCTCTTCGTGTTCTGAGTAGCTAAACCGACCGCTGATGAGCAGCTTCGCACCCAATGACCCTGAACTTAAAGAGATCGAGACTTTGACACCGTCCTCTGTAGTGTATACTTTCGGTAACACTTTACAATAACCATAACTTATAAATGGTAAATAGACCATTTATAAATGTTAAGTAGATAGTTTATCAATGTTTAATCATCATTTATAAAAAGCATATAGTCCATTAACCCGAACCTTAACCCTAACTTTACAACAACCATCTAAGTAATGTTTATAGATGGTTTAAAATCCAAATATTAATCATTTACAAAGTGCCACTGACACACATTTTAATCTAGATGTTTTATAACCAATATTTAAACCCTATATAAACCTTTAATAAATAGTCCATTAATAATTACTGAAAATTATTCATCACAATTTCATTGATGGTAATGGTTATTGGTAAAGTAACTATTAACTTACATTATTAAACTATCTATTTGCCGTTTATAATTATTCTATATGTTGTTTTTAAATGATGGTTAAACATTTATAAAGTATCTATTATTATTATTAATATTATTATTGTAAAGTGTTACCAAACTTTCTCACATTTCTCCTGCTCTAAAACTTAGAGAAGGGAAATCCTGAGCAGCTCAGCTCGCAGCCCCTAAAGCCTCAGCAAAGAGTGTTGGAAATTCATCGATTCTCACAGTGAAGCTGGTGTTTTGTACATCAGGACATCTCTGCAGAAACACACTGAAGGAATCATAACCTAAAACCTGCCAGCAGCAGCAGCTCAGCTGACAGCCTCTCCTGACATCCTGTACCAACCAAAGTGTATTAAAAAAAAACTGATTTTTAACTTTTCACTTACTATCTTAATGTTTTCTAATTTTTTTAAATAGGATTCAATTTTTTTTTCGAGGAGAGGGTCTCTCTGGATAATTCGGCTTTGGTAAGTTGGTCATTACAAGGCCGTAAAAGTTGTAGCCTGTTATCCACCTTTACGGAGCAGCTTTAAAACACCGAAATGTCCCTTTAAGCATCTTACCAGGTTGGTTAAATGAGACAGCTGATTCCTGTTGACGTCCCTCCTCTCGATCCGGTGCTCGTGAGCCTTCAGCGCCAGGATTGGTGGTTCTGTGGACGTGCGCTGGAGCTGATGGCGGAGAGAACACACACACACACACTACCCGTTAGCACAACAGAGACAGTGACCTCAGCAGGCAGAAGAGCAGACCACCCTTTCTGTCAATACGAGAGCTAATGTTAGCGTGACCCCGAGGCTTTTTTCTCATTAATCAGAAGCATGTGAGCTCCACTCCACATGGATTCCCGTGGAAATACACAGTACTTAGCAATCCACCAGGGAAGAAAAACAACATTAGATCACCGCGAAGATTGACGAGCACCAACAACCCCAAAAAAACATCTGTCAAACTCGGGACATCTACACAAACAGCTACACAAAATGCTTCCCCGTGTTAAGCCCAAAGCGACATCTTGCTGCCCGTCTGAGATGGTTCATCAAGCTGTGCCGAGCAAAGGGAAGAGCTGGGACTTCAAAGTGTCCCGGGTGGGGCGGAGAAGCTGGGTGGGTGTGGACCAACCAGCAGAGAACCAACTGTTAATCATACACTTCACTCGGAGATGTTTGCCGCCTGATTTCGCCTCACTCGAACCCTACAGGTGTGCGTGTTTTCATTCGGGGGCACTCACTCTGAGGCGGAGGTGGTTCATGTATTTGTCGGCGGTGCAGTTGATGGGGCCTTCTGTGGAGAACTCCAAAGGGTAGAGGAGGGTCTGACCCTGCACGCTGAGGGGGCAGCGGAGCTCCAGGTGGGTGTGGCTGATCCGACTGGGCCCGTTATTCACAAGCTGGAAAAAGGAAATGAAAGTTAAGTCTGCGGATTAAAAGACGACTTCAAGGGCGGCGTGATTGTTTCTTGTTTTGCTTGTAGCTGGGAGGTTGCAACACATATTTTCCCATGCCGACGCTGAAATGTTTGACATATTTTTATAATGAGTGCAGATCATTAAAAAAGCACAATCTGTCCATGTTAAGAACTCCTCAGAGCGTTTCCGAGTACTGTTCAATCTCACCCAAGAAAACTTAGATCTGAGAATAAATCAGCCTGACTAATCTGGAGTATGTTTTCTTAAGATTTACTTCAGTCCCCTTTCTTCACCCACAAGGAGTCCACACAGCTGATTACCTCATAGATGTGTTCGACTGCAGGCCCCACGTCCTGCTCCACCTCCTGGTTTTTGGTCACTTTCCAGTTGGCCGGCGGGAAAAAGACTTTATCTGGTCGCGACACACTGTAGAGGAAAGGCCGGAGTGTGAGAACAAGAGGCTTAATGAAATCATAAAAAGTTCAGATGAGGAGATCTTTATCCTGGACTCACCCCTGAAGGATGACATCAGCCTGAACCACCACCTCCAGCTTGTAGGGGACGACTTCGCTGTGGGAATTATTCTCGTTTTTGCTGTGAAGACAAAGAGAAGAAGAGATTTACATGATTATCAACACAGATACTATCACAGAAATGTCGAAATCATTAAATCAGAAGATAGTTTTTATATTTTTAGTGATTTTGTGATGTTACCTGCGAATCTGCAGCTCAAACTGAACCGTCTTGTGTGTGTCCTTCAGCCGAGGCACGGTGAAGCGCAGACCTGCCCACAGCTGCAAAGAGAAACATCGAACACATTCATCATCATCATCATCATCATCATCATTATCATCATCGTCATCTTTACGTAAAAACGGGCGGATCACAAACTCTTTTCCATTACGACCTATCCCTGCAGAGCCAGATTCATCTCCGTGAGGAAAAGTCCGACTGAGCTCGTAATAATTCAAGACTAAGAGAAAAAGAAAAAAAACTCCTGAGCTGCCTGCGTTTCTTTGGGTGTAGAGATGTTGTCCTGGCGAAACAGCATCAGGCAGGAGAACTTGTGAACTGCGGGGGCAAAGCTCTCATATAAAAATGACTAAATTTCCAAGAAGGCAAGGAAAGATTTCGTAAGACATAAAAAACTCAATTTGCTCAAGGATGACGAAGAACAGAGATGAAGCAACTTAAGAACTTATCAGCTAATGTTTGGAGCTCTCTGGAGGTATTGGAGACTTTTGGGGGCTTTCTGTAACGCTGAAGTTTAGTCTTTACAGTCAGTCGAACAACTTGAAAAGCAAGAATGAAGACAGCATTTCTAATATGGCGTGTGTCAATGACGGGCTTCAAACATCACAGAGACCAAACATGTGTTTGGTTTAGATCCACGATTTGCAGGCGACTCCTTCAGGCTGCAAAGTCGAGATAAACGTGAAAGTAAGGCTGGGCGATAAACCGAAAAATTTACCGATACTGAAATAGATGACAGTAACCAACGTCAATTCGCCCATGTCAACATATTCAGTGTCAAATAAATAAAAAAGTTTGTTTTGGATGTGTGTTGGTAGGCTTTGGTCTCATGTCCCTTTAAGACGCTGTCCTATGTCAGAGATGTGACTCCACCCCATCCAGTCCGTAAAAAAGAGGGAAAGACAAGTGAGGAGATGGAGGACGGTTCAAAAGTTGTAGCGGCTGAAGTAGACGAAGTTAATGTGGGAGGGATGAGCAGCTTGTGGAGTAGTTATTGTCCATTTGTTGTTTTCGTACATCGTGATATTGATTTGAGGTCATATCGCCCAGCCCTAAGGGAAGACTTTTGCTCCTCAGAATTCGAGGGTTATTTCCTCTGCACACAAACTGTTAACCTGCGTAAAGATGACGCCCTCTGACACACTAGTATACTTGGATTACAGCTGAATCTGACAAGAAGATCTGGTCCTACATCCACAAATTCACTTTTTGTCAGGAGTTTGGTAATGAATTACTTTAAGAGATTCAAAGTTATTTATTTTTCCCTACATCCACAAATTCAACTATTTGCCCGTCTCAGCTTTGAAGTTCCAGTTACGAGAAGCGACTGGAATTCAAAGATCGCCCGCGAGAGAGTCGCTCCAGCTAATGGGCACGGTCTACATCCTGTGAGTCAGACTACAAGTCATAAAGACACGATAAGGAGCATAAAAAAAGGTTAGATATGACTAAACTCTGGGTCGTCTGTGTGAGCTGTAACATTTAAAGCCCCGTCATAAACTCTCAGACAGACTCTCCTCCTTTCCACTCCTTCATCTCCTCATCTCATCATTTAATAGGTATGTTCTGTTCCTGGGTGTGTCGGTCTGTGAACTCTCTGCCAGCAGACATCAGCTTCCTCTCTATTGTATAAAGTTAATAACGCCTGAATCGGAGAACTTCCGAGGAATCAAGAGTGCCGATCCCTTCCCGTGAGCGCACTGGTGATGGTTTTCCTGTTCAGAGCCGGTTAGTGATTTCATCGTTTAAAAAGAGGAACTTTTCCCAGCAGTGATCTACGGGGGCACAGATCGAGTCTGTGTTTCCTGTCACAACACTTCCTGACAAATTCGGACTTTTCCTGTGCTGTTCACACTCCACCTGGGGAGAACATGTGACTGTTTCCTACACAGAGCAGGAAATCAGGACTGTTTACTTCATTTCACGTGGCGTTTTAAGAAGTGTATGTTGTTCTTACATCGGTACCAGGCTTCATCGGGTTGCCCAAATCACAGCTGAGGTATCGGGTCTGGTTCTCCGTCTCATAGGTGCAGGTCAGCTGGGTCAGGCTCTGAAAAACAAGAGGACAAACTCGTCAAACTAAATGAAATAAAGACGGATAATCGTAGCCTGAGAGGTGAAAAGGTTGGTGGGAATCTCTCACCTCGTTATTACGGGCGATCCCGCTGTAGTCGGCTTCAGGGGGGAGCACCACGTACAGCTCTGCCTCGTACGCCCCTCCCTCACCCTCGTTCCTGTAGTTGAAAGTCAGGGTCAGCGAGTTGTCGTCACCCAGGTAGACTTCTTTCCTGTTCCTGTGGAGGCGAAGACGAATAAAAGGTCAGTAATCAGGTCCTGAGCGGGGTTAAACGGTGTCAGGACTCTGTAACCAAGTAAACATGGGCGATGTTGTCTTATGAAGTTATGAATAAACACTGGCAGAGCCTGTTTGTGTTTGCTGACAGAGGAGAGGGCATTAAATCGTTGGTGGTTTAATGAAATCGATAAATTCTCAGGCTCTGTTTTCTTTCTGCCCCGCTACAAGGAGACATCTCGGAGATTTATCTGGGCGAGCTCCCCTCCCATTAAAGGAAAACTTTTCCGACGTGGTAATAAAGCAGTACATGCTGTAAAACAGAGCGTAGGAGTGTGAAACACCTCCCCCCCTGCTCCTCTCTCCTTCACACTCTCTCTACAGCTTAGAAACAATGAGGAACTCCATATGGAGAGGGCCACACAGACGCTTTTAATTACAGACCGCTCTTATACAGCAGAGGAGGGGGAGAGAGAACGTTTTTAAGGATGATTCTCAGGGTGAAAACTGCATTTTTAATCCAAACAAAAGCCCAACATTTGAGGATATCATAAATCCTTTAAGCATGAAGGATATTTCTGACAATAAGATTTGCAAAAAGGAGCTATTTTAATCATTTTCACACCACAGCGACAGATATTTCCCTCCTACATCATGTTTGCTGCTGTTTCCAGGTTTAAAATCCTCAGCTCCTGAAAAGACAACAGATCATGTGTCCATATTTAATGTATATCCATATACAGGTTTTATTTTATTACGAAAAAGGACATTTTAAAGCTGCTGTGGATGATATCACTTGGTTGAATATGTATTAAAAGTTTATTATGAGCCTACTTGAGCAAGCATTTTGGGTTTTTTCATTCTATCAAGTGGAGATAAACAATGCATAGTCTCATATAATATTCAGGGTGTCTTTTTATTATAAAGTATGTTACACAGGAACAAACTTTCTTATGGTGCAGAGTCAAGATGCTCAGTGAGGGTCTTTGCAGGCTCTTTTTTAGGGATCAAGACTACGGGATATGGGAGGATACAAGACAGACTGGTGGACAGCCAACGCAGAAAGACTGATCATGACACCTGAGCATGCAGACGATCTGTGTGTTTTTTCAAGAAGAAAAGTAGACACAGAGAATCAGAAATATCTTTTTTATTTTCTCTTTTTGGAGCATGTCCACACTGAGTAGGCTCGCTCTGTACGACTAGATATCAGCGATTATTTTGACGGATTGTTTTGGACATTTTTTATGTCTCGATTTGCTCTGTTGCTTTACAATATTCATAAATCGGCTATGTTACAAAGGAAAAAATAAGGTTAAGGGAAACATGCATTAGGTTTTATTTAGAATATTCAGTTTTTAAATGAATAATTGATATTTGCTATATTTGATTTAAATCCCACTAAAAACAGCTTCTAAAACAAACTTCTCCTCTGAGTTTGCAGTTGGATCAAGTGCAGCACTAACACCCTCCCTCCCTGGGCAGGTTGTTCCATATGTGATGGATCAGCCATACGTTGCAAAAAATGGAGGCAGATGGGAGATAAATATAGGAATGTGAGATCAAAATGACAGAGCGGAGAAGGGAGTATCGGGGAGGCTGTTATTTTTGAGAAAAATGCTTGCAGATTTCACGAATCAAAGTGTGGCGGGGTTTCTGACGGCTGCAGACGCAGGCGGGCGAGGTTGGGACTCTTTCCAAGACGATCCCTTTCATCTCCTCTGTCTGTTACTCTTAACTTGTTTGTCGTGGCACCTGTAGAGCAGCTCTGCTTCCTGTTTTCAGAGGATGGCGTACCTCTAACGCCGAGGCTGTTAACAGCCACGCTCTGGAATGCTAAGCTAAACAACAAAAACAGCTGTATTTACACTCAAACCCGAGGCCGCACTCCCATTGTGGAGGTGAAGAGTTCAGAGTCTGTGACCTTGCAGTTGAATTCTGAAATATTTCCTGAATTTGGATGCTGCGGGGTCTTTTTTGTTTTAATGTAAGGAAATGAGCGGACTCACCCGTGCACGGCCAGCTTCAAGTCAGGGACACAGATGTTGTCCTCTCCACAGTCCAGCAGAATCTGAGCCTGAAAGAAACACATTTGAGGTGGTAAAACTTCCACAGAGTCTGCATGTAATAACAATCGAATAGAAGAACGCACTCTGGGTTACATGTGGAGAGAATTAGGCACACGAGATAAATCAGGTTTCTGTTTTTTAGGGAGACAACAGGATGAGTGTAGCAAGATGCGACATGTGGTATGACTAATGCACACACCTGCGCTACAGTCCCCTTGAACTACAAGACATCATCTCTGCCCATCAGACACGAAAAACACTCCCCTGCCTCAGAGGGACGATGACTGACTCAGTGAGGTCATAACAAGCACAGACACACACACACACACACACACACTGAACCAGCTGTCCCCGGAAAACACACACACATGCTTTCTGTTTGCGGCGCACAGGGGAGGAAATGATGAACGGTGGAGGAGTCCGGCGCAAAGAGAGCGTGCCGGAGGAGATCCTCCTGCACAAAGCTGCACACTCCGCGGCTCTCACCAGCGCCCCACATCACAGCGCCGTGCGGCCAACCGCGCTTTTCACCACACGCTACGCCACCCTGCCAACCACAGCAGTATGTGATCATATAGAGAAGGAGGGGCGGCGTGCAGCATAAAGGAACGCACTCAGACATAGGATCTGAGTGTTGACCTGGAAGGCAGAAGTGAGATTACAGTGGAGGATAGAACAACAAAGAGGCCGAAACACGGACGGGTAAGTGGAAAAACCGCCGAGCGTGTGGCAGGGAAAGCCCTGCGGATCACTAAATTGCATCCCGCTGCGACTCTTGACAGTGAGATGATGCTCCTGACGATGATGATAATAAATAGAAATGGAGGAGGAGATTAGAGAGAGCAAAGCGCGCGCCCTTGTCATTACACCCTGGCGTGGGGCTCTAATTATGGACACCATGGTAAGCAACATGCTTAAGTTGGATCTGTACATCTGCGCCGAGCAACAACAACAACACCAGCGAGATCTGCATGTGACACAATCAGGGCAAGAAGTGAAATCTGAACGCCCATTAATCAACTTCACGCTCATGTGTTCAGATGTTTGTATTTTAAGAACAATGAGGACATTAAGGCTCGACTTCACTCATTTCCCAGGCTCCCTGAAGATGACTACAACCGCTTTAGCACAATCGTAGACTCATGACAATTAATAGATCCATCATTGTGTGTTCGAACTCCTCATGGAAACATGTGGTATACGTTAAAAACAAAGAGAAACTGCGCTGAGAACATCATCCGTCTCTTCTTCTCACTCCGGCTTGAAAAAAAGGGCAGGAGTTTGGCAGAGAGGATGAAATGTTCGGAGGCCTGCCATATATTCTCAAAGCATGTGCGGGAATCGATAGGGCATCGTGGGTCTGATCGAGGCCAAGGCTGCGGTATTAGAGTGCTGTTTACGCGCTGGTTCATTCACACAGTCCAGAGGAAGATTAATAAAATATGTTGGCAGGCTCCCGCTTCTCTTTTACTCACAGAAACACACATAAGACTTGGCGAGAGACGGCTTTCTTTCAGCTTTAATGTCAATATTTGAGCTCAGGCTTGTCTCAAGGACTCACTTCAGCAGCAGACCACATCTGTTAAAAGCTAAAAGCTGCTTTGATATTAAGGAAAAGCATCATTGAGAGGCTTCAGGGTAGGAAGACAGAAACACACCCTGACGGAGAGAAAGAGGAGGTAGAATTACGCTGATTGCTGATTCTTCACATACTCCTGATGCTGTTCTCACATATGGTGCGCGCTACGCCACAGCTGAGAGGACGCCACATGTTGAGCCAAATCGACTCAGCGCCCGGAGAGAACTGGCAAAAAGCCGAGAGATTTCAACCAGATGGGCTGCAACCAGCGCTGAAATATCTACCAATTTCTGCGTCTGGCTCTCCTGATAAAACGGTCACCTGTGTGCTGTTAGGGAAAAGCAAACAGCCTCAGAGCAAAGCCTGCTGGGAAAGGGGAAGGGAACGCACTCCGCTGTACATGTGCCTCACGTTTTTATCCTGACAACAGCTTTCCAGACATCCTGGACCTTTTCCCTGCAGAGTAGTTCACATTAAAAAGAGCAGATTCGGTCTTTCATCAGGGACGAGAGAGAAACGGCGAGGAGTTGGCTGGTGGTGCAGGGAGTGATGCAGAATTTCTTAACATCGGGCCAGAGAGGATAAAACTCGGCAATCAGAGAACCATATGTCACACTGAGGCTGCATGATATTGTTGGGACACAGTGTATGAGAATTAAACCAGATGAGTGCACAATCATTCAGCGTATTGCATCAACATAATGAAACGTTATATAACTTTTTCTGTTTCTTTTACCATCTGTTTGCAACATGTCTCTCCTGCATTAAAAATTATTGCGTTTGGGTATTTTTGCTGATATCTCACTTGAGCTTCATCTTCATGCTCCAGAACATTGTAAAAGCGCAGCGTTCATCCTCAAACCTCCACCCAACACATTGTTTATATAAATATTTCTTAATTTATCCTTACCTTCTGCTGGATCACGCTGGTGGTCTGATAGTTGAGGATGGGCCGCAGCCCGTGGGAGTCAGCTGCTGCTGTTGGATCCAAGCTGAAGTTCAAGGCCACATAAATGGGGGAGAGTTTATCCCTGAAGTCTTTCTCCTCCTGCATTAAAGAAACACACAACAAACTTTGTTACAGATGCAAAAGCAGGATCTCTGTATCATCTCTTTATGTTGCCTGCATGTGAATATGAAAACTAGATGGGTTTAGTTATCTGGGAAAATAATCACCGCTATCATTATTCATTTAGATTCTTGATAAGCTGCAGGGAAATACAGCTGGCATGATCGCAGATTCAACAAATAAATCCCCGGCGTGTCTGAATCCCTGTCTTTCTTCTCTTTTATTTATTAGGAGAGTTTGTTGTCTTTACAAAAACTTGAGTTAGATTTCTCTGGCACACAGGGATGATCAACACTTGGCTCTTTTTTCATCAATAAATATTTAAAATTTAACATCTTTGCAAGCTGGATCCTTCCAAGTCTGCTCTGCTAGTGCTTCAAGTCCCACGTGTTAACTCTGAATTTTCCATTTTTGGTTTGTTTTAAAGCTGCATTTCCTTATATTTTTACTAAAGATCGACTTTAGTTACTTTTTTTTTAATTATCTGTTTATTGGCATTTTCAGTTTGAACATAAAGAAATCACATGTTGAATAAACATATGTAATAAATCCTCCCAGTCCCCCCCTCACTACCCCATGTTCCCAGATCCTCTGAAAGGAATATAGAGTGAAAAATAAAATAAATAAATACATAATAGTAATAATAATGAAGATAAATGACACTGTAAGTTATCCTGAACATGCAATGTAAAGACAGACTATTGCAAATAAAAAATAAAAAATAAAAAAAAAGGGTTCAGAAGGATAAATACAAATTAAATTGAAATAACAGGAAAGAAAACAAAAATAAATAAAATTATAATGACTTTTAAAGGGATATTCCGTAGTTATACCAACTTTAGTAACGACCACACGATAGCAATTCAATTCAACAACTCACCTACTCTCTTCCAGCAGCCGCTTGTTTGTACGGAGACCTCGGGTTAGTCCATTACAGACTGCAGTGGGGTGACGCAGCTCAAGGAAGAACATTTACAATCATTTCCTCATGGATATGCAATCAGACCATGACGTTAGGGCAGAAGGAATACCGCATGATGATAATTACTTCAAGGAAATGATAAGGCAATGATCATAAATGTTCTTCCTTGAGCTGCGTCACCTCGCTGTAGTCCATAATGGACTGGCTCGAGGTCTCCGTACAAACAAGCGGCTGCTGGAAGAGAGTGGGTGAGTTGTGTTTAGTCTCTTTGCTAAAGAAATTAGGCAAAGTTAAAAAGATGTTTGGTGGCTCATGCTGTGGCTATAGAGTGGCGTTTTGTTTGACGTTTGTTTATGGCTCCTCAGACTGCTGTGTATTGCTATCCTGCGGTCATTACTAAAGTTGGTATAACTAGAGAGGCAAGCGGTCAATAACACACATCTCTCAAGGGGGTGTCTAACTCAGTGTTACAGTGTGTTTGACCATAACTTAAATTTATGCCGGAATATCCCTTTATGGCCTAATTGAGTAAATTAAAAAGTTAACTCACCCTTAGGTAGATCTTGGTTTGATCGCACACACGCTCTCCACGCTGCACCGTCACACTCTTTTGCAGCAAAGGCTGCTGGGAATCCAAGAACAAAGCCCTCTTCACCGCACCTTTCTGCTTGTGTTTGTGGCTGTCGAGCTGCACCTCCACCTGGAAGTCTGGAACACGTAACAAACGCACAAATGAGCACTCACGGCGTGATGAATCACCTAATGACAGGTTTTAAAAACGAGCTCCGGAGTGCAGACAATATAGTCAGTGTAACGTAAAGTTAATGGCACGAGAGACACGTGTGTATATAAAGGATGGAGTAATTAGAGATAATAAGTAAGGGCCGATAGTGACGGTGACTGAGTGCAAATCAGAGAAGGTGTTTGGCGTGCAGCACAGCCCTTTTCCTGTCATTACAAATCCTGAAGAGCTTCATCACCTGCCAAAACACTTTAACCTAGAGACTGTTATGGATTTAAAGCATTACCACTGGTGGCTTTTTGACAGTTTCCATACTTGTAATAAAGCACAGATGTGGAAAGTTGGCTCACCTAAGATGTCTGGAAGGTGCTTCCCATCTGCAGATATGCAGAAACTCAGGTTGACGCTGTTTTGGACAAAAAAGGACAGGGACATAATGAAAGAAGTGTGTTCATTTATGGCAGAGAGTCAGTGCAAATATCAAGTCCTCTCTGGACACCTCAAATGCCCCTGCTAGTTCCCTGAACTTTCCCTCCCTGCTGACTTTTTTTTTTGCGCCCTTACATGGTCCATAAGCACGAGGCGAAACAGGAAAGCAATGATTAATATGAAAGAAATGCCATGTCTAAAGAGGCACCCTGGCATCTGACCCCTTTCTGAGCTGATAAATCGCTGCGTCTCTGTTTTCCCATCGCCAGCCCCCCCACACACAAACGCATAGCAGAGCTAAGAAGGGTGAAATTGGGCAACGACTCGGGTTTCAGCGCTGACCAGTCGATGGCTGTCTATATAAGCCTGCAGCTCTCTCCCATGACATCAGCAGCACAACACGCTGCTGCTATCCAATAGTCTGCAACCCCAAAAACCCCCAATCCCTCACAAGAAAACCCACACCGAGGAAAAACTGGGAGAGGGAGACTCTGTTTGAAAAAGCAGAAGAAAGGGAATGGAGATGAAAAATGAGACAGAAAGACACACAGGCTACGAGGATTTCTCTCTAAGAGCGGTATTAACTTTATAGATGTGCTCTCCTGTGTCTGTAAGAGTTTGTGCGCACGCTTGCAGGAGTCTACGTGTCCTGATGTTTCCCAGCTGTGCTCCACCACTAAACAATATCTCATTCAAAGCAACAGCGAAAAAACCTTAACGCTCCTCCCCTCCCTCCCATTATCCCTTGTGCTCTCCTTTTCACCCCCACCAAAAAAAAAAAAAAAACTCCTCATCGCCAGGCAACGTAGCATAATCAAGACACATGTGTATACAAGAGTTTCCTTTATGGATCAGGATCTGTAAAGAGGAGGAGGTGGGGGGGAGCAGACACATGAGCGCAGTGTCAACCATGTCGAGCAGCGAGCAACCGTCTGTTTCCTTTCCCCTTTTCTGGAACTGAACACTGTGCACATTTGGAGGAGGCCATAAGGGGCTAACAATGCCGCTATTCAGCATGTTATTCCTCTGCAGCTCAACAGAAACAGCGTGGATACAGAGACATTTGGAAAATAGGTCAGATAAGAGCAGCTCTTCATTAGTATTAATACCGTGACTGCTGATGGAGAGGATATTTCTTATCAGAACTTCCTGCAGGACTGGGTTGTTTATGCATGTGAGGGGGAAATAAGGGAAGCCCATCTCTCTGCAGATAGGTCAAGTAAATACCAACAGAGCAGAACCAAAGCTTCGGTCACAGGAAGACCAGTGTTGCTACTGGACAAGATGAGCACTCACCAGGAAACAGGAATGCTGTTGTTTCCATTGGAGATCATGCAGTTCTTCTCGTCGGGGTTGATCATGGTGGGGTAAACTTTCAGGGAGGCGCTGGTGTTCACTATCGGGCGAGATCTGCGGGTCAGGAGAGGTCACAGAATGAAAACTCAGTCAGTCTCCACACAACAGACTGTGATCCATGTCATGTAACCACCACTTTTAGCTTCATATTCAGTGAAATCTGAATACAACCCACCTGTAGAGGACTGCCTTATTGACGCCAAAAGCACCGACGATGAGATCTGAGGAAAAACAGAACCAGGATTAGAAAACTTTCCATTAAATTATCTTTTAAAAGCTCTGAAACGTTTTTGCTTTCCTCACCTGGGTATCCGTTCAGATCCAGGTCTTTATCACCTCTAAGGGCGAACCCAAAACTAGCAGGAAGCGTCCCGGCTGCCCACTGTCCTGCTATCACCTGAGATGGTTCTTCCCTGAGTCCTCCTGAGTACCCGTTAAAGATGTAGACCAGTCCCTGTCGATCCTCTCCTCCAAACGGAGCGCTCACTGCTACATCTGTAAAAGAAGGAAAAGTCTGAGTAATAATGAAAGTAAATCCGCCAGAGTGATAATAAAACTGGTGGTTTTGTGAGGCTGATTATAGCTTCATTTTGGCTGGTAAAAATCTATTAGCTCGAGCTTTGGAAAATTAATGATGGTAAACGGAGAAAAGTGATGGAAACTTCACATTTATTAGACTTTAACAATAAAATCTAATGTCCAAAACTTCAGTACGGCACAGCGGATAGTCCAGACTAGTCTAGATGTTTAAACAACCAACAGTTAAAGGTGGGGTAGACAGGAATCCATTAAAGAGGCATCTTTAAACTAATCTAAAAATGCTAAAAGTGAATAAAAACGAATAAATTTGGTCTACTTTTAACATATTTCTGTTAGTTTTAACTCACTACTTGCTTTAAAAGTCACTTACTCTTACATTTTTAATTCATTATCCATGTGTAAGATGCAGAAACACAAAAGTAATGACCAAAGCTAACTTTACAGAAAAATCGTCCTTTTTTTACCGTTGAATCCATCCTGGTTCAGATCTCCCAACGGCGCGATAGTGCTGCCGAATCTCCCAAACACCTGGGTGCCGGTCAGGTGAGGTAGTTGGAGTGTCAAGTTTAGAGGGTTCTGCTGAAGGTAAACATAAACACGGCCCATCTCCTCCAGACGCCCGTCCGAGCCTCGCACCATGAACATCGGAGCTCCCACAAGCAGGTCGGCCATCCTGCAGACAAGAGAGAACATATGATCACACTGATGCCAAAAAGAGAGAGAGAGAAAGAGAAAGTGAGGTTTCAACTCACCCGTCATTGTTAATGTCAGTCGAAGCCACTGCATGGCCAAAATATGATCCCATCTGTGAACAAAATCATTTCATTTCATCAAAATCCGTTCTTTGCTCTTGAATAAAACCAAACAATCATGGCTCCTTAAACTCTGCACTCCAAAAAAAAATAAAAAAAAGAAGAGAGGGAGAGAGAGAGTACTGGGGGAAACACGAAGGCTTGATGGCTTTTACAGGTTTAGCCCAGTCTGTTTCTGTTTCTGTTCCAGGTCCGTTTAATTTTCTGAATTTTTCGCCATGACTGTTAATCCCCAAAAAAAGAAAAAGCACAAACGTTGCAGAAACAGCCTGAACTGCAGACGCGTAAGCAAAAATTCAACCATGATTTTATTTATTCAGCTGAATCCATCATCACGGCTCAAACGAGCTCCGTGCCTTTCTATTCCCAGAACCATTTGCACAAATTGCCGGTGCACTTTTCCCAACCCACGAAAAAGACCCAAATCTTGTTAAGAGGACGCTGTAAAGGAAATTATTTTTGGTTACACTGACTCGACAAATTAAGAGCCGTAAGCGATTAAACACAGAAGAAGTGGAGAAGAATGAAGGAGCGTTTTGTTGAGGGTTTCAGATAAGACTTCTGAGACTCACCTGCTCGCCGGTGTAGTTAATCATGGTCTTCAGATCTGTACCGTTCAGAATAGACACCTGCAACACAGCAGCAACACATGGTCCACGTCTTTTTATGCGGTTTAATACAAGCACAACTTCTCATACGGAATTTGCAGCAAAAATAAATCCCACTGTGACAAAAACACTCGTGCCATTTTCTTTTCTTTTTCTTTCCTGTATCGGCCCCAAAATCTAAACCTCCCGGCGCTTCTTTCTAAAACACCAAATTCAGAGCCAAGAAAAGAGCAATAGTTAAGCTTTCTTACCAAACCGTAGAGCTTGACTGCTTTTGGGCCTTTTGGGACACCGGCTATGAAATCTGCAAAGTGTACAGAGAGATTAAGCAAAGATTTAAGGGAGGAAATATCCAGGTCAGACTCAGCAGGAGGATAAGAGAATTCCAGGACTGATGACGTTTCCAGCTCAATAATCGTGTGAAATATTGCAGCTGACATGGATTAATCCTCTCTTCAGCTGTGCTATTTGGATTTCTACAAAACCGTCCCTTAAGTGCTGTACTTCTAGCATGCCTCACCTAACTTTCACTATGTGGGTACAATCTGGATTTTGATGACTTACCCTCCACTTGATCACCGCTGAATTCCCCAACAGCAACAGAGTAACCTGCAAAAAGAGCGCAGACATCAGCTTCGGCTTGCAGAACAAATATGGAGTCCTAATAAAAGCATTAAGACAACAGTGGCATTTCTTACCCTGGTAGCTGTCATCATACTCAGACTGTTGGACCAAGACCTGTTTGGTCTGGATCTGGCCCCTTACAGACCCTATAAAGTAGCCTGGATAGTACGCTTTGATGATGTCCTCCTTGGCTGCAGAGATCACCTGACCTACAGTGGGACCAATGAGAAGTGAAATCAGTTTAGAGGAGGATTTTATGGTGAGGTTTTTAAGAATTTCAAAGTGTCCTCCGTACCTTGCCAGTAGTAGCTGCCTGGTCCTCCCAATACCACTTTACCATCCTGTAGGATAAAATCTGTGAATTAGTGCTATGAAAACAAAAAGACTTAGAGTTGGATCACTCTGGATATTATCTTACTAACAAAGACTGTATACATATTTTATTCTGTGTGGTTCTGGATCAAATACACAAACGATAATCCCAGAAACTTTTTATGGTCGTCAGTTATTACCGTAGTGAAGTCAGCGCTGAATCCTCCCTGACAGTAGCCCTGCCCCCCAGCATCAGTGATCTCTGAAATAGAGAAGCAAAGTTGTGTATGATTAAAGCTCCAGTGAGAATTTTTTTGAAGTTTTTATGTTATACAAAAGCAAATAAGACCATCAGCAATAAAATTGGCATGTTTTATAGTGCAGGTAGATGATGAAACAGCAGTGGCATTCATGGAAAATGATTAATTTTTTTGTCAGGGGTCACCAAGATATGATTGCAATGATTGCTTTGTCCACAGGAGGCGCCATAATCGACACAAACCAAAAAAGACCAACAAGCTCCTTTAATGATTTAATGTTATAACCACTCATTTTCCATATCTGAGAACTTTTTCTAACAGGAAAACTGAACCACATTGATAAATATTTTAAAAAATATTGTAGGAAAAACTTTTTCCTTATCCAGCTCTAACTTGAAAGCAAAAAACTAAATCAAATCTAGCGTATTTTGCAAGATTAAATCGCAAGTCAATAATATGGGAGCATGTTGGGTATAACATGATGACCACATTATTTAAGAAGCTGAATCACCATCTGTAAAACCAGCTTCACAAAAGTTGCAGCCAACAGGTCTAAATTTTGAATTTGACGCAGCATCACCACCAAGTGCTATGGAAACACCCAATGACTGAGTGATATTACATTGGCAGCAAATTAACTTATGAATCAGGAATGTAATATAAATATGTCTGTTTACTCAATGTTGGAGTATGGAAAGTTGGGCTAAGTATATTAAAAATTACATAATAATTAAGATACTCATGATACTGTTACTTAAACTGTAATAGTCCCATCTTTTATTGCTGTAGTTACCTGTTCGACAGGGTGCGTACTCCACAAACTTGGTGAAGTTATGCGCTGAGAGGTAGCATGTTCCCGTAGCATCAGAACGAGGCTCATCCTTTTCAGTCCTCCAGGAGTAGAGAGGAGCACAGGCCTGGGGAGGAGGAGGGGAAAGAGAGGGGAGGAGATGTGTTGATGAATGGGGTGAGCTTCGAGGTGGGAGATGTTTTTCCAGTTGCAACAACACCCCAGTGAACTCAGGAGGGGGACCTGGGCCGAGGTCAGTGGTACATCTGGAGCAGGGTAACCATGTAACTCAACCCAGGTCACAACCTGAACCATCAGACCAAACAACACGTCCCAGAGGGGGGGGCGGCACAAAATATTTCTTTACAGTGGGTTGAAACAGAAGGTGAAAATTGTCCCTTGGTGATAACAAATTAACAGTCAGTTATCTGGAAGACAAATTTCTGACACGTTCCCACTGACGTCAGAGTAAGAGATCGCTCAAAGTTGCAGGTTAAGTCACATGACCAGAGCAGGCCTTTTTTAGAAGCTACTAGTCATAACAGATGAGAGCGCCAGTGATGCACCGCAAACCTGAGACTCTAACCTTTCTTCTCCTTTCCCCCCCAAATCATCCCTGAGACGGTCAACTTACCAGGATGGTGTCACCGTGAGCACGCACAGTGGCGCCGAACCATTGGTGGGACTTGAAATCAATCTGATGTTCGGTGTCGTTTAGCATGATGGTGCTATCCCCTGAGGAAAATAAAGCAAAATAACACTCAGAAACAGCCGACGTACAAAACATGCATTCTTACAGTCGGACGTTGAGCATCCAAATTCTTTCCAGATCCTTGTGAACAGCTGGACCGTCTGCAAACATGAGCTGTGGGACTCAAGTTATTTTCTGTTTTTATGCTGGGACCGTCATAACAAAAAGAAGACAGTGTGGTACTCGCTGTTTTCAAATTAATTTGAATAATTTCCAATAGAATGAGTGTCTGCCTTATTAGTTATTGGCTGATATTGAGATTTGGGTACCGGGCAGTGGGCAGTGGGCATTGGGTATCAAGTATCAATTATCAAGTACTGGGTACTGGATATCTGGTGTTGGGTAAAAGGTGACAAGTATTTGGATATGGGCAATCAGATACTGGGTAACAGGGATTAACAATTGGGTATTGAGTAGGAAAATCAGGTATTGGGATTCAGGTATCAGATATTGGGTATTTTGTGTCAGGTACTTGTCAAGTATCAGGTAACGGCCATCATCAAGTGTGGGATATTAGGTATGGGGTATCAGGTAGTGGGTACCAGGTAGTGAGTATCAGGTATCTGGAATCAGGTGTTAGGACGTGGGTATTGGGTATTTTCTACCAGGTATGTGGAAACTTTGAATTGGGTATCAGGTCTGGGCAGTGAGTGTTGTAACCTACTCTCTTCCAGCAGCTGTTTGTTTGTAGCGAAAGCTCGGGCCAATCCATTACGGACTACAGCGGGGTGACGCAGCTCAAGGAAGAACATTTATGGTAATTTCCTCATAGAAATGCAATCAGACCGAGACGCTAAGGCAGAAGAACTACCGCGTCTGCAGTGCAAAATGATTAATATGATGACAATTACTTCAAGGAAATGATAAAGAAATTATCATAAATGTTCTTCCTTGAGCTGCGTCATCCCGCTGTAGTCCGTAATGGACTGGCCTGAGGTTTCACTACAAGCGGCTGCTCGGATCTCTTGAGGTGGTGATTGGTAACTGGTACTGGGTATTAGGTATCTGGAATGGTTCCTCTCTATCACCCAGTCTTGGTATGAGAATCTGGACTGTCTATGCTTGACCCCGCTGACCCCGTCGCTCTGTTTGACCACCTGGCCCTTAACGCTGATCTCCCACTTCAACACTCTGACAGCAGCAGGTGACATGACAGATGGTCCTGGGAGTCAGGTTTTAAACACAACTTTATTGGAAGACAGATGCTACATCTGCGCAGCGCTGGAGACCGAAGTGCAAACAAATTGATTTGGCGAGGAAATCTCTGCACATCAGGGAATATCAAATCAGAGTTTGAGATGACATCTCCAAGGAGAGTGCAAATCTAAGGTCAAGAGCAACCAAAGCAAACGCAAGGAATCCTTAACTTCACAGTCCTCTTCTCTCAGGCATGTTGCAAAAGAGGGAAGTTACATCTCTGTTCGTCTCAACACTGATGGATACTGCAAAAAAAAAAATCGAGACGTATTGGATTTGAAGAGAGCAGGCTGCGTGTCAGGCCTCTCCATCCACGCCTGTCAGCCCCTGGTCTTCCCTCCCAGGCCAGCAAGCCTGGAGCTGCTCTGTGTCTTTATGGAAACAGTGAAGGGGCTGGGGTCCAGTCCAATGAAAACATACACACTCTGGCCCAGTTTCCTCATAGCAACCTCGCAGTCATCTCTGTTTAGGCACACACTTCTGTCTCCCTTTCCCTCTGTTTTCATTTTCAACATTGTCTCCATTTTTGCCATTCATTTTTCTTGCACAATCTCGCCAAAGTCTCCATATCTGTACGGGGTTTTTTCCCTCTCCTGCTGCCCTTCATCCAAGACAGTAGGCAGAGAGATTACGGTTTTTAATAACCAAACTGTATTTCTGCTTAATCTCCATGACGGAGCTTTCCTGCTTAAGTTATTTATCATGGGCTGACAGCATTAAGACCTTCTCTTGGTGTATTTAGTGGTCAGAAGTCTAGGGTGTGAAAAGCAGTGCTTTAGCCGTACAGGCAATAACATGACCGCCACTTGAAAGGGTCCTTTATGGGCTTGTTACTTTAACTAATCTGCTTTAGCTGCATGGTACTTTTCCTATAAGCATATGCCCCGTAAGTGTTTTCATAACTCAGAGGTCTTTGTTTGGATAAGGTCGATGTAAAAACCACCGGAGAGGTATGGGCTGAGAATTTGCTGTGTCTGTTTAAGTCGTGTCACATGTAGCAGCAGAAAAGTCCTCATGTAATCCATACACCGTAACTGTGATCCGCACTCTGCACTCATGTCCGTTTAATACATGTTAGCATGTTTTCCTCGTCTTTTATTCCAGGGTTCCTCTCGTCAAGAGTTCCTCAGGGATTGAGGAATTGAGACTGCCTCCAAAAGCACTATTTGCCTCCATTTAAAAGTCCTCAAATTAGAGTATATCTGTACTCTTTACAGCTAACAGTTTTCTTGTTAGCTAGTGAGTTAGCAAACACAACCTTTAGCCACAAGACCAAGGTACTCTTCCCTTTACTATAATTTGCCATACACCTATTGTAATTACTGTCTTTGCTAATGTTAGGGATTTTTCTACAATTATTCGCAATGCGCCCATAACCCCCAATTTTCATTGCATCCGGAACTGCTCTGACCCGAAAGGCTGTGATTTTCGCCGTCGCCAATTCCTACCAGATCCATTTGTGAGGCGAATTTCGTGGCGGATTACGGACATCAGGAATCGCGAGAACTCACAAGAACTTAGTCTCCATTTTTGCCACCCGTTTGCATGGTGTGAAATATGATCCGCCTGAAACAAGGAGTGTTTTTTTTTAAAAGATGTTGGATGTTTTTATTTTGTGTCTGTGCCCGACTTCTTTTCCAGCACGGGTTAATCTGTGCTGAATTTATCCGGCATGCTCCGGCGTCCGAGAAAAATAGAACTCTTGCGATCAGCTGCGGAGTCCGGCGATCCGCGACGGAACAGAATGAAGCCGGTGGAAATTGACACATTGACTTGAATAGTTACGATCGGCTGCGATTGGCGGATCCGGCTGTTTCGTAGCCGTTCTGGATGCGGTGGAAATTGGGGGTTAGTCCGACAGTTTATTTGTTCCTATCCATCTCTCCCTCCTCTACCCAAATTTCTTGTCCGTCTGTGCTTCTCAGTCCTTGCTCATTGACAGATTAATATTGGTTCTCAACAAAACAATCTCTCAAAGTCTGGACTCGCTCTATATTTAAGTGTCCCGGGATGACTTTTAATGGGTTTCTGGGCTGTAAAAATATAAATAACAGCTGATTAATTATAACTCGTTGCCATAGAAAACAGAGGACACATACCGACATAACCGCCCGAAGAGGCTGAGCAAAGTTCTCACATGACAGCATTAGTTCCAGTGTTGGTTATGTTCTGTGTCACTGTAATAGGCGTTGAGAAGGCCTGCTTGTTGTCTATGAGGAGAATGAAGTCAGCTGGAGTCATGTGAATCACTTTCAATGAAAATAGAGATTTTAAAGAGAGATAGCGAGGAACTAAGAGGAGTGCCACAAAAGAGCTGTCCTCAGACTGAGGTCCCCTGGGGAGGCGGATTAGCGCTAAAGTGACACGGTGCCCAGCTCAGTGTCCCCCGGGACCGGCAGAGGGTCTGGAGTGCATTCGTAGACTGACTTTACCTTTGAACTGTGTGTGAGAGGACAGCCATTAGTGAGGTTAGAGCCCCTCTTTGTGTGTGTGCATTTGTGTGTTTTTTGTGTGTGTCACTTGGGCTGGAAGACAAATGGCCAAATTCTCTCATCACATCAGCCGCCCCTGTGGGAGTACCGACAGCAGGAGAGAGGAGGGGGACGGAGCAGAAAAAAAGAGGCTCTGGTTTCTCCCTTTTCCTCCGTCTCCTCACTCCTCCCCTGGCTTTCTCACCCTTCCTCCCATCCTGTATGTGCCCCTCCGACACCCTCCCTGCTGCCCTCGCTCCCCTCTTAGATCCATAGAAAGGCTCTTATCTCAATGGAAGAGGAAGTGGATGGGAGGGGGCCTCTCACCACTTTGACCCAATTAGTTAGGCTAATTAAGAGGGTCTGTGGCCTGTGGGTCAGAGCTCAAACTCACCAAGAGACAGGGAGACCTATGACACCACTTTATCAGAGAATGCCAATATTCAATAATTTGGAGGACAATAAATTATACCATGGCAGCACTGTGTGAGGAGACTATCTCAAATAGAAGATCTTTGACAGGCAAACATTTTCTTACTCTTGATTTATCTACACCTCTCTTTGACCGTAGGGTTCAAAGTATGATTATCTCAGTAACACACTAATGACGGGGTCCATCTGGCTTGAATAACTATGCTGCATCAAAGCAGTTGTCTTATAGAAAGATACACATGTATGAATTAAAGGTATCCATATGTAGAGATAGCACTTCAGCATGACAGTACAAAACAGTTCATCTATCATATCATATCATGTCTTATGGCCATGCATGGAAGTGTATCCTATTGAAACGTAACGTAACATAACGTTTAGTAAGATATCGTATCTATCATATCATATGGTATCAAACAGTACCATACCATAGCGTAGCGTATGGCCAAAATAGGATATCATATCATATCATATCGTATCGTATCGTATTGTATCATATTGTATCATATTGTATCATATCATCTCATATTGTATCATATCATATCATATCATATCGTATCATATTGCATCACATTGTACGCCATCTTATCATATGCCATCATATGGTATTATATCATAGCATATTTTTTTATATCATATCATATCATACCGTATCTTACTGTATCACATAAAACTGTATCATATCATATTGCTTCATATACCATATCGTATTGTATCATACTGTATCACATTGTGCCGTATCAAATTATATTGTATCGTATCATTGTATTTCATATAGTAAGCTGACTAAAACTGACTTTTCAAGCACATCTACAAAAAACACCATCTTAGCAAAGCCAACCCAATCCAACTTTTAGCCAAACTAAAGACGGAGTAAAGGCTCTCTTTCAGCTTCTTAAATAACATCTAAAGGGAGCTCGTCTGTCACCCAAGTTAAAAAAAAAACACTATTTCGCTAAACGTGTAATCTTAATATCATTAAAACTAGTGATTAGAGTAACAAAACAAAAAAATTCTCAAACCAGTAGCTGAACCAATTCCCAAACCTTTTCTTTGTTGTTGTTGTTGTCAGCCTCAGACAGTCTTCACTAGAATATGGTTGAAATAACTTAACACTGGTGTTATAAATATAGCAGTACCGCGTAACTTTGTTGTCATACTTGGTGAGAACTTCTAGTCCAATAGTGGTCTCAAGCTCAGTGTTTGTTTGACCCTCCAAGTGGATTTCATTCTCTGTCATCTCTCTTATTTACCTCGTCTCATGGAAACAGTGAGCTATACGAGGGTCTGGAGATGTAGCTTGAACGGTACCTAAAGAGACTTATTTTGACACATCTCTTTACTATATATTTGACGACTTGGGAGTCAGAACACACGGATTCGCCAGTAACATGTATTTTTTTATGTCTCTGGCTTTCAATATCAGAATTGGAAAGGAACAGAGCTACAACTCCAGTGAATGAATCACAGCAGTAAATGTCCATGCAACAGCTGTTTGGCATGGATGCATTTGAATGCAGATGTCCACGCTCCCTTACACTGTACAGAGATTCTGCCATGATCCAGATGTCAAAAGCAGCTCTGGCACTCAAATCAGCCCCTTCAAAGCCCTTTAAAATATATGAAGGACGTTCTCTGACAGCCCGGGGGACTAACCTCCCCTGTAAGGCCTTGCTGCTACACATGACATCACTCGCCGTGGCCTCCAGCCAGCACCCCTGGATGTGCAACACATTTTATGTTGCAAGAAAAACAGTGCAAAAATAGGGTACCAAGCAGCGGAGTCCAATAAAAGAATGTTGTTAAAGCAGGCTTGTGAAACACTCAGTGGAATATTTCTCCCCTATTGTGCGTTATGGACTGTAAATTTAAGCTGGCGCACCATGTTAAGCTCGGGAAAGCAGCCAAGAAGGCAGCAAAGTCTGTCCCTTTGTAAGTTTAATTCATACAAACTACTATTGTGTTTGACCTAAAAGCTTGTAACAACACCGTCTTTTTTGCCGTGATTGTCTCTCTCCTCACTCCGTCTTGTCTCTGTTGACGCAAACAGGCTGAGGGCTCCTCTGTCAACACACCGAAACATGAATCCATTCATTAGACCAGCTCCCGCACTTCCTCGTGGTCTCCAAAAACCACTTTACCCAAATCTGACTCAACTGGAGACTTTTTGTCTGTACCGGTGGTGTCTCCTTTACCTGTCGTTCCAACAGCTCATTTCTTTGTCTGACGTATTTGTTTATTGGTTGCTTATCTCCAAAAAAGCACCCAGGGCAAGGCAACACAAACATGACCGAGAGGAAGGGAGGAGCATCCTTCAAGAAACCCTCTTCAACACTCTATTATCTTTTCAGCCCCTAAACAGACAGAAAGGATCATTCAGGAACCGATGTAGCCACCTTGAGTTCACTAAAGTGGAACGCTGACGCCTGATCCGGATCTCAGATCTCCACTCTGATGACAAGGAAGACAAATACTCTGAAATACCTTTAGGAGCTGAGCTGAGCTGACCAAAAACCCAACAGATCAATTGTAAAATTTACCTTTTGGATCAAACTCTATGGCGTGACAATCTGATTGGTCGAGGCTCCACGGACAGTAGAACACGGATCCTCCCTCTGTAACGTTTACCTGCCGCGTGCTGGCCTTAGGTGCTCCTATTACCACACTGGAGCTGCAAAAAAAAAAGACACAAAAAGAGAGAAAAACTTGCAGTAAATCCAGAGTTACAAGTTTACCAGACCGCAGGATCCTTAAAAACCCTGCAAATTGCGAAGCTTTGTAGCTCTCAACCTGGTTTTGATTAAAAAAATTGCATTCCTGACCTCCCACTCGACAATGCGGCGTGCACATTTTGCCGCTTAGCGAGCCGTATTCTGACTCAGAAGCAAAACATTTTAACAGGTTGCAGCACTGTTTTACATAATCCCATACAGCGAGGGAAAACTACTGCTTTGACATGTGCGCATGTGATGCTTAGAAAACTCTCCGCTTGTGCGCTCAGACGCACAAGGAGAAACACTCACACGGTCACGCATGCATCCCTGAGGGGCAGATTGGATAGGAAAACAAGACAGCAGACAGGCTAAGTGGAGTCGCACTCGTGTTTCTACAGCTGTGACACTAAACCTTTATGTCCTTGGTGCTTCACTGTAAAAAAGAGAAATCAGTGGTTACAGAAATGACAGAGTAAAGAGATGAAAGAGGGGGACATAAGGGCAGAGAGGGACGACACGCTAATATTAAAACCAAAATGCCAGAATGATGAAGTTAAGACTCTCCCTGTAGACAGAAGTGCACATGTGGATCTCTTGGCCATTACCTCACTCTGGACCGACTTGACCCGACAAGCATCGCAGAAAAAGCTGCTGGCATTGATGTCGGTTAAGGAGGCATGAGACCACTGAGACCAGACGGTGTCTAGGGGGATTCCAACAACAGGAAAAGACCACCCTTTCCGGACCCTGATCTTCCAATAGTGCATGAAGGTTTACAATTTAGCTAAACTTAGCATCCTGCCCCGAGAGCATTACTCCCAAGGGTCCAGAGGAAGACAGGGAGCCAGCATGAGTCAGAGTGTAATTAAACTTGCCAATTTACCGAAATCACATGACATCATACTCAGAGTCAGATCTTGTCTTAATATGGTACCGGGGTGTGTTGATTCTCGAGAACATGGTGCATCTGATAAATTGATAGTAAAAAGGGATATTCCAGCGTAAAATTAATTTAGGGTCAAACCCACTGTAACACTGAGTTAGAAAACCCCTCGAGAGATGAATGTTGCTGACTGCTTGCTTCTGTAGTTATACCAACTTTAGTAACGACCGCAGAATAGCGATACACAGCGGTCTGATGACCCATCAACAAACCTCAACCAAAAGGCCACTCTATACAACACCTAACTTCATCAACAGTACATATGGGGTCCCAGCCATAGCACTAGTCAACAGACATCTTTTTAACTTTCCCTAATTTCTTTAGCAAAGAGACTAAACACAACTCACCTACTCTCTTCCAACAGCCGCTTGTTTGTAGCGAGACCTCAGGCCAGTCCATTAGTGACTACAGCGGGGTGACACAGCTCAAGGAAGAACATTTATAATAATTTTTTATCATTTCCTTGAGGTAATAATCATCATATTAATCATTTTGCCCTGCAGATGAGGTAGTTCTTTTGCCTTAGCGTCTCTGTCTGATTGCATTTTCATGAAGAAATTATCATAAATGTTCTTTCTTGAGCTGCGAAACTCCGCAGTTGTCCGTAATGAAACCAGGCCAAGTTCAAAAGATGTTTGGTGTCTAGTACTATAGCTGGGACCCTATATGTCCTGTTGATGAAGTTAGGTGCTGTTCTGAGCATTATTTGTGGCTATAGAGTGGCGTTTTGGTTGAGGTTTGTTTATGGTTCCTCAGACCGCTGTGTATTGCTACTGTGCGGTCGTTACTAAAGTTGGTTTAACTAGAGAAGCAAGCAGTTGGTAATTTTATGCCGGAATATCCCTTTAAGTGAATACTAGTGAAAATCTGGAGGGCTGTCAGGTCGTACATTGAATGGAAAGATCATACCGTTAAACTGAATTTGGCAAAAACTACCTTCTTTTCAGCTAAAATGCTAATTTGTGTAACATCTACTCTAATTGGCTTTTGTCAAACTTACACAAATGAGCTAAACTAGCAAACAGAAATGTAGCTCCACAACTTACAAACTGACTCTCAGACCTTGATGTCAAAATTCACTCTCAGATGGCTCATGGAAAAATCTCACCAAAGTGGGCCGGTTTGTCTTAGTGGTCAGAACAAAGCTTTCAAATCATGTCAGCAATGAAGGTTTTCAAAACACTCAACTGACGGGGATCAAAGTTAGGATACCGCAGCAGACGTTATGAGCTCAGGATCACGCCGTTACATGTGGTCTTGATACCTCAGAAGACATCCAGTACAGTTCTAAATGTGGAGCAGAAAGTCCTGGTTTGTGTTGAAAAGAGAGGAAAAGAAACAAACTCGTCCAACTCTCGGAGAAATAAAGTTTCTGACCACATATGCAGAGCTCCACCTGTACAATAATACATGTAGAAGTTCTGATCAGGGGTTCTCAAAATGACGCTAACAGGGCTCTCCCTTAAACAAATATACAAGCAGTCTGTAAATATTTAACCCTGGCAGCTATTCTCTGTAAAAAAAAAAAAAGCGAGCCTGGCATGCTCAACACCTGCAAGTCATAGATATCTGCTGGATAAAAATGTCTTCAAAAGATTAACTGCAAGAATGATAATCTCTGCAAAGTTTCTGAGCCAACAGAAAGAAAAAAAAGGAATTCCTCCTGACTGGGAATAATCGCTTTGTGAGCGCATGTATGCATGACACCATTCGAGGAAAATGTACATATACTGGCAAGGCCAAGGACACTAGAAGTCACAGATCTGGACTGAGTCCAGCGGTATTCGCCAAGAGGAAATAATAAAGGAAATACAAAACAAGCTGATCATGCTTTCAGCAAGCTGGCAGCTGGAAGGAGTTTTTTTCACCACGCAGTTAAGCGCAGATGTGCAGACACACATTTACTGATTGCAATCTGAAAGTACAGCGAATGAAGAGAAATTAGCATTTAATGGGTCTTTATCTGGCGTGGATCTGTTTAGATCTAAACTGGCATTTCCCCGCCCCACACCTTATCTGCTGGCTGTGTGCTCCAAAGGTAAAGCTTTGCTATCATTAGCATTTAATGAAGCTCAAACTGCAGTCGGCTGAGTGCTGCATAACGAATTCCTTTGTAAGAGTAGGTGGAGTGTATTGCTGGCCCTTGGGATGGATATGCAAATATATGTAATTGGTCGGGGAGCCGGTGATCCTCAGCTGTTCTGCTGAATGACGGACTCATCAGGTCGTGTTTAGTCGAAGTGTCTGAAGTGTGTCTAGACAAAAGGCCGCTCACAGAGGGGCTGGAGGCAGCACCGTCGCAGGCTTGAGAGGAATCACAGCAGGCAAAGCTGCAAAGCCGTAACCAATCTTTCGTGAAATGTTTTGGCTACTGGAATTAAACTAATCCGTACTTGCTCATTTGTACGTGTCATGTTGCAATGGCGAAAAGTAAGAGACTTGTGTAATTAAATAGTGGGGGGAGTATGTGGTTGAAATGCATTGGCGGCTTCACCACTTTGCAAAGTCAGCCCAATTCAACCGCCACTAATGATCTCCACCACCCGGCTGACAATTAAACATTAATTAAACTACTGTAAATGAATCAAGCTGCAATAAACAACAGCGTTACTGTAAGCAAAGACCGGGTTCGTCCTATTTGGAGCTACCAAAATTCTCCCACTGCACCATAATCGCCAGACTGTAAACCACTTTTTTATGTAGGGTTAAGAAATGAGGGGTGCTGGAACTTGCTGATGTGACACGATCACGATTGCAAATACGCCTTATGATGAGGTTACAGGACGAGGCTGTAAGAGGGCAAATTCCTCTGCTACCCACACCCCTTTAGCCCAAACATTTCCACATTTAATTGTCTTCCACCCCAGCTGCAAACTGACGTCACTTTAAAACTATGACAAAAGCTTTAATCTAGAAAGTCAGAGGAGAAAATCACATTTGTTAAGCCTGCCAGAGTCACCATCTGCAGTCATAAACGGGGCTCAATGAGCGCCGCAGCACAAATGGAGACGGTGGGAGAAAGTAGAGGAGGGGGGTAGTGGCCTTCAAACCTCAGCAACACCTCAGGGAAGCATGTACAGTCACCCGCATAGTTTACACTCAGCTTTCAACACATGCTTAAACTCTGGAGTGGTTCCATATCTTTAAGGGGCAGTGACCTGATCGGGACCAGAGGCAGCTCTTGACCTTCTCCGCTCTAAGAAATCCGACAAACATCTCCATCAACGCAACTCTGGAGAAACATTACACAAGAGCTGGAGCAACAGCAGTGGAAACATAAAGCCGAGTAGTTAGCCGACCTGCTCGAGAAATTAATGAATAGCTGCATGATGTCATGCTGCTGTAATATTTACTTTTCAAAGCAGGCGTGGGCACTTCCAATGAGATCAGCTGGATGACAGAAATGAGAAGCTAAATCCATGTGTCACGACTGATTCCAGACCACATGGAGCCATAAGACTGGTCTCGTGTTCATCTCAAAGCCAAGGCCAGACAGGAGCTGCTACGGCTCTTGCGTCCACCATATGGACAATCTAGACGACCTCCTCACTCACTCACACACGTGTTTTCTGCACTGCTGTCCAGGAGTCTGGGGATGATGAGAGTAGCAGTGCCTGCTGGGGTGGCGTGTGCTGACTACAGAGAGTTTACTGTCCTGTACAAAAGCCACATTTTTGCTTTGACGCTCAGATGGCGCTGTAAGACGCCGGAGGAGCTGTTTGTTTCTCTAACGGATCAGAGCGAATCAAGACTTTTTAAACAATTTATAGACATTTCTCCACGCTGAAGAGGAGCAACTGAGGTCTGAACTGAGCTGATCAGATAAACAGTCCCGTCTGTTGAGGATCTGATTCCACTATCACCACAAAACCGCTTCCTTTGTATCCTCGAAAGGATACTAGTGTTGAGCAACAGGTGGCCTGAAAATTACAAGCGCTGCTTGCCGAGGAAGTACAACAGCGTTGTTTATCGTCACACAGGAAAAAGCTCCGACGTCCAAAAGCCATTGGACATCAAAGTTCAAACTTGATGATTTTACACTATTCTGCGGCTGTGTGGGCGTGACCCGCCTTGATACTGAATCAGCAAGTTGATTTAGCAGCTGACATTCGAACAACTGACTTTTCAACAAGCATCACCGTCACTCTGCGTCTGTATTATTCCCTCCATATGTGTGCTTTTACTGTTAATGTGTGTAAACCAGCAGCTGCTCCGTCAAACCACCAACCATGCAAAAAGCATTTCCCAAGTGCCGAGTGAGAAATTTCAAGCATTCTGCAACTTTAAAACTTCAACATGACTCGGGTTCAAGCCCGTGCATTTTCCCATACCAAACTGCGCCCACCCCCACCCTCAAATGCGACCCCTCCCTGTCTTTTTTTCACAGCCAAACTGCCCTAAAATCCTCCTGCGAGGAGTTTAACTGCTGCTGGTTCACACCTCTCCACAATGCCCACGTCAGGGGGTCCAGTCCTCTCACCTCGGGATAGAGAGAGGCTGTTGTATTAAATGTGGTGATCGCAGAGGGAGGGGGTGATGCAGCTGTTGAAACACTTTGTCTGCACACCCCCAACTGCTGCTCAACCCACACCTTTCCTACAAAGCAGAGACAGAAACGGCGAGCGTGTATGTCTTATTTCCATCTCCAATATGAGATATGACGTAAGCTTGAACGCCTTCCAGTTGGATTTCCCAGCGCACGAGCGAACGATGGCGTCACTCGCCTGATTCTATATAAAGAATCGCTTTTATCAAGTTACCATACATGTGAGTCACTTCACGACCTGCTGGGGTTAAAACAAACCAGGCCTCCTGGCAGTGAGAGATTAAAATCTAGCAGAGTGTGAGTCAGGACGACCCTGACCAATAACTGACTCCGTTCAAAGGTAGACATGACGTCCTGGGGGCATTCCCAAACCTAGAGCTGCAGACGTGACAGCAGCGGGGTCCAACGGCCCTTTAAACACATCGTCACTGACTCCTTTTTCCAGTCAAGCACACACAGGCTCATTATTTAAAAGACCCTCAAACAGCCGACCAGGAAAGCTAGACAGGGCAGAGTTTAAAAGGTTTGAGACAGTCTGCAGAGCGACCGCGCTAAGTATATCCTCACTGACCTTTACAGCAACACACACTTAGGTGCCCGACCTGCCAGCCTGATCATCATAGGTGCACATAAAGTTTGACAACAGAGAATTAAAGGAGCTTTTCTTAAGTTAAGTAAGAAATGAGTCATAGTTAAATCTCTTAAAATGGAAAACAAGTAAACATTTTCAGTCGTGCGGACAAAGGGCTCCATTGTCTGAGAACCTTGGCAGCTCAAATATACAAACTCTGCTCCTGCAGCTCAAACACTTCACCGGTTTGGTTTAGAAACAAGCCCACAGAAGAGGACGCCGCTGGAAAGCAACAACAGAAAATGAGGGTGATCATATATGGTGTAGTCAGAGAAAACAGCGCTGCTTTAGTGGTCAAATGAGAGAAAACCAGGTCAATGTCAATATTAGTTTAACTCTAACCTTGTGGAGAGAGTAAACTCCTGGAGGGTGACCTACATGCACTGACTGACCTCCACATGTACTCTTCATGGTTGAATCAGACGTGAGCTAATGCACATCTCTGAAACACATGGCCAGACTGGAACAGATTACCAGCCTTATCAGAGAGTCCTCCATTACCATGAAGTGTTTTTTAACGGCTCTATAATCTCTGAGTGAAGATTTGACTTTTTGACTCGAACCCTGAAGTCCTTTTCTTGTTTTTGGCCTTAATTCCATTATGTAGATATCAGTACAGAAATGAGTAGAGGTGGTGATGTGAGTCAGTGCTGGGCTGAGCTTGACTAAGGTACCAGGATGTTACTTAAACAAGCTAAACTGTTGCACAGAAGCTAGATGTTCTGGATTAGTGCAGTAGATATCCTGAACTGTGTGGCGCTTGTTTTATTCACACATGGTGGGAGACTCATTCATCATAAACTGCAATACAAACATGTCACTCACAAAAGAGTGACATGTGACAAACCAAAATTTACGACAATAACCGACGACATTTTGCCCATGTCTGTATATTCAAATAAATAAATAAAAGTTGGTTTTGGATGTGTGTAGGTAGGCTATGGTCTCATTTCCCTTTAAGACGCTGTCCTATAACTCCACCACATTCAGTCCATAAAAAAGAGGGAAAGACAGTTGAAGAGATGGAGGACGGTTCAAAAGTTGTAGCGGCTGAAGTAGACGAAGTTAATGTTGGAGGGATGGGAATCAAAAACAAGTTCTTGTTGAGAACCGGTTCCAAATGGTTTACTCCAGTCTACGCATACGAGAACAGAGACTCCATAAAATTTTGAGTTCAGGCTGAAAACCTATTGTCTACTTTCTTTCAAATCAAAAAGGCATTGATAAGGGAATCATTAAAGAATTGAATCGATAAGCAGAATCAATATTGGTATCGATATTGATAAAATCTTATCAATTCCCATCCCTATTAATGTGGGAGGGGGTGAACAGCTTGTGGTGTAGTTTTTGTCCATTTATGGTTATCGAGGTGAACTGCTCAATGTATTATAATATTGATTTGAGGCCATATCGCCCAGCCCTAGCGCAACCTTTGGAAAGCGTTTCCTCGAATATCAGCTGAAACTTTATAAAAGTAACCATTAACTTTCATTTTCGGAACCAAACTTTATCTTAGTCCAGACTTTCCTCTGAGGCCCAATTAGCAAGACTTTTGTCATATCAGCAGAAACATCTCCCTTTGAACAGGCAGAAACCCTGAGCAGGACCAAACTCATTAGTAACAAAAAACAACTACAGCAACTCGCCCCAAATGTTCTTTATCTCTCCAAGTCTATCCACACTCACCAGAGGCTGTCTCATCCTTTCATACACTCTAGTGTAGGTCTGTTATTATTTACAGCCCCTGACCTTTGACCCCTTCTATCTCAGTATGATCCACTCCCTTATCACCGCCTGGCACCGGTGAAAGTCAAAGAGGAGTCTGTTGCTGATGTTTGATTATTTAGTGTTTTTTTTGGGGGGAAGACTCGGCCCCTCAGAAGTCTTTCCTATGATGAAGAAGGAGGGTGTCTGAACATGTGAGGAGTTCATCCTCACTCGACATGAAATAACACACAAACACAACAGGGGAGCATATATCCTCCTGCCCTTCCTGTGTGTGTGTTTCTGACAGGAGTCGCCACACACAGTCCGCAGACTCTGTCCTCAGGCGGTCCTCCATGGTGGGCTGTCTGCCAGTGTCCAAACTTAATTCTATTAGGCTGGGCCGGAGGGCATGACACATATTTAAACTCATTGTCAAGAATGAGTGGGAGAAAATAAGCCTTTGTGTTCACCAGCCTTTAATAGATGTGCGAACTATCCGCCTGCCTCATCTCTACATTTCCAGTCAGACGGTGATAAATAAAGTCGTTCAAAAGCAGCAACAAGTTTATTCATGAAGGTCGGAGCCAGACTCACAGCAGCTCACTCTGACATGAAGAGACTCCCTGTTCAACCCTGGACTGACCTCACCCCGGGGGACTCCGGCTACTCCCCTTCTCCCTGTCTCCCAGAATGTGGGCGATGATGATGATGTGACGGCATGAACGAGAGAGATAACAGAAACTCATTTTGAGACGCTGCTGATATGTTTCTAAGTGTTGACTTCTAAGAAAAGAGGGGTTGAAAAGCGGCAGATAAATGTGGTTTCTAAATTCAGCTCTGATTCATGCTCCTAAATCGGCTCTCTTGTACTTTGTTTTGTTTGACATTTGACTTCTGCACACTTATCATCCAGAGGAAAATTACCAGTTATGAAGCTGCGTTTACGTTATTCCTGCTCTGCACACACAAACCTTTGTCTCATCTCCTCCTCCGTGGCTCCTCAGCTGGAGGAACTTCAGATTTAGTCATGAGTAAAATGACGTCTACTGTGTCTCACGCTTAATGAGACAAGGGGAGATGATGGGGAGGCTAGACGGTGGGTGGGTATAGGTAGAGGGGAGGTGTAGGGTGGTGGGTGAATTTAAAAGCCCTGCAGGATGACATCAGCATAGCGGGGAAAACAAGGAGGGGGTCTGAGGAGAGAAGGGGGTCCATACGTCCAGGCTTCACATCCTAAATCAAACCTTTCTTCTCCAGCTTCTCGGGGAAGAGCAGTGGCAGCAGGCTTTTAAAGAGACAGCAAAGAGCAGGGTGAGAGAAGAGGAGGAGGAGGGGGAGAATTTTCCCCATGTCTGGGTGTCTGCCGTCCAGGGAAGCAGGGAGGAGAAACAGGGGAAACTGGAGCTGCTGCTGCTGACGGCCCACTCGGCACAAAGCCCTCTCTGAAATCCCTGCATGCTGGCTGGTTGAACGTTGGGCCGAGACACGGGCTCAGCCAGGAAGTCTGATTACGTCTGAGTGAAACCTTGACCGCAGCCACAAACCTTTTGTTAATCGTTATTACGATTACAGGGTTGGGTCCAAGGCTCACCAGAATGTACAGGACGCAAACACGGATCTGTCAGCATCTCATGAACCCATGCTTTACTCTTTACTGCTTTCTGTTTATGCACTCTTAGGACAGTCAGGGTGACCCACTCGGTTATTTATTCCTCTCACTGCTGAGGGGTTAGACCTGACCACAGGCATGTAGGCAAGACTTGAGGACCCTCAAAATGACTGATGCCAAAATCCCATTAGAAAGAATGCAGAGACAATCGGAGCATGCTGAGTGTCACAGGGATCACATCCCCCTGAGGGCCAGCAGCATCTCAATCTTCAGCAGTGTTTCAATCTAATACAATTTAAAAGCTTAAGGTTGCAGTTAACAGGCTTTCCAAACTAAATCAGATTAAAAGATCAGAATTAAATGTCATTTTGTGAGTATTCGAGGGTGACTCCTTAAGTTCCTGATCCTCCATGAGGTTGATTCCTCTTATAAGGAAACAGCCACTCTTTTAGATTAGCATTATTGGAGTTTTAATGTTCAACTCAAATGTAATTTCCTGAATATATTCAATTACAGTGAGCTGTGTGCACAGTGAGGGCGTGCGCACTGTGCGTAAAGCATGCATGTGTCCTGAGATCACAGTATGTACACAAAGCCTTGATTTAAATCAGGTCCAAAACAACAATCAGCGACTAAATCTCGTTTTTCCTTTCTGGAAATTTGCCCGACAACCTTAACATTGGGGTCGGAAATGTTTTGAGGTTCCCCAGTCGAAGGCAATGGAAAGTTTGCACGCAACATGTTTGTGTACAACCCTAGAGAAGTGATGAATTCAACCCCAAACAAAAGTTTGAGGCTTTGTTCTGGAGGAGGTTTACAGGAATACTCCCCTCTCTCCTTCATTGTGTGTTTTTGTTTCAAGAGGCTTACCTGGAAGAATCAGCCAAATAAAAGTCAACGGCGTATCCGAAATAGCTCCCTTCAGGTCCGCTGTAAACAGATGGGTTCTCCACGTCCAAGTTGAACGCTTCACAGACAGGCTGGGAAAAAGTGAGCAGCAGCCCGATCATACAAAGGAGTGAGCCGGGAGGAAGCTCTGCTGTCCCCGGCGTCTTTACGCGAAATCGTTCCAAGCCCATTTTTTGGAGAATAAATTAATCCACTAAAGTTTCTGTTACAAGACGACAATGTTCCCAGTTTTGGCGCGTTCAAGTCCGCAGATTCGAGCCTGAAAACTGAGGCGTGTTTCGACTAAAACTGCATCCCCTTGGAAGTCTAACCGGCCAGTATCTCATTAATGCTCCGTCAGCTCCTCTGTGCGTCCTCGCTCCTCGCTCTGCTTCTCCCTCTCCAGACACACGCCTCCTCTGCTCACCTACTCATGATACATGCAGCTGGGAGTTCCCACACCCGTGACAAAGTTTGGGGAGGAGGAGCCTGTGATTCCCCCCGAAAAAAAAAAAAACTTTGGAGAGAGAGGGTTCTTCTCATCCACTAACCTATCTATCTGAAAACCAATGTGGTGAAGATCAGTTTGAGTTCAGAGACTTTGTTATCAGTGACAATGAGATTATTAACCCGAAGAAGAATCCTCCTCCAGAGTTTATCTCTCGGTTATCTCAAGCTTCTTACTCCTGAGAGAGGTGATGGAAAGGTCAATAAAACACCCATTTAAACTCCCATATGTGTGGATGTTGAGATGTCTCTGCTATCCACGGCGTGATAATCTGTTGATTTTATCTCTGGAGGTTTTCACTGATATGTCAGGAATCCCAAACACTATAAAGCGGTGATTTGTTGCATCTTGTGGTAATTATTACTCTGAATATCAGCCATCAAGGGTTAAAAAATGAACTGGTTTGAAGGTGTCCAAAACTACACTTTGATTTTTAAGATGAACGGCTTGGCCAGAAGTTTTTTCTCTGATGCAACTTCTGAATTCTGATCAAATTCACTCATTTATGTTTTTGTTTATTTGTTTTTTTATGCACAAATGTGGGTGTGGCTGTGAGCTAATTTAGAGACTTACTACAGTACACCCCAATGGAAATAATTAGTAATATTTAGTGGTCAGATTTAATAGGCTGAGCAACAGTGAAGCAAGAGAGGTCTGCAAGGACATAAAGCCCATTAAAAAGTTCTAGCACAAATCCTCTGCAGCAGAACAACCATTTATAGGGGTTCTCAGCTCTTCTGTGTTAAAAAAAAAAAGATCAATTTGTCAGGTATTACTACAAAAACAGTCTCATTCTTTTGGAAAAGCCTGAGTTAACAGGCTCATTTTCAAGCTGAGGAATTAGCCTCAGATAAAGTTGTGATAACTTAGCTCTGGTAAACTTCTCACTGCTTCCCAGTGTCATGCTTTCATACAAACATTCATCATGTTCAAAAATGAATTTGTTGCTTTAGTCCTTCTGAAATTACACCAAAATCGAACATTTAAAAGTCTGACTAACAAACCATTAGAGACAGTTTTCTCTGTCATGTCCGGGCGGACACACTTCTGTCAATGACTCTATTTTTGATTTCAGTACATCAGATGATCTACTAATCAGATTCACAGGTTGATCTACGTGCCGATCCTCACCTATGGTCATGAACTTTGGGTAATGATCGAAAGAAAGAGATCGCGGATACAAGCCGCCAAAACGGGTTTCCTTCGCAGGGTGGTCGGGGTCAGCCTTAAGGTCCTTTCACACCGGGAGCGTTTTTTTTGTGCAATTATTTTGGACCTCAATCCAAGCGTTCACATCAGCGACGATTTCCCGTCTTGCGATATTGCGGCATTTAAGTTTCACATACTGTGTGTCCATTTCTGACCAATCAGATTTCGTGTTGTTGCGACGTCAAGGTATATCCAACATGGCCGACCAGCTGATTGTTTACGTTTCGGAGATTGTTTATGTGGCCAGCCCAGGACCAGGTGGAGGGATTATATCTCTCGCCTGGCCTGGGAGCGCCTAGGTATCCCCCGGAGAAGCTGGTGGAAGTGGCCGGGGTGAGGGCCGTCTTGGCTTCCCTCCTGAAGCTGCTGCCCCTGCGACCCAGACCTGGATAATCGGAAGAAAATGACGATGACGACAACGAGATCAGATGAATCACATTAGCTTCATTCACAAACATACTCATTGTCACTTCTTCTTCCTGGAAACCAACGCGGCAACTACCAGAACAAGAATTTTGAGACTTCAAAAACTGTCAAAAAAGCTCCAGTTGTTGGAGTGACATTTTATTAAGAGTTATTTCTACAGCCAATGATCATTCCTATCTTATTTAAACATGAGTAAAGCATTATTTGATATGTCTTATTTACTCTCTGCTCCATCCAGGCCTGTGAGTTGCTTGTGCTCCACTCTTCAAACTTCCCAAAGGTCCTTCTCTCTTGGCAAGGTGAAGATTTATACACTCCTCTCCTCACTAATGACCCTTTTCACACGCCTCTCTAACTCAATGTGTGAACCATATGCATTTCAAGCTAATTACAGTGTTCCTGATTCGGGTGCTCAGTGTCCTCTGATGCTCTTGGAGGGGGTGTGGGAAGATTATGTATTCCTGCCTGTGACTCACACGAGACCGAGGAAAGTGGTTAGACTGCGTAGAGCGACTACTCACCGAAATGAGACCTTTAATAAACCTATCCAGGGCCGGCTGGAATTAGTGAGTGTTGGTTTAGCTGATTCACTAGAAGCCTCTGGGATTGGACACGGGGGCCAAATTTGGCTGTGCCGCAGTAGCAACATGAACTCCCACTCCAGTGCTGCTCGTATTTATAACTGGTCTGGAGGTCTGCTCGTAGACAGATGAGGAGTAATCCAGAACGTCTGTGTGGGGGCCACTTCACAGCTGTTAGGGGCACGTGATGGTTCAAAGCCCTAATCTTGGAGGGGTCTCATTCTCTCACTCTGTTTTTAGGTCTTCAGGATGGGATTATAGATGAAGGAGAGCAGGGAGTTGAAGATGTGGTTGACAGAAACTCGGTTTATTTGTAGCCGTCAAAACTATTCAAAGTCCAAACTTTCCCCCCTGAAGTCAAAGTTCGGTCTTCAAAAACTCCAAATTTTGGATGAGAAAATGTTTACCACCAGCATACTGACGGATTAGAGTGATATATGTGTAAACTCAGACCACTTTGATTCGTGGTTCTGGGTGTTTTGAAGCCACAGGCAGCCGACAGACCTTCACACAGTCCATGACCTCATTTTGAGGTTAGTCAGAGGTGCACAGGCAAATACTTAGAGAACAGATAGTACTGATATCAGCCGTGAGTCACTGTCCTTTTAGAGTCTGCCAGACTCTGAGGTGAGACAATGTACAGACGGTTTGTTGCTGTTCTTTCCGGTATCGGTTTCTCACTTTAGAGTTACAGCTTATCTACTTTGCATTGTCACCCTTTTACTTTCTTTCTACTGTATACCTCTAATAACTAGAAAACAGACTTTTAACTTATTTAAGAAGAATTAACATTTTTGTGAATGACCGTGCTCCACCCTCCAAATACCATGACCCAGAGCTGCCAAGCCTCACGCAGTCACTCAATTTATTGTTTTTATTGTACTGTATTTATTTTTTTCATGATAATAAACCCCGCTTGCCGTAGTTCGAGTAACTCTGATAGACTGACCGAGATAACCAACCCCAGACCAGTCCATCAGTCCTTTGTGCCTAATGCTTTGTTCGAGTTTCCCCAGAAGTCAGATGTTGGAGCTGTAAATGACGTCACGTTTCAGTTACCAAGTCGGAAAAAGCAAAATCGAAGGCCTAAAACAAGACGGCTCACTCTTGTCATTTTCCTGGCAGCCATGCAGACCTGTTTTAACCAAACAAGATCTAATGGACTTATTAACATTGGCACACAGAAATGGTATTTGTTTGAAATCCAGCTTACAAGACATGATCTTAAAAGTGTCAGTGAGTCTGTAGTGTACCTCATCATCATTATCAACTCTTCTGTAGGCTGAGCTCAAGTCCTGAAAAGGAAGCTGGTACAGGATGGTGACAACAGACAGAGCAACACATCCGTATAGAAACTGCACATGTCTGATTCTGAGCAGAGATACACAGGAACACAGATTAAATGTTTCTCCTCTGAGACCTCAACTTGAGTGAAGATTATCTAAATTTTTGGCTACAACTTTTGTTTCAGTGTCTATATTTTTAACTAGATGTTTTCAAGAATCAGCATTTGCCAGAATACAGTAGAAATACACATATGGTTGACTTTGTGTCATCCAGTTGCAGCTTAACCAACAAACCAGCATATACAACTACGCTCCACATTTTCTGTGTGAGTCCAGAGTCTGTTCTGCTTTTTGATGATGCATTATTGGGTTTGGCTAACTGAACAATATTTTCCATTTCCCTCCAACTGTGATTTCTGTTGCGAAAAGGGGGTGTGGTTTTGTTCCAATGCCTCTGCTCTGACATCATCACTTGGCCTCCATGGCGACAGATCTGAAGCGCAGCAAAACACTTAAAGAACATCGCGCAGGACTGCACACAGCTGGTGCACTTTTTCAAATATAGACCTGACACATTGGCACTTCTGCAAGGCCAGGCATATATAGGTGCAGGCACACATACACACACACACACACACACACACACACACACACACACACACACACACACACACACACACACACACACACACACACACACACACACACACACACACTGACCCACTCTCTGGTAACAGGCCATATGTTTTCCAATCGAGTGGGACAGATTATTTATAGCTCTACCAGAAGGCCACTTAGTGGTCACACAGTTTTATCATGATCAGAAAGAGTCAAGTCTGTTCCTGTGCCATTCCCCACATTTGTTTTGTACATTTTACACTTTTTTAGGCAGTTAAATCGTTTTAAAGACACATTGAAGCTTCAGCCAGGTTTAAAGCTCCAGTAAGGAGTTTTTTAAAGTTTTAAAAATAGATTGAAATTCATTTAATTAATTCACAATTTAATATACATTTTACGTGCAAAAGTTGGTAGGATGAGATTTTTCATCAAGAGTTACATCTTAAGCATGCAGGGGGACAAGATAAGCAAAGACTGCTCTGTCCAGAGGGGGCGCCAAAGTTGACACAAACCAAAAGTTCCTCACAGGAGCTTTAAAGACAGAGTTTAACCAGTTTTGACAGAAAAAAAAACAACAGTAATGCTTTAATTAACCACTTTCTTTTTTAACAGATGGGTTTTCTGTAATTATTTTTATTTCTTATTTAAAAAAGTATTTTTGCTGATGTCTGGCTCTATTCCCCTGGCTTCATATCCCTATTGAATGATCTTTCTCTCAAGAGGCACCAGCACTTACTCTTTCCTCAT